TGTAATTGTGGCTGAGTTGCTAGCCTTCAGTTGGCTCAGGTACCTTTGAACATGTGCTGGCTGTATTTCCTTCCCTGGTTCTTTCTCCTGTACATCGCTTGGCAGCTTCTCTGTGTTCTAAATAAATGGTGACTGCAAATAGGTTTTCGTGGTTCTTTTGTTATGTTTTCTGTGTGGGGGATTGAACCCAGGGTCTTACATGTGAATGCTAGGGGTGCTGCACCACTGAGCCACACCCCCAGCCATCTTTTATTACTTTTCTACATATTTGGTTCAGTAAGCTTGATTTTTACATTTTAATGCTGTAGTATAATCTTCACAGATTCTTTCTGTAGTGAAGGCCTGGTCTGCTGCATTCTGTTTCTTTGGAGACATATTGAGGTTTTTGTATCACATTCTGGACTGTTGGTTAGGTTGTTATGTAATGATTCTGGAATTATCATAAGGACAAAAGAGGCCTCATTGAGGACACTTGAACCAAATGTCATTTGTAAGGTATAAGTATTGAAAGAAAGAAATGATGAAATGACTTTGGAATTTCTAATAAAAGCAGCCAATCTGGATCAACTTCATTTCAGTCACACTAGTCTTCTGAATTGATCAGAAATAAATGTGTGTATGACCATTTTACTTGCTCTTCCCTTGGTAAGGGACATGAGAAGTATGAACTATTGAGTGTAGTGAAGCAAAAATTGCTTGTATTAAAATGAAAATCATCAGAAGTTTCAGGAATGGGGCTGACTTCGGTGCTCCACATTTCTAGTCACACGCGGCATGAAGGACTGAATCAGACCTGAGCCTGAAGAGGAATGACTAAAAGTAAATTCTGAAATAATCTGGAAAGGTAGAGTTTGTAGACAGGCTGACCCTCAGCAACTGTGATGATGTAAAAAGGATGGTCTTTTGATATTCAAAATAAGATTAACTTAAATTAAAACCTGTTTTACAATCTGAATAAAAGGTACAAATCACCAGAAAGAAAGGGTATTCTTGTTATGTTATGTCGGTGAGCGCAACATCCTCAGCACATATCGTAGGTATTTGAGGGAGTGGAGAGGTTAAAATGTACTTTTTTTTCTTCTTACGGTTTTTGAGACAGGGTCTACCCGTGTAGCCCAGGCTGACCTCAAACTCACTATGTACTCCAAACTGGCCTTGAATTCTTGATTCTCCTGCCTCAGCCTCCAAGTGCTGGAATTACAGGCAGGCACCACCATGCCTGGCTTAAGATGTATTCTTCTTGGTCATCAGAGATTCCCAAAAAACAAGTTCCATTTTAGTAGATTCCTAGTTGGTAGTGTACAAGCCAGAGTTTCTTCTCTTTAATGCCAACTCACTGTTGAATCTTGTCATACAGAGACAGGGCAGCCTGGTGGTTAAGAACACAGCTTTCTGGAGTCACAAAGACCTGGTATCATATCCCTACTTGTTAAGTGCGTGACATTAAGCAAGTTTCTTTATCTCATTAAGCCTAGTTGTTGTCATCTATAAAACGGGTGAATTGCGCACACCTTGCAGGGTTAGTTCACCCTAGTGGAGTGCTTGGTTATGGGGTCACACTCTTCCAGATTTATGTGTGAAAGATCCCCAGGGCCTTTTAATCCCTGGGTCAGGGAAGGTGACATCTGTCACAGGAGGGAGATGGGCTAAGTGAGATGTCATAGAGAAAGGGTGGCAGTGGCAGGCTGAAGGCACAGCTTTGTCCTCTCCAGAAGGTGATATTTATGCATCTTTTACTCTTGGTAAATTTTAGAGCAAGTCACTGCTGAAACAGCAGTTTCCATGGTCCAGGGTAGCCATTGGGTTGATTGGTGTTGAATTAATTATTTACAGCATACAATCATAATTTGTGTCGACCCTTTCCACATCACGGGAAGAAGGAAGGAGGAGCATGGTCCCTGAGCTCTTATTATTATTCTTTCTTATTTATAGAGAAGAATGTAAATTAAATGACTCATTAAGGTCCAGCATGTCATCAGTAGTGGAGACAGCATATGGATGATGCCTTTTAAAACTATCTGGCACCTCTGGCCCGCTCCCATGGCAACATTCTCTCCCTTCCGCCATTGTACTGCTCAACAAAAGGACCTGCCCCAACCCAGTCCTTCTGTGGAGGAGGGTGTGGGATCCAGACCATGATAGTCTTCTCATCAGAAGACTATCCCACTCAGGACCCTGTGTCTGGCCTGCACAGCCATTTCTGGGAATAGTTCCTTTTAGAAAGGGGAGGGGAGCTCTCCTCCCTTGGTCAGATCCTCGGTGAGCCTTTTCCTCACCACCTGCCTGCTGCTGTCTTCCCCAGCAGCACCGGCTGCTGTGTCTGTCCACAGCTTTCTTGTCTCCCTTATCCCTGTTAGGATGAGCCCTTGCCGTGAACAAGGCTTAGTGCTTAGGCCTTGTCTTCTCTTCCCTTACTGTCCTTGGGCTTGTGTGCTTTGTACATATCAGGATTCACATATAGTTGTTGGTCAGAAGCTGTGAGAATGTGACCCCAGAGCAAATAGTACATGACATCTTTACTGTCCTATCCTCCTCCCCCTTTCCCATAGCCTGCCAAGATGCTGAGGAGAGGAGGGAGAGTCTGTGTCCCTGAGGGGCCCCTCCTCCCCTCCGCCTTTGTGTGCACTCTGTGTGGAGTTTCAGGACACCCCAGCCTACACCAGTTAAAGTCAAATTTCTGTCATGTGCTTGGCCTGTGTGACCAGCCCTTAGCTGGGTCTCATTGTTTAGAATCTGTTGAAGGCAGTGGGATACACTGGCTGAAAGCAGAGACACTGAGGCAGGAGACTGCTCTGCCACATCCACTTTGTCCCTGGACAGTTTCGTAATCTTTCTGTGCCCCAGTCTGTCTGTATAATGGAATGACCCCCTGCCAGGGTTGTCCTCAACTGAAGTGAGGTAACCAATGTGAAGTCTTTGGCATAGATCAGGCTCACGCTGAGTGCTCAGTTAAAGCTGGCTGTGCTAGCATTATGTACAGTACTGAATAGGTGCCATTTGTTTCTGTCATACCTCTCTTCTCTGGGTTCCTAGGTCTCTGTCTCTGTGCCCCTCACCCTGCCCAATCCAGCACAGAGCGTTGTCAGAGAGGAGCTCTGAGGGAGGGGAGAGTACAAACCCAGGAGGTTCCCGTGGGAGTTCACTACAGAGGGAGGAGGCTTTGGTGTGAGATTTGGATGAGGGTTTTTGTTGGCTTGTATAATCTGATCATAATGATTTCCACTGGGGAAAAATAGTTTAGAAGGAATAGGTGTTACACTATGACCTGCCTTGTCCTTGTTTCTCTAGGAAACAGAGCTCTGACTAGGGTAACGGAGAGGATATGAGGTAAAAGGCAGCATTTGACATGTGTGCTGGGAAGTGAGCAGTGCATAGTTGAGTCTGGGTTGCTCCAAGGACAGGTCTGGGCTGGAGCACAGTCATCACATTGGATGTTAATTCCTTTTTTTGGGGGGGTAGTGGCTTGTACTGGGGTTTGAACTCAGGGCTTCATGCTTGCTTGGCAGGTGCTCTACCACTCAAGCCACTCTGCCAGCCCTTTGTTTTGTTGGGGTTTTTTGAGATAGGGTCTTGTGAACTGTTTGTCCAGGCTGGCTTTGAGCCATAGTGCTCCTGATCTCTGCCTCCTGAGTAGCTAGGATTGCAGGCATGTCCAGCTTGGCTCTTAATTTCTTGTAAAAGGCAATGGAAACAGTTTCAAACCTTTACCACTTACTAAGGCAGACACTGAGAACTGGCAGCCAGTGAGCCTCTCAGGTTTGCTTCTATTGGTTGGATGACGTGAAAATAAATAAAATACTTTCCACCAAAAACATCTGAATGTGATAGAACATGCAGTAAGTTTTCATTTGTATTGTCAAATTTGGTGTGTATGCAAAACCACCTTAAGGGATTTGGGAAAAAATGTCAGTAATCTGGAAGATTTGCTTCACAAATAGCAAATTCTTGCTGGGAAATCATAAAGAACCCATTGTTGCTGTGGTTAAGGCACAAAATAAAACAAGGAGCAACAAATAGTGTCAGAGGACCAGGTAAATGCCCTTCTGTATCTTAAAATGTCATAGTACATAGTATTTCAATGTGTACATGTGTATTTAACTATATGTTAACACTGTATGTCAATATGGTATTATGACTGTAGTATTTTTTTAAAAATGAATTCCTACTTGAACTGTTACCTACTCACAGGTATCCGGTTAGTGGGTTTCTACTCTACTGATGAATGGAGCTGTGTACTGTGTTTTGTTGGGTCACAGGACACTGGTCTGCCAGCTTTGCTCCCTAAGACTGGAAATACGGCATGCAGCTGTGTTAGTAACTGTATTAATACTGTTACTAAAATAACCTGGCTCTTTTCATTTCCATTTTTTTTGGCCGGATTTCAGCTTGTACTTAGGGCTTTGCGCTTGCAAAGCAGGCGCTCTACTGCTGGAGCCACAGTCCATTTTGCTCTGGTTATTTTGGAGATTGGTGTGTGTGTATGGGGGGGGGGTCTCTCAAACTATTTTCCTGGGCTTGCCTCAAACTGTAATCCTCCTAATCTCAGCCTCCCAAGAAGCTAAGGTTACAGGTGTGAGCCACTGGTACCTGGCTGGAATGTTTTCTTGTAAGTCAAACCTACCTTTTTTCACCACATAGATTTTACTTTAGCCTTCTGAACACCCTATGGACTTGGTTAGGATTGGGGATCTGGTTCAGCAGGAGCTGAAGGACAACCCAGGTTGGTGTGAGCCAGAGTCCAGATGAGGGCAGTGGAGAGCAGGAGTGAGGGTGCTTGGTGAGAAGTTGGGAGACCCATTTGCATCTGAGGGCTTGCTGTTTGGTTGACTTGGGGCATGAAGTATCTAGGCTCAAACAAACAAAGGCAGGTCCTCCTAAAGCATGTGTGTACTTTCTAAAGGCGTATGCTTCACAGACCCACGGTGTGACAGTTTAGAGTTTATTGTGCTAATCCATCAGCAACCTGACACCTAAAATCCCCTCCTCTCTTGTTTTCACAGGTGTTGGGGCGATGTTTCTTGACAGTGGTGCAAGTTCATTTCCAGTTTTTGACTCACGCATTGCAGAAGGTCCAGCCAGTGGCGCACTCTTGTTTTGCTGAGGTGGTCATGCCAGAGAAAAAGAACAGCAGTGGTGGCAGCTTATCTGGCATGGGCCACACGCCTGAACTGGAGGAAGCTGTGCGGTCCTGGAGGGGGGCTGCTGAGGTAACTGCCTTACTTGGGAGGTTGGACCCTGTGTTCAAATAGGAGAGGCTGCAGGGCACCTCTGCCTTTTGGTTCTCAGAAAAGCCAGTTTCTTTAGAAACGTAAGTTTTAAACTCATCTCTTGCTTGTTCATTCATGAGACAGAGATGAATGTGCACTTTGTGCCATGTCTGTGCCAGGCACTGAGATGACAGCTTATACCACAGCCTACTGGGAGGAGGCTTACAAAAACAGGGTACGGAGCGAGCGTGATGGAGATGCAGACAGCCCAGAGAATGGGCCCTGCTTCTTGATGGGAGTGCTTCAGGAAAGCTGCTTCCCAAGAGAGATGAGGGAGAAAGAAGGCTGGCGCCTGAGTTGGGACAGACAGGAAGAACCTGACCAGGCCATAAGGTGGGCAAGCAGGAACATTTGGCAGAAGTGGAGTGGCAAGCTCAGAGCCACATCTACACATGGGAACACTCAGTGGTCACAGGCATTTGATCTGTCTTATAGCCAGGTCATTGTCATTCTAAGAGCTCAGTATCATTGGAGTTTGCATTTTTTCTCCTTCATTCTTAGCACCCGCCAGCACTCAGACATGCTTCCAACAGAAAAAGCACCTGCTCTGCTCTTCCCTATTTCTTTGCTTTTTTCACAGCCAACTCTTGGAGGAGTTGTCCACTTTTTTCTCACCTTTCATTCATTAAAAAATAATTATTATGGACAGGAGGTGTGGCTCAAGTAGTAGAGTGCCTGCTTTGGAAGCTCGAAGCCCTGAGTTCAAACTCCAACCCCACTAAATAAATAAACAAACAAACAAATAAATAAATAAAATTATGAAGTACTTCAAGCATACAGAACATGTCACACACATCACTGTATCTTCTTTCTAACTTTGACATTTGAAACTTAACTTTTTGTCACATTTGTTTAATGTCCTTGGGTTTTTCTTTTTCCTTTTTTGATGCTGGGAATCAAACCCAGGGCCTCACACACTAAGCAGCTGCTTTACTACTGAGCTATCCTCTAGCCCTTTTTATTTTTATTTGAGACAGGGTCTCACTAAGTAACCCAGGCTAGCCTTGAACTCGTAATCCTCTTTCACTGACCTCCTGAATAGCTGGGATTACAGCATATACCATTATGCCTGCTTTGTGCCTTTTACTTTTTAACAGAAAATATTACAAACGGTTGAATCCATTTTTTTAACCTCTCTCCTATCTTATTCATAGTTTCCTGTCTAGAGATAAACCTCTTTTGAATTTGTAGTCTGACTCCTGCTCATATTTTTAAATTTATATTATGTGTGCATGTATTATTTTGCATAATTTGAAACTGTATGTAAATGTTATCATTCAGCTTCTAGTCCTTCTCTTGTCCAAAATCACTGATTCATTCCTTTTGTGTTTTCAAATCCATGGTACCCCTCTGACTCCATTCAGCAGCTCACACTCACAGTATTTCCAAGGAGAAAACATTTTCTTTTTGTGGCATTCAAGAACCAGGCTTTTTTTTTTTTTAATTTCTTTTTGAAACAGGGTCTCTGTGTGTTGGGCTCAAGCAAACCTCCTGCCTTAGCCTCCCAAGTAGCTAAAACTACAGGCATGTGCTACCACGCCCAGCTTAGGAACCAGACTTTCTTAGTTATCCTGTTCCTCTGAGCTGTCCTCAGTTCATCCCCTTCGCTAGTCTCTCCTCTTCAGTACAACTTTGTGTGTGTGTGTGTGGCATGGGGATTTGAACTTGGGGCCTCACCTTGTTGGGCAGGCACTCTTACCGCTTGAGCTGCTCCGCCAGCCTCAGTACCACTTCTGACTCTGATTTTCTCAAGCTCACTTCTAGGTTGCCTTCTCCCTAGGAGATCTCCATCCGTCTTGGGGCACACGCCAACCCTGTCCTGGGGGATCCTCAGGTGCATGTCACATCCACTTCATGAACGCCACACCCTTGAATTCAGCTGCTGCCCATCTTAGGTTTCCTGAGTGGCTCAGTCTTAGCTTCTCCACACTTACGTGTTTTTCTTCAGCACTTCCCCATGCTAGCATGTGGCGCCATCCTCCTCTGGGTCATTCATTCAAGAGCAGAGATCTGTCCTTCAGTCCTCCCATCACGTGTATTTTCTAATCCTTCAGAAAGCTTTGCAGGTCCCACTTCTCAGGTCCCAGGGCTTCCTGGATCTGTCCCCATTTCCATGCTCAGTACCACTGCTTGAGTTCAGAGGATCATGATTTCTCTGGACTTTCTCTCCCGTCCTTGCCTTGCTGTTCTCCATTTTTAAATTGGATATTACTTCTCATTTCTTCAGGGGTTAGTGAGGTCCCCTCACCATGACCTGCATAGGTGTGCCATGTCTGGCTCCTTCCTTGATTGCCAGCCTTATCTGTGGCCACTTCTTTCCCTTGCTCACTGGACAACAGTTCCTCATATCCCTCTCATTCTTCATCGTGGCTCCTTGGCCTATATTAGGACCTGGCTGTTGGTCCCAACACACTATCCCTCTTGATCTTACTCTCCTCCGCTTCCCCTCAGTTCCATAAGCATCTTCTCCTTTAGCTGTCAATGTAAATGGCTCTTTTTTTTCTTTTCCTTCTTTGAGACTGGGTCTCCCTATGTAGCCCAGGCTGGCCTCAAACTTGTGGTCCTCCAGCCTTTATCTCCTCAGTGCTAGATTGCAGGTAAGCACCACTGTACCTGGCCAAATAATATTTTTTTAACAGCCTTTGTTATTCTAGACCAAGGTAGGAATTGTAAATTATAAAACTCATAGGACTACAGGAAAACAACTAGCAGCTCCAATGCTACAAAGTTCTAAGGCTTTAATTTCACAAATTATGTATAGATACAACTCCAACCATTCCCTAAACCCTAATAGTCTTTTTTTTTTTAGCGAGACTGGGGTTTATACTCAGGACTTTGCATTTGCAAAGCAGGTGCTCTACCACTTGAGCCATACATCCAGCGCATTTTGCTCTGGTCATTTTGGAGATAGGGTCTCAGGACCTATTTGCCCAGGCTGGCCTTGAACCTCCATCCTCCCAGTCTCAGTCCTCCCAAGTAGCTAGGATTACAGACGTGAGCCACTGCTGCCACTGACTCTAAGAATCTTCTATTCAAATATTTAGTCAAACAGTTGTTGTGTCAGCTGTTGCCATAAACAACTAGAGTTAATAGACTAGAGTAAATAAGTCTTTTTTTCCCGGGCTTCTAAAGTAAGGTAATATTATCTCAGGATTTCTTTCTCTTCATTGCGGTTAACTCAGGCTTATAAAATTTTAGACTACTCACTTTGTAATGTAGTCAGTCCAGAACCTATGATTTATATCTAATGCTTAGAATGTTTCTTGCTTTATTTTAGTTGTGGAATTTTTGTTGTTACCATTTTAATTTTGCTGCTAACTGCAGCATCCTCGCATACCTACCAGACACCATTTATCTTGTAGGCGACATCTAGACTAAGAGAAAGAGACTGTGATGGCCGCCTGGCGGGAATTGAGGTTCAACAGCTCTTTTGTTCTCAAAGTGCAGCAATTCCTGAGCACCAGCTAAAAGAACTGAACATAAAAATTGACAGCGCTTTGCAAGTAAGTTTTTCAAAACTGACGTATGGACATCCAAGTGATACAATGAGTGAGAGAATTAAAGTTGTGATGTTAGGCCAATTAGAAAGTCCTTTAATAACTACAGGAAAATTAAATCCCTAATTTCACTGGACTTTGTCATGTTCTAATCTGCATAATCTTAATTCTTAAAATAATTTATTTGTAGGCATATAAGATAGCTCTGGAGAGTTTGGGCCACTGTGAATACGCAATGAAGGCTGGCTTCCACCTCAATCCAAAGGCAATTGAAGCAAGTTTGCAGGTACTTTTTTCTGTCTTGTAGCTCTCAGAACTGTGGGATGCTCACGTGTGTGGCTGTGGCTCACCTCTGCTCTCCCATGGAAACCTTTCCCAGGGCTGCTGCAGCGAGGCAGAAGCCCAGCAGACCGGGCAGAGACAGACACCTCCGCAGCCCATGCAGTGTGAGCTTCCCACCGTCCCTGTGCAGATCGGATCGCACTTCCTGAAAGGCGTCTCCTTTAATGAGTCGGCGGCCGACAATCTGAAACTTAAAACGGTAGCTTTACAGGGTCTTGTGAGGTTCCAGATACCAAGCGTGAACTTGGAAATAGAGTTCTTAAGGGAAACTTAAAGGGCTTGCGAAGAATGTAGATTAAGAAACAAACTGAAGGACTGAAGGTGGCTCAAGGGATAGAGTGCCTGCTTTGTAAGCATGAAGTCCTGAGTTCAAACCCCAGTCCCACCAAAAAAAAAGAAAAGAAAAGAAAAATGAGGGCCTGCAGAAAATAAAATGGAGGTCAAGGAAATTAGCTGTAACCTTCCTCAGTGCTGTAATGTCTAAACAGAGACCTGTTTTTTTTTTTGCGGTGCTAGAGTTTGAACCTAGGACCTCACACTTGCTAATAAATAAGTGCTTAATCACTGAACCACACCCCATCCCTGTAGTGCTTATTTATTTATTTATTTATGGCTGTACTGGGGTTTGAATTCAGTGCTTGCTAGGCAGGCGCTCTACCCCTTCAGCTACTCCACCAGCCCTTTTTTATGTTGGGTACTTTTGAAATAGGGTCTTCTGAAGTATTTACCCTGGCTGGCCACAAACCACAGTTCTCCTGATCTTTGCCTCCCAAGTTACTAGGGTAACAGGCATGAGCCACTGGCACCTGGCTGCAGTGACTTTAAATGAGACATTTGCTAAGACTGTTTAATTCATAATTTTATTCACATGTTTAACCTAAAGCATTTGAAAGTACACTGTAAAGTATTGTTTATGATTTTTTTTTCTCAGTGGGCTTTTGAGAAGTTGAGAAGTCTTATAAGGATGTCTGACAATGGAGCATCTTGGGTACTGGGCACTGTGCCAGGTGCTTTGCATGCTCTGTGCCATTTAATGCTTCCCTCTGAAATATGTGCACTCCCGTTCCCCATTTGGCTGACAGGGGAACTGAGGCCCAAGGTCACATAACCAAAAAGTTATTAGAGCTGGAACTTGAGCTCATACAGTCTGCTTCCATAGTCTACATACCTGACCACTTGGTCATCCAGATAAAGCTGAGGATTTGATTCGTATGTACTTTTACCAAATGATTCTGTTTCCTTATTTGGAGGGATTCGGAATTTCCAAATTCCTGAACCAATTTGCAATAGAGGTTGTAGATAATGCTGTAGTTTGTGCTAGTATAGAAATCACTTGTATAGCTGGGTGTGGTGGTGCACAGCATCTATAATTCTAGCTCTCAGGAGTCTGGTAGTAGAGGATTGTGAGTCCCAGGCCAGCCTGGGCTATATATATATATGTGTGTGTGTGTGTATATATATATATATATATAGAGAGAGAGAGAGAGAGAGAGAGAGAGCGAGAGAAGGAAGGTTGGGAGGGAGGGAAGGAGGAAATGAGAGCGCTAGTTACATTTGTATATTAATGTTAATGCATGTTTATCCATATGTAGCTGTTCACTCTGTGGAGTTGAGACAGTCTCTGAGCCTGATGATAATTCCTTAAGTTCAAAGGCATGACTTGAGAATACTTAAAATGTTTTCCCCCTAAGGATGGTTATATATATACATTACTACAAATTTTAGAGCCTTGCAGGCTTTGTCTGGAATTACGAACTCTCTTTTTGTCTGTTGTAGCACACAATGTTACAGCTGATCAAGGAAGCAGGCTGCTATAATGGGATCACAGCCAGGGATGATTTTCCTGTGACTGAAGTGCTGAATCAGGTGTGTCCATCCACATGGCGGGGTGCCTGCAAGACTGCTGTGCAGCTGCTGTTCGGCCAAGCTGGACTGGTGAGTAGTTGTGTGAGACAGATGAAGAGAGCACAGAGATGCTTCAAGAAGGTAGTAATGTCACCAGGCTCTGGGGCTCACTCCTGTAATCCTAGCTCTGCAGGAGGCAGAGATCAGGAGGATCTCGGTTTGAAGCCAGCCTGGGCAAATAGTTCATGAGACCCTATCTCAAAAAAAAAAAAAAAAAAAAATCACAAAAATAGGACTGGTGGAGTGGCTCGAGGTGAAGGCCCCGATTTCAAGCCCCAGTAGTGCAAAAAAGCGTAGTAATGTGGTACAGGCACACGGGTGAGAATGTTGAGTGACTTTCAGAGTTCTTCAGTGCTACAGTGCTTAGACCAGGTAAAAGTAAAGGAGGAGCAGTATTAAAATGTTTGTTGATTGATTTATTGATTGATTGAGCAAGGAATGGTGATGTCACCCACACTCAGGAGCTGAGGCAGGAAGATCATGAGTTTGAGGCCAGCCTGGGCTGCATAATGAGATCCTTTCTCAAAACAAACAAAATTCTTTTTTTTTTTTTCTTTTACAGATTGATAATATATATTTGTAGGGAACCTATTTGCAAAATCCTCATTTTAAGGAAACTATTGTGTTAGTAATGATTTGACAGGGCCCCTTGTCTGTCCTGACTCCTCTGCAGCTTTGTGAACTTTCTGCTGCCCAAATCAGTCAAGCTGCTTCCTGCTTTTACCTGGAAGTACTCTTCTGTCTGATCTTCTCGTGGCTCAGTCCTCTCACTCTTCTGGTGTCAACTGTAGTGTCACCTCTTCAGGAGACCTCTCCTGACCATGCTGGTATAAGCAGTGCCCTATCCAGTCACTTAATGTTCCAACTCTCTGCTTGTCTTTTTAGCAAAAGGTGACAGCATCAACTCAAACATAGCACTTTGGTCTTCTCATCTTTCAGAGAAAAAGGAAAAGCTTTTCCCAATGTTGGGCAGGGTCAGGAAATCACTTCCGGTGTACCACTGACTCATACAACCTTACGTACTGGTTTCCTTTCCTAGTAAATGACTACTTTTTGAAAAGATTTCAGTCAGAGGTCAGGGGAAGATAGAGATTTAAATATGAAAGAGCTTGTTTTTAGTCTAATTCCTACTTGATTCATGAAAGGATCTGTTGGGGGAATGTTTGTCTTTATTCCATGCAGATGAAGGCTCAAGTAGCCCATTCAAAGCAGTGCTACCTGCCATTAGAGGGCTGATGAGGGCTAGCCACAGAGTTGAGCTATGTTTCCTTTAGGGTCTGGCTGTTAGTGTAGGAACCGCCAAGAGAAGTAATAAGTTAGAGATGCCCAGATAAAGTATAAAAACCCCACTGCCTTGAGGAGATTGATCCATATTCCCAAAGACTGAAGAGAGTGTGCAAATACAGCAGAAAGATACACAGGCTGTTTGAGAAAACATTGTAAGCTTAAAAAAAATGGTCATATCATATTGAGAGCCCTGAAACTTCTAGCTCCTGACCCCTGATTGCAGTGTACCTTTCTGTATGACTGACAAAAGTTCTGGGAGTGGGAAGAGAGAGGAAGCACCTGTCTGGTCCAACAAAGGCTGTTCCTTGGACAGGAACTCTTTCCTGAAGGAGCAGCTGTGGGAACTGTTTGCAACAGTGGAAATCAACACCATTACAGGCTGAATTTGGAATCATGATACACACCTCTGCACAGCTTGACCTCTTCCAAAATGTTAACAGATTTGTTTTTAATTTTGTTTTTGTTTTCTTGAAATTCCTTGTGCGTTTCTTTTTGTTTTAAGACAGGGTCTGGCCTGGAACTCATGATTTTCCTGCTACGGTCTCCCAAGTTACTGGGATTACAGACAATGTGCTGCCTCACCTGACTTGAAATTCTGTTAGTTATTGGAAAATATATTCATCACTTTGTCAAACTGTGTAGTATTATAATAGACTGTCCTACAAGTAAGAGGAAATTATTGAAAGTAGGATTGGTTCTTCGTCTTGAAGTCCTTCTGTTTTATTGATAGTTCATGATAATAAAATAATCTTTTAAAAGTTTCATTTACTTCTGGCTTGTATCAAGTCTGGAGCATTGGCTCAACTTTTTTTTCTTTTTGATGGTACTGAGTGTTACCCAGGGCTTTGCACTTGTAAGGTAGATGCTCTACTGCTTGAGCCACTCTGCTAGTCCTAGTTCAACTTTTAACATTTTTTTTTCTTTCAAGTACATAGAATAAAAAATCTAAGATAAAGGAAGCAGAGTGATTATGATTATTTTTCTTCTTTTTCTCCATCTTCCTTTTTTTTTTTTTAAACAGGGTCTTGCTATGTAACCCAGGCTGGCCTTGAATTCACTATGTAAACACAAGCTGGCCTCTAACTGGTCATCTTCCTGCCTCAGCCTCTGGAGTACAGGGATTACAGACCTGTCAGCTGTGCTCAGCTTGAGTAATTCTTTTTGGGGGGCAGTACTAGGGTTTAAACTCATGGCCTCATGCTTGCTCTACCACTTGAGCCACTCTGCCAGCCCTGCTGTTGTCTTCTTGAGGCCCCTGACTGGCCATGGAATAGATGTATTGCCAAGGGGTTAGTTCTTGCCAGTCGCTCAGCATTGGTAAGTGCATGTATCAGATGTGTTTGTGATGCATTGAAAGGTCCCTCTGAAAGCTGGTGCTTGTTTGTGTTTCTCTCTTAGGTGGTAGTTGACACAGCACAGATTGAAAATAAAGAAGCCTACGCCCCCCAAATCAGTTTAGAAGGCTCCAGAATCGTGGTTCAAGTCCCGTCCACATGGTAACTTGACTCTTAAATTAACAGAAGCCTGAACTTTGATGAAAGGTTGCACATCTTTGAAATGACTGCTCTGTTTTGAACAAGCCCCATGCTAGCTGACACAACAGGTGCTGCTACATGCGTGGGTTTCTGGCAGTAGTGGTATTTTAGTGCCATGCGCCACAAGCCTTGTCTATGAAAGGAAGCTTAGCATAGACAGAAGTGCCTCATCGGCCAGTCAGCACTCTGGGATCGTCATGAGCAGCACTGCCAGTCCTTGTTACTGAGGCCACAGCTTTGATACTCAGTAGCTTTTTTCTGTCACCTATTATTTCTCTAAAGCTGAGTAGAGAACATAGACTTCCTTCTCTTTTGTCTGTTTCAGCACAATCCTGAAGATCTTGAGCTCATGGCATCATAACACCCAGTGTTGCAAATATGAGGATACATAGAGCCCTTTCTACTTTAAAACAATATATATATATATATATATATATATAATATTAAAAACAATATAAAAGAATTAGTCTTTCTTTGGGGAATGATACTAGAGTTTGAACTCCAGTCCTGTGCTGGCTATGCAAGCACTCTACCATTTGAGCCACACCCCAGCCTGGATTACTGGGGTAATTTTTTTAAAACATAAACTCCTACAATTCAATAAGAAATGGGCAAGGAACACGAGCAGGTAAGTGAGAAAAGAAAATGTATGGTCAACGAGTATATGGAGAAGACATGTAACTTCACCCAGTGCCAAAGGACAAAGTAAGAAGCTACCTGGTGCCATTATGCCCAAAATGTTTAGCTGTTTCAGAGTGCAGTGCCAAGTAGTAAGACAACACTGGTTTAGCTTTGACTACAGGCAGAGGGGTTGTGAATGACGAATAAGTCACAAAGGCTTTTTGGAGGGCAGTTAAGAGTATCAGAACACTAAAATAAATGCTATGACCTCAACAGTTGCACCTCTAGGGATTTGTCCTTGCAGTGTGCACACAGATTGAATGGTAAGGACTGGCATCATAGCTTTATTAACAGTAAGTGCCTTGCAGTATGTAAGTTTCGCTATTCAGATTGTAATCTGAATTAATATTCAGCTATAGAGAAAATACATAAATCACTTAAGCAGGAAGAAATAGAGATAGTAAGGAACAAAGGTACTGCTGGTCCCTGTGTGGATTAAAGTGGTAGTCGCATGATGTGTACAAATTGTCTTTAAACGATTTCTTCTTTTTCTTCCTCCCCTCCTTCTTCATTCTCTTTCTCTCTCCCTCCCTCTCCCTACACCCCCACCTTAATTTTTTTTTTTTCTGGTACTGGGTTTTAAACTCAGGGCCTCAGGTTTGCTAGGCAGGTGCTCTTATCACTTGAGCTACTCCACCAGCCCTAAACATGAAGAATATAGTAGTAGAGTCTGTCAAAAACACTTACAACCTGTTGATATATTAAGTAAGAGTTGGCAGTTCCGTTTATTTCCACAAACCTCTCTCCTATGAATATTCTCCTTGCCAAACTTTAATCTGATTGTTGAGGTGGTATTCTGAAAACAATGGTTTAATATATGTATCTTCATTTCTAGCACATGGTAAATTAAAAGCTGACTTGAAGATTTTGGAGTTCGAGAATTCCTAATTCAATTTTCAAATTCAAATTCTCATTGAAAAATATTAATTACTCTATCAGGATTCTCATTTTGAGGAGGAAGATAGGTGGAACTTTTGTATAGTTAGGTGACTGTAAACAAGTAGTAATAAAATGGCTAACACCCATTTTCTTCAGAATCTTCGCTGTGTGGTTGATTGTCTTTGTAATTCACATCCATGAAAAAAGAATTTAGAGATTGTAATTCCTTGCAGAGGCTCCCTCTGCTGTCTGCCTTTAGTATTGTCTTTTTTTGTGTGTGTGTGTGACTGGGATTGCCTTTGATACTGATGCAGATTTTTAAGGTCTTTTTTTTTTTTCTTTGAAATTCAAAATTGAGTGTCTCTTAACCTGAAATGCTTGCAATCAGAAGTGTTTCAGATTACAAATTTCTTTTGGATTACAGAGTATTTGCATGTGTACATAAACTTGGAGGTAGACCCCAAATCTAAACACAAAACTAATTTGTCATGTACACCTTATACACATTTCTTGAAGATAATCTTACATAGTATTTTCAGTGCACCAGAGCTTTGATTGTGACCTGTTATATAAGATGAAGGTGTAGAATTTTTCTACTTGTTTTATCATGTTGGTGCTCTGAAAGTTTTGGATTTTCAGATTAGGGGTGCTTAACTCATACAAATATGTGCTTGTTGAAAAGAATGCAAACAGAAGTGGTTGCTTTACTCCATCTTTGAAGAACTAACATTACTAGCAAAGCAAGTGAAGAATTTATTACATTTAGTTCTGGAGGCTAGGCAGGAAGATCGAGAGTTTCAGGCAAGCCTGGGCAACATAGCAAGACTCAAAAAACAAAAAGGAAACAAATAATTTATTATATTCTGTGCTGTTAGTGTCCAATTACTAGATTTCTTCAAGTGAAGAAACAACAAGGGGGCTGGGAGTGTGGCTCAAGCAGTAGAGTGCCTACCTAGTAAGCACAAGACCCTGAGTTCAAACCCCAGTACTGCCAAAAAAAAAAAAAACCCAAAAAAACAAAAACTACAAAAAAAAAAAAAAGTAGCATACTTATATTCTTTAACTGTCATATTTTTTGTTTGTTTTTAAGCTGTCTATTTTTCCTTTCAGCAGATACTGACTACCTACTGTGTGCCAGACATTGCTCTGGGAAGTTAATTATGAGCAAGACAGATGGGGTCTCTGTCTTGGGGTCTCTGGAGAAGGGGAGACAGCTAATAAGCACGGGAGATTATTAAACACTGTACAGAGTGTGTGGGAGATACGACAGAGAAGAGCTGAGATAGAGAAGGAGGGGAGACATTTTAACAGTGAGGTCAGTCAGTCAGGATCTCTTTGAGGATGTCATGTTTGATTGGTGAGGAGCCAGCCATGCTGAGAGCAGATGGAAAGCATTCCAGGCAGAAGGATGAACAAACATAAGGCCTAGGGGGACAAACCAGCTAGGTGGAGGTAATGGTGATGAAGAGGGGATTGTAGGAGTCAGGATCTGCAGGGCCTTGAGGGAGTTGGGGTTTTATGTAAGTACAGGTAAAGGATTTTAAGCAAGGCTTCGTGATTTGCCAAACAAGACATGTTTAGACTCCTAACATTTATTTTTACTTTGATGCTGGGGAGTGAACCCAGGGGCCTCACACTTGGTAGGCATGCACTCTGCCATTGAGGTACACCACCTCTTGGTTTTTCAAAACCAGGGTCTTGTAGCCCAAGATGACCTTAAACTCTCTGTCATCCTCCCTCCACCTCCCACGTGCTTTGATTATGGCATGTGCCACCACCATTCTGGATAAAGGTATTTTATTTATCAGCTCGCAAGACAGATGAATAAAATAAAAGTGTCAATTTGTTGGTCTTTCAGAAAGAGAAATTCTTGCCACTTAGAACTATAGTTCTCCTTTCTCCATGGCCAGCAAATGATATATTGTAGGCAAAATAACAAGACAAAGAAGTTGGCTTAGGAGTACACAGCAAGTGATTCTGAGCTAGAGAACTGGGTGCACTGACCCTTGGCTGGTTCTTTCCCAGGAGCTCTGGTAGAGCTTGCTATGCTGTGCTCCGTCTCCTATGCTTTTGAGGCTGGCTGGCTCTTATCCTCACAGTGAAATTCTTCTCATGCCAAGCCATGTTGGGGAGTACTGCTACAACTTATGGTGGCTTCACAAGTGCTCATTTCACATGTAACTCTCAGAATGCCCATGAGAAGCTGGGCGCCTGTGGCTCATGCCTGTAATCCCAGCTACTCAGGAGGCAGAGATTTGGAGGATCATGGTTCGAAGCCAGCCCAGGCAGATAGTCTCAAAAAACCCCATCACCAGAAGGGGCTGGTGGAGTGGTTCAAGGTATAGGCACTGAATTCAAGCCCCAGTACCACAAAGAAAAAAATGGGGCAGGATCTTTTGGGAAGTGTGGGGTGAGAGGAACTGGCAGGCAGTGTCTTCCTGGTGAACTGTTTCTCAGACAGTTCTCCCTCTCAGAAAAGGCCTCTTGAAGGGGTGCCCTGAGTGGACAGTGGAGACTTGAATGGTGAGAAGCAGTTGCCATGCCAGGATGTGAAGGAAGAGCAGTCTAGACGAAGGCAGCAGCAAGAGCAAAGGTCCTCAGATGCTGCAAACTCATGCAGAGAACAAGAGAAGGCCTACCATACCTTAGAGACAGGTGACAAAGGGCCTTGAGGGGTTTTGATTTCATTTAGTCATGATGGGATGCTATTGGTGGGTTTCTAGCTGGGGAGGGTTGTGATGTAATCCCATGTGCATGGAAGGAAACTCACTCTGGCTGGAGGGGCAGGAGTAGAGAAAAGGAGACCAGATGGGAGCTTGTTCTTGAGACGGGAGGTGGAAGTTCCTGGAATAGAGTGGTAGTAAGAAAATAGTGAGAAGTGCCTGGAGTCAGAATGTCTTAGAAGATGAGCTCTCCAGATTTGCTGAATGCAGGATGAGAAGCATGTAGAGATGGCTTGTAGGCCTGGAGCAGACAGTTGTGTCGTTTCTTTTCTAGAGGACCCGAGTTACCTTTCAGATAGCTGTGAGGTACACAGGGGAAGTGTCAGGTACATAGCTGGATGCATGAGGGTGTCCTCAAGAGTGAGGTCCAGGAGCAGTCTCTAAAGCTGTGCAACCAGAGGCAGTTATTCAGGGGGAGAGGAGAGAAACAGGAGTCAGCAGAGGAGACCAGGAAGGAGTTGCCAGTGGGGTAGCAGGAAAAGTAAGCAAGTGTGGAGCCACCAGTTAGAGAAGCGAGTGTTTGTGAGAGGAAAGACACATCACAAAACATTGCTGAGCGATTAAGGTGGAGACAGTAATGAGCCTTGACCTTGGCAGATCTAAGTGTGATAAAAAGGTATTTTAGTGGAACTAGGGATGAAAATGGGTCTTCAAATGGAGCAAAAGGAGAATAGGAGATAGGCAAGAGGAAGAGACAATGTGCTTGTTACCATGGGGAACAGAGATAGGGCAGTGTCCAGAGGGAAATGTGGGGCTGAGAGGGTGACTGGTGAGGGTGTTTCATTTGACAAAGGAAGGATCACAGGGGATAAATGGTTGATTCTATGACCCTTGAAAAGGCAAGCAGCTTCAGTGTGCAGTGCTCAGGTGGAGCCAGCCTGTGGTGAGAGTGGGTGAAGCAAAGGAAGGCAGGATGTGGGAGGTAGGTGCAGGGAGTCTGAGGGACAGATGGAGAGTGAAGATGAGTATGTCTCACTTGCGTGTGCTTTTTTGCTGGGGCCATCAGAGTTTTGGGGGAAGAAAAGGGGAGTCTTAAAAGGGGCTAAAATTGGGCCAGGTATTGTTGGCTACTTGAGAGGGGTAGGTAGAAGGATTGTGGTCTGAGTCTGGCCTGCGGAAAGAGCAAGACCCTATCCAAAAAATAACTAAAGCAAAAAAGGCTGGAGGCCTGATTCAGGGTAGAGTGCCTGCCCAGCAGGCATGAGGCCCTGAGTTCAAACCCCAGTACCACCAAAACAAAAAAAGGGATAAAATTAATTTGCGGGAGGCCATATTTGTTGCTTGCCTGAAATTTGCAGTGGGTCCTGGTGGCAGATGGCAAGGCTGTTTCTCCTCCACTGACTCCTTTCTTAGGCATAGATGTGAAGTGCTGTAGAGGAACAGAAGGGGCAGGAGCCTATGGAAAAGAATTTACAAAGGAGCAGATATTGTGCCCAACCACAGAATCACAGTGAGGCAGAGAGGAAAGGCAGAGTGGGACCAGGTACTCAACAGTAAGAGGGTGTTAGGGTGCCCAGGATAGCCTCTTCACCGAGTTCCTGTCTTCCTACTAAACTGACTCATCATAGCTAGAAAGCCATGGGAGTCCTTCAGAGTCCTGTAGTCTCAGAGCACCCCTGACATCAATGTGTGGGCTTCCCATACCAAGTGATTCTTTGATTTTCTGCAAACACTAAGTATTGGGCATTTTAGTTCTGATGCTAACTATCCAGAGTTAGCTTGTGTAGACCACACAGGTTTAAGGGCCCAGTCTTACACATCTTCCCACTTCAGACTCCAGTTGCAAGCCCCAGATTGTCACCTGTACTTCTACCAACTAGCTAAAAATTTGGGGTTCCCATTACCCCTTCCTCAAGTTTGATCATTTTCTATAATGGCTCCCAGAACTCAGGGAAATATTAACTTGTATTTTGGTTTATTATGAAGGATATTAACAGAGACAGATGAATAGCCAGGTGAAGACGGCAAGGGAAGGGTGCAGCACCTCCATGTGTCCCCTCCTAGTAGCATCTTCATGTGCTCACCACTCTGTAAGCGCCTGTAGTTTAGGGACTTTTATTACGGCTTCACTGTGTAGACATGATTGGTCGTTCACTTCATCTAGGGCTCTCCCCTCTCCCCACTTCATACGATGAGAGAAGTAAGGCTTCTCCCAAATTTCTAATCCTGGCCTCGTTTTTCCTGTGACCAGCCCCCATCCTGAAGCTATCCAGGAGCCTTTCAAAAGGATGTACTTCAGTTGTGGGTGGTTGCCCAGCATGTGTGAGGCCCTGGGTTTGATTCTCAGCACTACAAAAACAAACAAACAAAGATACCCTGTTGCCCAGGAAATTCTAGGAGATTAAGGAGCTCTGTGTCAGGGACCTGCGAGGAAGACCAAATGCCAGAACAAAAGCTGCTCCCAGCACCCCTGTCATTCAGGAAATCACACTGGTTTTAGGAGCTCTGTGTCAGGAATTAGAGGCAGAGACCAAAGATATGCACATGGTTTCCACCTTTACAGAGGTGTGAAAGTGTGCCCACAGCCATTTGTTTTTCTCTTTCAGAATGGTATTCAGTAAATGACAGGAGCTAGTCAACGCTGTATTATAAAACAGTCGTGTGTTAGATGCTTTTGTCCAGTGGCAGGCTAATATAAGTGTTCTGAGCGTGTTTAAAGTGAGCTGGACTACACTGTGATGTTCTTTAGTTAGGTGGGTAGTAAATGCATACAACACTTTCATCTAGTGTGATGCAACCACAGTGTAAGCTGAAGAGCATCTACATTATTATGTCACAGACCGTAGGTGCTACTGTTTCCTCCGCCTTGCAGACCAGTGTTAACCCTGGCATTCTGTAAATGTGCTTGTAGTTACTAAATTTTTGTCAGATGCCAAAAGTACATAAAATTTGTAGCCTTTTTTTCTTTATCCTTTCTTTTTTATTTTTGTGGGACTGGGTTTTGAACTCAGGGTTTTGCGCTTGCAAAGCAGGCGCTCTACTACTTGAGCCACACTTCCAGTCCATTTTGCTCTGGTTATTTTGGAGATAGAGTCTCAGGAACTGTTTGCCCAGGCTGGCCTCTAACTCCAATCCTCCTGATCTCAGCTTTCTAGGTAACTAGGATTACAGGCGTGAGCCACCCGCTGGACAAAACTTGTAGCTTTTTCCATAAGACTTGCTCAAAACCCTTTTGCGGAGAAGTGCAACCAAGACTAATGCAGCCTGATTTGTGTTTAGGTGCCTAAAAGAAGACCCTGCTACCATGTCCCTGCTACAGAGAAGCCTTGATCCTGAAAAGACCCTGGGCCTGGTAGATGTGCTCTACACAGCTGTGCTGGACCTAAACCGTTGGAGGGCAGGGAGGTTGGTGTTCCTGCCAGTCTTTTGTTTCAGTGCTTGTTTGGTTTTGGTGGTACTGGGGTTTGACTCAAGACCTTGCACTTGCTCTGCCATTTGAGCTACAGCTCCAGCTCTTTTTGGCTTTTATTTTTCAGGTAGGGTCTTACATGTTTTGCCTGGTCTGGCCTCAGACCGTGATCCTTCTACATAGGCCTCCAGTGTAGCTGGGATTATAGGTGCACCCATTGAGCACAGCCCCCCAGTCTTTTGAATTGGCTGTCAAAGTGACTTGCATTTTAAGTCCGCATCCAGGGGCAGTGTGACTACACACAATTTTATGTCACTGATAGTATGTGAGTAAATAAGCAAGAAAGAAGACTTTTTGGTAACTTTTGATTTTGGAATAAGTTCAAGCCTGCAGAGAAGTTGCAAGAATAAAACAAATTGCTCTTTGTCATTTACTGAGATACCTTAATTTGTTTACACTTTGTCCTGTTTTATCATTCAAGTAAGTCCATCAAGGGGCCTTTTAATCTGGTTCCCATTCTCTTTATGAACTAAAAGCATAGAAATGTTCAGGAAATTTACTTACATTCTTCATGAAATTTACTTAGATCTGAAAGTAGCTGTTGGGGATAAGGCTCAGAGGTAGAGCATTTGAACAGTGTGTGCAGGGCCTACAAAGAAAAAAAAATGTAATGAAAGTAGCAAGATAGCTGCAAGATAAGCTCTTTGTGAATTAATTTTAGAATTCATAGAAACCTTAAACATCTAGCCACGCCTGCTCTCCCTTTCCTAACTCATCAGCTCAGAACAGTAAAATGACTTCTCCAGGGTCACACTGGTCATCATCACCTGCCTCAGCTCCTGCCCTCTGCCCTTTCTTCTCGGGGTATCTGTTAATACAGGAAGAGTGCTCAGAAAATGTTTCCATTTTCAAAGGGACCCTGTTAGATACTAGAAAGTGTATACACTGAAACTTCTGGTGTTCATTTATTTATAAAATAAGGGAACCTAATACCCAACAAAGAGGTCTTTCTTATTTGCAACCAATCTCTTCTCTCCCCTTCTCTCTTTTCTTGGTTCTGGTGATCAATCTCAGGGCCTTGTGCAAACTAGGCAATCAAAGTCTTTTTTTATTTGTTTCATTTTATCATTTCATTTTCCAATTTGTATAGTTTTTTTTTTCTTTCTTTCTTTTGCTGTTTAAATAGGGAACAAGCTTTACCTTGCATACAGATTCAGCTTCAAAGGGAGATCTGTGACTTTGGGAATCAGGCTGACCTGCCTTCTGGAAATGGAAACAAATCTTCAAGTGGCTTGCAGAAGACATTCTCCAAACTGACATCCCGGTTCACCAAGAAAGCTTCATGTTCTAGCTCGAGCAGCAACACAAACTATTCCATCCCAAGTACCCCTTCCAAAAATGTCTTCATAGCTGGGTGTTCAGAAGAGAAGGCCAAAATGCCTGGGAATATTGACACACGGTTACAAAGCATTTTGAACATTGGTAGCTTCCCTAGGACTACAGACCCTTCACAGTCTGCTCAGAATCCCAGCAATCCAGTGGCCAATGGTTTTCTCCTGGAGAGGCGGGAGAACTTCCTGCACGAGGATGATGGCAAGGATGAGAAGGGTATGAACTTACCGACCGATCAGGAAATGCAGGAGGTGATAGATTTTCTCTCAGGCTTTAACATGGGCCAGTCACATCAGGGCTCTCCGTTGGTGACAAGGCGTAATTCTGCTGCCACAGCCATGGTGACTGAGCAGAAGGCAGGGGCCATGCAGCCACAGCAGCCATCACTGCCATTGCCCCCTTCACCACGGCCACCCCAGACTGGGGCACATACACCTCTGACACCCCAGCTGAGTCTGGCACCTCAGCAGCAGTCCCCAAAGCAACAACCACCCCAGGTCCAATACTACCAACACCTGCTCCAACCCACTGGAATGCAGCACCCACCCCAGCCTCGGGCGCCTGGGAAGTGGGCACATGGTTCATCCCAGCCGCCAGCACAGCCCGTGGGGGCAGGTCTGGCTCCGCTTGGCCAGTGGCCTGGCATGCCTGATCTCAGTTCTGACTTGTACAGTTTGGGTCTAGTGAGCAGCTATATGGATAATGTGATGTCCGAGGTTCTGGGACAGAAGCCACAGGGACCTAGAAATAACACCTGGCCAAACCGGGACCAAAGCGATGGAGCGTTTGGAATGCTGGGAGACGGCCTGCCTTTTGACCCTGCAGGTATGTGACGCCTTCTCCTTCTCGCCAAATTCTGATGTGATCACTGTGGACTGCTTAGAGCCTGGCTGCTGCCGCCTTGCTAAAGGTGAAATAGGGCTGGCAGAGTGGCTCAGGTGGTAAGAGTGTCTGCCTGGGAAATGTGAGGCCCAGCGTTCAAACCCCATTACCACCAAAACAAAAGGTGGGAGGGAGTAACTTCATCCAACTTTGGAGTGTTTCTCACTGTCTGGAGGCAAATACAAGATAAGATGTAGAGCCAGAGCTCTCTCCCCAGCCTGCCTCCCATCTTTTTTGTTTGACGCTTCTGCAAATGCCTCTGTGCATTCTTCTCCATTTACACTGCCCAGCACATCTTTTTTTGCTCTGTCTAGTATGTTTTTAGCCACCTCTTTACTTTTTTATTTATTTTTTTTGGTGGGAGTAGGATTTAAACTCAGGAGTTCACACTTGCAACTTCACACCTGAGCCACACCTACAGCCCATTTTGCTCTGGTTATTTTGGAGATGGGAGTCTCACAAACTGTTTCCCTGGGCTGGCCTTGAGCCTTGATCCTCCTGATGTCACCCTCACAAGTAGCTAGGATTATAGGTGGAAGCCACTGGTACCTGGCCTTTGGCCATCTCTTAATGAATTCTGAAATCTCATCTTATTCTTTGCCACATGTCTCTTACCCAATATCCAGTCTCCTTTGATCCAAAATATTGGATCAAGGCCAAGTGCAGTGCCTCATGCTTGTAATCTAGATACTCAGGAGGCAGAGATTGAGAGGATCATGGTTTGAGGCCAGCCCGGGGAGCATATTAGTGAGATCCTAGCTCAGGTGACAAGCCAGGCATGTCACCTCAGCTATGTGGGAGGCATAATGAGGAGGGTCATGACCCAGGCCAGTCCCCACAAAAGTGTAAGGCCCTGTCTGAAAGACAACTAAAGTAAAGGGTGGTGATGTGGCTCAAGTAGTATGGCAAGCGCCTGGCCCTGACTTCAAACTCCAAAATAAACAGACAAAATACTAGGTCAATGTTTGGCTGAAGTGGAGTTGGCATATAACTTCCATCTGGCCGATTCTGATGCTTTGATAGCTTTCAGGTATTTGTTGGCCAGGTCATTACTGGTACATAACCACCAAGACACTGGGAAATTTAAAAGTAACTTACCTTTGTCTTAAAACTTAGTTGTGAAAAAGATCAAATCTTTGTTCTCTCCCTTCACACTCAGCCTGCCTCTATCCTGGCATAACCCTTCCTGGCAGTCCCTGCACTATCATACCCAGTTTCAGGCCTCTGTGTTGAAACCCCATCTCATCCTGCAGGGGCCCAAGCCTGGGAGCTCCTTATCACTTGTCATCATGTATGTGATCAGCACATCCTCAGAGCAGAGGAGCCAACAGGCCAGCTTAGCCCCAAACCCCACTATTCTCTCTCTACACAGTGGGCTCAGACCCAGAGTTTGCACGCTACGTCGCGGGAGTGAGCCACGCGATGCAGCAGAAGCGGCAAGCCCAGCATGGCCGCCGTCCAGGCAACCTCCGGGGCAATTGGCCACCCATGGACGATGCCCATAGGACCTGGCCTTTTCCAGAGTTCTTCACAGAAGGGTGAGTGCTGGGTACAGCTGGGAAACCTGGTTTAGGATCTGGATCTCTCATATAGGGTCTTTGAAAAGGGAGACTCATTGGCCTTTGTGTGTTATTGTCAGGCAATTCAGTTCCAGGCTCCCACATGAAAGCATGGTACGTGAGTATGTTTTCAGGGCCTCAGAGTTTGTGACTGATAGGAGATGCCAAGTGTATGATGTATCCCTGTGAACACACCACTGATACAAATTCACGACTTAAGACAGACTTCTGCCTAAAACAAGGATCTTACTTGACTGTGTGTGTAAAGTAATTTTGTGTTTAATATGGTATTTCTACTGAAATGAGCAAGGCTGCAAAACCCACACAAAGTATGGAATGCTGTCATTATAGCCTATACAAGGCAGAGGTGAACCTGGCATGCACAAGGTCCTGGGTTCTGTCCCTAACAAAACCTCTGCTCACCCCCCCAAAAAAAAGAAAGGGCAAGCCAAGCATGGTAGTACTTTCCAACAGTGGGGTGGGGCACGCTAACGCAGGAGGATTATGAGTTCAAGGTCAGCCTTGACTATCTAGCAATACCCTGCCTCAGAAAACCAAGGGCTGAGGATGTAGTTCAGTGGTAGAGCACTTGTCCAGTATGCATAAGACTCTGGGTTTCTTCCCTAACACTGTAAAAACAACAGACAAAAAAATGACGTTGTTTACATGTGTAATCATACCCACTCAGGAGCTAAAGTTCAGGTGGATCATGGTTTGAGGCCAGCCCAGACAAATAGTTTGCAGGACCCTGACTAAAAAAATACACAACACAAAAACGGGCTGGCAGAGTGGCTCAAGTGGTAGAGCACCTGCCTAGCAACCTTAAGGCCCTGAGTTCAAACCTTTCTACCACCAGAAAAAAAAAAAGCATTAACTTTTTTCCTTTGGTGGCACTGGGGTTTGAACTCAGGGTCTCACATTTGCTAGGCAAGCTCTCTACCACTTGAACAACAACCTCAGTCCAAGTGTGGATTTTTCACATTCCATATGGCTACCTGGTTAATAAATCTGAGTGGTGAAAGAACTACTCAACTTCTGTTTTCTTTAAAAATAAATTTCATGTTCAAACCACGAGCTTCTGAGAGGAATAAAAGGACATGGTGACTGTGTATTGTTTTGAAATAAGGGAAAGAAAGAAAACCTCAGGTTTTTAGAAGGGAGGAATAGGAGACCAGTGTTTGATTATGGAGGAGTGCAGGGTAAGGACCGCTGCTTTAGCGCCTGGGTGGAGGAGGAGCTGGCCTCAGGGCTTTGGGCTAGTTGTCCAGGCTGCAGGAGCCCAAGTACTAGCCTCTCTCTTCGGACTTTCAGGGATGGCCTGCACAGCGGCTGGTCAGCTGTTCAGGGAGACTCAGCCAGCTCCAGTGATGAGACGTCTTCAGCCAATGGGGACAGCTTGTTCTCCATGTTTTCAGGGCCTGACCTCGTTGCTGCTGTTAAGCAGAGAAGGTAAGAGGAGATTTCAAGCCAGGGAGGGGAGAGGAGAGCATGTGAACATGAACACAGCTTTCTCCTCTGGGAAAGCTAGGAGCCCCATTGCTGCCAGCCTTCCCTGTGAGATAGGTGGAGGGGCTCTTCCAGCACTACATGACTAAGGGCCTCCAAAGAACATCTGTAGGAAGAGTCAGCCTGGTCTTGTGAGGCCTCTGAGGGGCGCCTCCAGGCTTGTAGCCCATGGGACTTAATGTTGGGTTGAAGTTTTGATGACAGAACAGCTTCATGGTAGCCAAAACTCCCAGTGTGATAGGCAAGGGAGGACTGAAAAGACAGGGTCTGTTATGCCAGTGTGGGCCTTGCAGGATGCAGCCCTTGCTGTGGAGGACCGGGGCCAGGACAACCATGTTCTACTGACACTCACCGGCAGACTCTGCAGCTCCAGGCAAGGAAAAAAGATAGTGTGCATGCTCAGATCTAAGATTTCAAAAATAGTAAAAACTGCAAGGGACCCTGAAAAGAGGTGAGTGGCTAGAAAAAAGTACAGAGACTGTTGTGGGTACAAGGAAGCCAGAATGCGGAGGTGCAAATGAAGGGACGTGGGCAGAACTGGAGATCAGACAGGGTTGCTTAAGCAAGAGAAATCATACTGTGAGTGGGAAAGGGAGGCCAACCTACTGGAGCCCATGTGCCCTCACTGTGTGGCCAGGCTGCAGTGGACAAGCAGAATCAGTGGATGACTGGGGAGGGCACCCAGACTAGGACACGCAGAATCGTGGTGATGGGGATGACCGTGATCAGGATCACAAGGTAGGGTGCTTTCTGTAAGCCAAGCCTTGTGCTGAGCACTTTACATAGATTTTTTTACTTAATTCTCCTTTTTCTTTTTGAGGGAGGGAGGTGGTACTAGGGGATTGAACTCAGGGCTTCATGCTTAAGAGGCAGGCAGTGTGCCGCTTTTGCCACGCCTTCAGCCATTCTCATCCACTCTCATTGCCACTGGGTTCATTTGCTAGGTATGTCTCTCATCACAGTAGACCATAGACTGTGGGGCTTAAGCAACTGAAATGTACTTCCCTGGGCTGGGGATGGAGCTCAGTGGTAGAGTGCTTGCCTGGCATGTTCAAGGCCCTAAATTCGATCCCCCGCACTACAAAATATTTTCTCACAGTTCTGGAAGCTACAAGTCTGAGATCAAGATGTTGGCAAGGTTGGTTTCTTCTCAGGACCCCTTCTCTTGGATGATAACGAAAGCCCCATCTCACCACAGCAGGGTGTGATGGCCACCTTCTCCCTCTGAGTTCACAAGTATTTTTGTGATTCTTCTCTTCTTATATGTTACACTGGATTAGAGCCCAGACTAATACCCCATCTTGATTTACTCACCTCCTTAAAGACCGTGTTTCTAAACATAGTCACATTCTGGGGTACAGGAACTTAGGACTTCAACTTACAAATTGAAGGGGGCACAGTTAAGTGTCAGGTTGGGTTAGGTGCTATGAAGAAAAATAGAAAATGCAGGAACAGGTGGATCTTCTGTTTTCAGAAGGGCGGCCTCAGTGATGAGCAGAGGGCTGGCCAAAGTAAGGGAACAACTGGTAGACATTGAGAGTCAAGAATCGAGGGTAATAGACCAGCTCTGGGCCTGCACTTCTGGGTGACAGGGTGCTGTGAACTGAAACTTGGAAACAGCTAAAGGAGTGGGTTTGAGTCAGGGTGGTGATTAAGACTTGTGTTTTATCAGACCTATGGCCAGGAGATGTCTAACGAGTCACCTGTAGCACTACCTCTGTGGAGCTGCCAGCTGCATGCAGGAACACTGCTCCATTCGTGCTGCATCCTGCCCTTTCTTCATCATTGTAAAACTAATGCACTTTTACTTTAAGTTCCATACATCCCATCCAGCACCTACTGAATAAATAACAAGCCAAAGCTGGTGGACTCAAGAGTGAAAGCAGCCTGCCCCTCCCCATCTCACCTGCCTGGTGAGATGCTTTGTAGGCATGCACCAATCAATGCTGACTCTTTATCCCACTAAACTTAGTGTCAAGGCCTCTTTTCTAGACCCAGGGTCTGGAGACACCAGAGCCAGCCAGCCTAGAGTTAAGCTGGACAGGAAGCCAGATGATCGTGCTCTGAGCTCTTGGTTCTTTTCAGGAAGCACAGCAGTGGAGAGCAGGAGACCAGCACGCTGCTCTCACCACCTCTCCTTACTGCAGCAGAGGACGTGAACCAGGTACTGCGGGTAAAGATGGTGGGCAAGGTTCCAAAGTTTGAGTTTTAAGAGGGCTTCGGAGTCATGAAGGGTCTTCTTTGTGTGGCTTGTTCTCATGATTTCATCTAAGCGATTAGCCATCTCAGCTGACCTAGAGCCACGTGTAAACTCCAGGGCTGTGCTGTCCAGTATGGCAGCCACTGCCACATGCATCAATTTAAATTTAAATGAAGGGCTGTGGATGTAGCTCATTGATAAGAGCACCTGCCTAGCACCTGTGGCGCTCTGGTTTTGATCCTCAGTACTGGTGACTCATGCCTGTAATCCTAGCTACTCAGGAGGCAGCGATCACGAGGATCACAGTTCAAAGCCAGCCCAGGCAAATAGTTCAAGAGACCCTATCTTGAAAAAAACCCTTCACAAAAAAGGGCTGGTGGAATGATTAGAAGTGTAGGCCTTGAGTTCAAGCTCCAGTACCACAATATATACATATATATAAAAATAAAATTTATATATATTTACACGTATAATTTGGGTGCATGCATGCAGATGCATACATACACACACACCTAAGTTCAGTTGCACCAGCCATTTATGCTGAGTGTCTAGCATATGGACAGTGCAGGCATAGAGCATTGCTGCCATTGTAAGATGTTCTCCTAAACAAGACTTGGAGGCTGGGACTCTCCAGCTCCTAGGTAAACAGAAGGGCCAGTGATCTGGGGAGGTGGGAAAGGTGATAAGTCACCAGAAACACAACTAAAGACCCTTTTCTGTCTCTCAGGATCACAAAACCAAAACATGGCCACCCAAAGCACCCTGGCAGCACCCTTCGCCACTGCCCAGCCCAGGCGCTCCACTCTATGCAGTTGCCAGCCCTGGCAGCCAGTGGAATGACACCATGCAGATGCTGCAGTCCCCTGTGTGGGCTGCGACCAGTGACTGCAGTGCTGCCTCCTTCTCCTATGTGCAGAGCCCGCCACAGCCCCCACCCCCACCAGCACACAAGGCGGCACCCAAGGGCTTCAAGGCCTTCCCGGGGAAGGCTGAGCGCAGGCCAGCCTACTTGCCCCAGTACTGACCAGGGCTGGCCGGCCTGCCTTCCTGCCTGGAGCTCTTCAGGCAATGTGTCCCTGCCCTACGGCTAACTAGTTGACACCACCCCCAAGAGGACCAGTGCACTCGTCCTAGAGAGGGGAATGTTCCTTGGGGCAGGGGTGGTGGCAGCTCCAAGCCTTCAAAGCCTGGTTTGTCCAACTCTGAAGGCAGTAGACCCCTGGAGAGCCAGCTGAAGGTGGAGATTTCCGATGCTCAGGGGGACACTGGATAATCTGCATGCTTGACAAGCCCCTCAGGTGATTCTGATGCAGGTGGCTAGAGGGCCACATTTGGAAACACAATTTCTAAGGTCACAAATCCTACTGTGCGTTGGGAATGCGTGAGGCCTGCAGGCTGGGAACACACCGACATTCTTCTGAAGCCTCTCCTGTCTCCCTAACACACCAATCACTAATTTCATAGCTACTTTTCGTGTAGGTTTTCAGTTCAAACATCTCCTATCTAAAATGCCATTGAATATTTTAGGATAACAGACATGCTGGCTGGAGGTTTGTTCAACACTATCTTTAAGCTTAAACTGAGTGGGCAAAGTATAGACTATTTGTGATCTGAAGCAGTCACCTGGGTTCCCTGTGCTGCAGGAGCATCCAGAGTGCAGTTTCGGCAGGCTGACAAGGGCAGGATTGTAAAACGGTGCATGGAGATGAGCTGCACTGCTGCCCTGAGCCCCTTCTACCATGGCCAGAGGCACCAGTTCAGTCCTCAGTGGGGACACAGCGCCCTGCACTCAGAGCCACAGTGACAGTGGGGCTGGCTCAGGAGACAAGCTAAGTGCGATGTAGATAGGAATTAAAGTCTTTGCTTTAAAAACACCTCATTTTCAGTTAACATGTGCCATTAAATAACAGCATCCTGTGGATAGGGAGAATGTCCAGAATGGATCCAGAATTGAATGGTGCTTAAATTGAGAAATAAGAAATATCTATAGAATAGACCTATCCCACTGTATATTAATTGCAGTTGCAGAAAGTTCTTTATATAAAACTTATTTAAATCTTTCATATTTCATCTTTGAAAAAGTCTAATTGAGAAAAATCCATGATATTTTCTGGTATGAAAGTTTGACAGTATTAATATTTTTTTTATATTTTCTTAAATCATTAAACCATTTTAATATATATGTTAACTACTAATAAATGGTTTATTCTTTCTAACTCCATACAAGCTTTTCCAACAAAGATTGTAATAACACATTTATGTTCTCATTTTTCTACAAATATAAGTAAATTTATATTTAAAAATACCAGAACGATAAATATATATATATACACAGATATATATATATGTACACACACATACACACGTCATAGAGGACCCTTGGGGTGTCTGGGTTTTTAGTACTGTGTCGTCAGGCTGTTTCGGGCCTTGGGTGTTGTCTCTTGTGCTGTGTGAGGTGCCGTTGCTGCCTGTACTTAACGATCCCTTCACCGTGGGTTCCAAACATTCACCTCACCATGTTTACAGAGAACTATTTTGTACATAGGGTTTTCAGGTACATGCTTTGTACCAATCCTGCGTGGCGCTCGTCTGTGTTAGCCGTCAGTTTGCACACTAACCTGTTAACGTTCTTTGTGGCTGTTTTCCTTGTAAGATAGTTTCCTGTCTCCTCAGCAATGTGTCCACACTGTGCTGTATTTCAAGTTCCATTATACTGAAGTACTCTTGTTTTAATAGTGCCTCCTCAAAGACCTCACCCTGGACAGAGGTCAGTCCTCGATGCCCCAGCACAGGTGACACTGACAATTGTCACTTTCCAGTTTGCTCTTCTCTATTAAGGAAGACACTTTGTAATCGCATCTCCATGGCTGTGTGTGTGAAGCTGTCCGTGTAGTCTCCATTGTAGGTGCTGTGTTCCCAGCACCACCGTGCCCTGAACACTGGTAATTCCAGGTGCTGCGCTCGGCAGAGAGGTCTCGCCAAAGCGCATGTGTGTGCGTGAGTGTGCAGCTGTCCTTTGCATGGCCGGGCCTGGCTGCCTTGCTCGGGCATCAGTAGGACATTGTGTGAATAGTTACAATGCTTCCAAACTGGAACTCTACATTTTGTATCTTACTTTTAAAGCTCCTATAAGTAAAATAACTATTGGCTTTATTAAAAAATAAACATTTAATAATACTCTGTGTCTTTATTTTAAATGAATTGCAGCAGACATAGCTGTCAGAAGTGCTGCCTGACTCACCACTTTGAAAAGCTGCGCATGAGTTGGTTTTTAGGTCAGTCAGCCTGTCCTGATTCTAAGACCTGTGAAAGGGTTGACGTCTCAGGGTACTGGGATGCACTGGAGTGGATGGACAGGAAGGGCAACCAATCACAGCCTCCCATTGGCTTCCCTGAGCCAGAGCTGCCTTAGGTGCTTATCTCCTGGAAGAATGCAGGTGTGCTTTCTGGGTTTTGTTCTGCCAACACTCACTTCCCACCAAGTACGGGTACTGTGACCTACAGTACTCAGGGACGAGAACCCACGAGGAACCCAGTCTGTGCCCCGAGATGGTGCCTCACAGAGATAGAAAAGACCTGTCTCACCAGATGCTGTCATTGTCAGCCTACTAAGCAGAGGGAGACTGAGAACCACTGATGGACAGTGGGTTACAGGAGAATTCCAACTTCCCTGAAATGTTCTCATGTAGTGGGGGACGGAGGAATGTGAGCAGTACAGTTGCTGAGTTGTAAGCGACACTCAGGCTCTCTACTGAGATGGGTGGGGATGGAAGCAGAACCTGTCATGCCTGCACTCCTGGAGGGCTCCTGGAGGCCACAGCCTGTCAGAAGTGGAGGGGAGTGCACAAGCAGGCCACCTGGGAAGCTTCTGCTTCATGCCAGCCATGGGGGTGGGAGGGGTTGGCCCACCACTTTGTCCTGTGTGGCCACTGCTGTGACCTGCCTCCTGATCTGGAGACAAAGGAGAAATGAACCCTTTTTAGTGATCAGATCTGTGATGCCAGAGAGCCATGTCCGTGGACAGTATGACTGGCTGCCTCCCCACCATATCTACCCAGGAGTGCCAGGAACCTCCCGGAGCAGAGTCCTGCAAAGTAATGCATATAGCTCTGGCCTTTACAGTTCCACAGAACAGGATGACTGGGCCGCAACCTCTACTGGTCTGTAAGGGTCATGGCTTGTGCTGGGATTGTTTCAGGAGTGTACAAGTCACTTCCCAGGAGCCAGCCCTTGCAAAAGAGATGCAGTCTCTGACCATTTTCCCATCCTTGAAAGAGTTCCATCACCGATCTACTAAGTTACACTGAAATCCCAGAAAACATTCTTGATCCTTTACTTTCATTCTTATAAAATGCACCTCCAGGCACCCTTACTGCCATTACGCAGGTCCTCACGGGGCTCCGACCCGTCCCTTGCAGCCTAAGAGGTTCCCATGCACACCCCTAACCCTCCAACCTGCCGGCCTGTGGCTTTCAGCCTTCATTAGTTCTCTGGGGCCAGTGTCCACCTTCCGGCCACACTTAGAGCACTTACCACTGCCCTGGAATCTGCGTGTGCTTTGTTCCTCCCAGGAGAAAGCCCCCGAGAACATGGAGACGGTCTGTTCCTGGAAGCGCCCAGACCTCTGCGAGCAACTCGCTGAGGCAGGCTGAAATCAGGGAAAGCTCGGGACTCGGGAACTCTTACACCTCAAATTAACCATGCCCAGGAACCACCCACGCCCCTCCCCACGCATTGATTACTGGATGGAAGTCGCCTGGTTCCTCCCTTCCCCTAAGTTTTAAAAGCACCTGGAGAAAACAAGCTCTCGCCCCACCTCCAGATTCCAGCTGGGCCCGCCATGCTCCCTTTGTCTTTCCCTTCCTAACTTTTAATTAACTCCATTTACACTCACGTGTCCTGCCATGGATTCCTCCATGCAAGACAATTTGGAAATCTGGTGGGACTCCATCCCGCCGCCAACATTACCAGGGAGGGACAGAATTTGCTAATTCTAATGCAGAGCAAAAAACAGAACAAGACTTAAAAAGGTTCTCCCATTGCATTAAAAGACTGTATAGTCGCCAGAACCGTAACAAGACTCAAGAAACAGCACTGGAAGCTGCGCATCAGAATCCGTAGGCTTTTAACAAGCATAATTTTGCTAGTCTCATGGGAACCACATCTACGTACTGCGGAGAAAAAAAAAACAACTTAAGGCCCAGCAATGAATTTATAGGGAAAACCCCACTCCGCGCACCCGCAGGCGTGCGCACGTGCACGTCCGCCCCGGACGGAGCATGCGCACATGCCACCCTCGCCCGTCCATCCGGGACGTGCCGACTCCGGCGCTCCCCGATTCGCGCTTCCGACCTTGCGCCCGCGCACGCGCACACGCGCCGCATCCCCGCCCGCCCCCCCCCCCCGACGTGCCAATCCGCACGCAGGCGCGCGCTCGCGTCTTCCCGGCGCGTGGGCGCGCGCGCGCGCCCGCCCGCCCCGCCGAGAGTGCGTGCGCGCCCGCGCTTGGAGCTCCGCGGTCCCGGGCGGTTGCCGCCCGCCGTGACTCAGCGTCTCCGGTGCACGCGCCTCGGAACCGCGCTGGAATATCCTCCCCTCCCGCTCACTCCGGACCGAATCCGCTGCCCGGCCTCTCCGCCCTCGCGTCCTGCCTGAGCTCGGTGCAGCGGCTTATCTAAAGGCCCCTGCCTCAGTTTCCCCTTCTCTAGGACGTGGAGCGTGGCCGCGCTGTCCGGACCCCGTTCTGATTCGCTCCACTTTCGGGGCCCGCGTCACCTTGCTGGAGCGGGGTCGGTGACCCCCGACCTGCGCCCCGCCGCCGGCCCCGCGCCGCTCCGCCCCGCACAGCGCCCGGTTTTGAACTGTGGAGGACCCGGGGCCGGGTCGCAGCCGCCACCCCCCGCCCTTCCCCGCCCGGACTGCCCGCTGCACGTGCCCGGGCTGCCGGCCCTCCCGCTGGACTCGACAGTCTGAGCACGTGTAAAATTCCGCCGCCATTCAGTGTGGCTGTCGTGGAGGCCCCAGTGACGCTTAAACAGCCTCCTGCCAGGAATCCCAGCTGCTCAGGAGGCAGCGATAGGACGATCATGGTTCGAAGCCAGCCTGGCAAATAGTTCCCGAGACCCTGGCTTGAAAATTCTCAACACAGAAAGGGGCTGGTGAAATGGCTCAGGTGGTAGAGCGTCTGCCCAGCCAGTGTGGAGGTCCTGAGTTCAAAACCCAGTACCCCCACCCCAAAAAGAACGACGGGGAGAGGGAAAGGGTTTGTCTCCGTTCCCAAACTATTCTTGCAAGTTTGTCTTAAGGCAGACATGACAGGGCTGTGATATATTTTTTTTTTTCTGCTTAATAACAGTGGCACTTTTCAAATGTCTTAACCCCTGTTACACGGGGCGGACAACAGGTTCTCTCTCACAGGGCTGCCATAAGGGGTATTGTGCAAAGAGCTCTCCACAGTAGAACCTGGCTGACCATGCTACAGGCCTGATGACAAATGACTTTTAATATTCATCTTACTTTTTTTTCTTTTTTTGCCTCAGCCTTCACCATGCCCAGGCTGTTCTACTTTTTCTGCTTCCTTTCCTTCGCTACAGTGACCTGTCACCCTCTAGATGGGAACCGAGTTCCCTCCTACTGTAGAAAATCCATGAAACCCTGCAATTTCAAAGTACAGGTTAAACTTACATTGTGGGAAACAGTCTGAAGCACCGGGGAACACAGAAGGCAACTGCTGGGGGTGTGGTTTAGAAGAATGTCAAAAAGAAGGTGAAATGATAACTACCAGAGGCCTCACCTCCTGCCTCTTCTTCCTAGGGGCTTGGATGGATGAAAGGATAATGGAGAAGGCAGTGTGGTGGCCAGCAGGTGAGCACCTTTGAAAAGACAGTTGTAAATGGTGGTGAGACTCAAAAGGACAGAAACTCTAAGGGGAGTGTTACATTCCTGCTGCAGTGACCGGCCCCAGGAACTTAGGTGATGTCAAGTTCGGTGTGAGGGCTGTGGAGTGGCTCAAGTGGTAGAGCTCCCGCCTCGCAAGCATGAAGCCCTGAGTTCAAATGTCAGTATTGCCACACAAAAAAAAAAATCAAGTTCAGTCTGGCATATTTTTTGTGATATGGGGTTTGAACTCAGGGCATTCACCCTGAGCCACTCCACCGGCCCTATTTTTGTGATGGGCTTTTTCAAGGTAGGGTCTCGAGAACTATTTGCTAGGGCTGGCTTTGAACCTTGATCCTCCTAATCTCTGCCTTCTGAGTAGCTAGGATTCCAGGCGTGAGCCGCCCGCACCCGGCTCAGGTCTGTTCTTTCATACAAGCAGCTTGACAAACTCAGCCTCGCTAACTGCAGGGTCCCAGCAAAGGACTCTGGCTGGCTCCGGTCAGGTGGAGGACTAGATCCCTGATGTAATTAGGGAGGCCGGGAAGAAACACACGGACAAAGGCAGCAGATGTCCACCATGGTGTCCGAAAAGAACCTACGAGGAAAGAGTCAGTGGCTGCTGCTGGGTTAGAGTCATCTGAGGAGCCATGGGGCAGTGGCTGCTGAGACTGGCCTTCCTGTTAGTGGAGGTTTTGTTCAGAAGTGACATTTGGGCGGGAGTGCTGTTCTGTGCAGGTGAGTCACCGGCTTGCGTCAGAAACTGGTTCAAGTTTTTTTTTTTTTTTTTTTTTTTGTTTAACTCAGGGGGTTTGAACCCTGAGCCACTGTACCGGCTCTTTTGTGTGTTGGGTTTTTTCAGACGGGCTTGGAAACTATTTGCCTGGGCTGGCTTCAAACCGCAATCCTCCTGATCTCTGCCTCCTGAGTAGCTGGGATTATAGGCGTGGCCACTGGTGTCTGGCTCTGATTAAAGCATTTCTTAGCAACTCCAGTAGGGGCTGGAGGTATAGCTCAAGTGGTAGAGCACCTATCTAGCAAATGTGAAGCCCCGAGTTCAAATCCCAGTACCATAAAAATATAAATAAATAAAAAGGAACTCAAGAAGAGTGTATGTTGATCAGGGTTTGCTGGGGGTGGAAGCTGAGCTAGATGTCAGAGATGACCCCAGTCTCATCTGGGTGCAGAAGGGCCATCTGGAAGGTCCTGTGTCCGTTCATTTATTCAGTTTTCAGCCTTTCATCGTTAGGCAGGAAGAGAAAAACCATTTGTGGAGTTGGGAGGGGGCCAGAGGTGACCCAGGTCCGGGACTGCAGCAGGATGAGACCCGCTCCTCGGTTAGCTGGCCTTTCTAGGGAGCAGGCGACCCAGGGGCTCGGGTGCCCTTTCTTGGCCTTCTCGGTGACTGTATTTACTCCCTTTCATCCAGGCTCACCTCATGACCCCCACGTTTCTCCTCCAGCTCTCACGTCTCTGCGCTGCACACGTCACCACCAAACTCAACAGCTCTTCGGAAATGTCCTGCAGCATGTGTGAGAAGTGAGATTTGATCTCCCATCACACTTGCACCTCTCCCGTGTCTTCCTCAGCACAAGTCTTCCTCACTAATCTTGGAAATGTTGATGAAATATTTCTCCAAGGAGTTTGCGTCAGGTCAAAAACTGGATGTCATCTTGACCCTTCTCACCAGGAAACCGTCACTTCTTCACTCAGCACCATGCGCAAGTCCAGTGACCTTGACTGAAGCCACCTTCTCCCTGACTTCTCTGTGCTGTGTTCCTGCTGTTGGTCAGTCTGATCCTTTGTTAAACATGTCTCACGATGTCCCTTCTTTGCTTAGAATCTTTCAGTGACTTTCCATCTCTTTCAGAACAAGAATGAAAGACCTTACAATGCTTTACAAGGCCCTGTGTGATCTTTTTCTGTCTTTCTTTTTTTTTTTTTTTTTGGTGGTACTGAGGCTTGAACTCTGGGCCTCATGCTTGCTAGGCAGGCGCTCTTCCACTTGAGCCACTCTGCCACAAGCCCTGTTTTGTGTTGGACATTTTCTTTTCTTTTTTGGTGGTTCTGGGGTTTGATTTCAGGGCCTAAAACTTTCTTGGAGCGGGTGTTCCACCACTTGAGCCATTCCTCCTGCGTTGTGCATTTTCAGGAGAGGGTACTGAACTGTTTGCTCTGGGCTGGCTTCGAACCGAGATCCTGATGTCTGCCTGCAGAGTAGCTAGGATTACAGCTGTGTGGCCTGTGATTTTCCTGCCTTCTCTTCCCTCTGGATGTCATCTTCTATCACTTTGCCTTGCTCCACTCCACTTCAGCCATACTTGCTGTGCTTTTTTTTTTCTTTTTCTTTTTCTTTTGCAGCACTTGGTTTTGAATTCAGGGCCTCACAATTGCTAGACAGGTGCTCTACTGTTTGAGCCTCTCCGCCAGCCTAAGCACGCTCTAGTCTCAGGCTTTTGCAGAAACACTTCCTTCAGCTCTTAGATAGCTTTTGCTCAAATGTCACCTCCATCTATTTAAAATTGCAAGCCCTGCATGCACGCCTGTACTACTAGCTCTTCAGGAGGCAGAGATCGGGCAGGATCGCAGTTCCAAACCAGCCTGGAAAATAGTTCTGCAGGACCCTGTCGAAAAAACCCATCACCAAAAAGGGCTGGCAGAGTGGCTTAAGGTATAGGCCCTGAGTTCAAACTCTAGCACTGCAAAAAATAAACCAATAAAATCGCACGCCCTATTCCCGCATCCTTTCCAACTTGCTTTTCTCCACAGCAGCTGTGACACGCGGCATTCGTCCTACTTCCTCCGCACCCCGCACCCCCAGCACCTGTCACACAGCCTGTAACGGGTCGCGCAGACTTGGGTGGAATGGATGAGACTGACCGGGGGGCGAGGAGGCCCGGAGGTGCCTGGAGGACCGAGGCCAGCCAGGGGCGGTGCCAGCGGCCGCCGGGTGGGAGGGAGAGGCCAGCGGAAGCCCTGGCCAGCCCCGCAAGGTCGCGCAGCGGGCAGCGGGCAGCGGGCAGGGCCGGGGCAGCAGGGCCGGGGCGGGGCTTGGGGCGGGGCGCGCGCCTGCGCCATAAAGGCGGCCGCGCGCCCCGGGGCTCAGCTCGCCGCGCCGTCGCAGCTCCCCTCTTCCTCTTCCGCGCACGTCCCGGCCCGTGCACCCTCCTGGCCCCGCCATGGCCGCGCTCACCCGGGACCCGCACTTCCAGAAGCTGCAGGACTGGCACCGCGAGCACGTCTCTGAGCTCAACCTGCGCCACCTTTTCGAAGGCGACAAGGAGCGCTTCGGCCGCTTCAGGTGCGCGCGCGCCCGGGGGGAGGGGGACCCCGGCGACCCCGGGGACCCCGGCTGCGGAGCGGGGCCCGGGCCCAGGCCGCACTTTGTCCTTGAGGGGTCCTTGGAGCAGGGTCCTGGGGGCTCGCTTGCTCCCGGCCGGGGGCGCGCAGTCGTGGAGCTGTCGGCACGCGGGGACCTCGCCTTCCCCTGCCGAGCCGATGGCTGACGCAGCAGGCGGGCGGGAACGAGCTGCCCCTGCCGCCCCCGTGCAGGTGACCCGGTGGGTGTGGTGGATGGTGGGATTTGCGCGTGGGAAAGTGGAGAAGTGCCGGCGGATTCCTGCTCGAGAGGCCGAGGCCACCCGTGAACCCTCGGGGAGTGGGAGGCACCTCGGGTGGGGGGCATCCCTGCGCGCTCTGGCCACCGATGTTGGGGAGGGGCGGGGGCCCCGATGGGACCTGGCGACCACCTGTGGCTCTGGAATGGAAACCCGTCATGTCCAGTTTTGCATGTGGATGGGGCATGGACGGGAAGCTCTGGGAGAAGGTGGGCTCTGTCTGCATTGGTTCCGTGGCATCTAGGTGACAGGTGACATGCTGGGTGACAGGCACCACCACTGTGTTGGGCAGCTTGGGCCCTTTTGGGGTGTGGCACAGGAAGCAGCCCCGCCTCTGCTGTGGTCAGGGGGCTGGCTGGGGAGACCTGGGGTGTGGTCAGCAGCGGGTGTCCATCTTCCTGCAGCTTGACCCTCAACACCAGCCATGGACAGATTCTGGTGGATTACTCCAAGAACCTTGTGACAGAGGACGTGATGCAGATGCTGGTGGACCTGGTAATGATCTCTCTGGGGAGCTTGACCTGTGACCCGTGGTGTGGTGGGCAGTGGGTGTGCTGGGCCCCTGGGCTCCTTAAACAAGTGGACCTCAGGAATGTCCGTGTTGCTGCTGGGCTATGGACACCTGCCCCGGCTCAGTTTCTTTCTTTCTTTTTGTGGCGGTACTGGGGTTTGAACTCGGGGCTTTTGCTAGGCACGTGCTGTACCAATTGTGCCTGACGTTCGAGCAGTCCCTTCCCAGACAGCAGGTGAGGGAGACAAGCTGCAGCCATCCCTCAGACCCGGGGCAGCGGGTCACCATGCCATCTACTTGGGGGCTTGGATTTGTGCTGGCAAATATGGGTGGGACCACACCTCCTCGTCTTCGTTTCCTAGGCCAAGTCCAGGGGCGTGGAGGCTGCCCGAGAGCACATGTTCAATGGTGAGAAGATTAATTACACCGAGGTGAGCAGACCTGCTGGACACCAGGTTCCGCTTTCCCCCCTGGGGCCTCTTCCTTCCCCCTGGGTTTCATCCGATCAGTAACAGCGTTATGTCTTCACCCTTCTCTTAGGCAATGTTTTTGCTTAACAAGGGGCTGTTTCTTGGGGGGCTGGTTGCAGGGCTTCCGGGTGTTGTCTTCCCCAACACCGGCAGACTGGGCTTGGGCAGAAAATTGCAGTGACTCCCAGTGTCTGCCCGGGAAGGAGCACATCTCACGCCTGGAGGGGCAGTTCCTCAAGCGTTGCTCAGTTTCTTAGAGGACGTAGCTCTCATCTGTCCTTGGTGTAAGCTCTGCTAATGACAAGAAGAATGATGTCACAAAAACCTCATTCTCCTCAGCAGTAGGCCAGGCATTGGGGACTCTTCCTGGCTTGCTGTGGAAGCCTGCAGGCATAGCAAGGGACTCTGTCCTCATGACATCATTACGTCATTATCTTTTTTTCTTTTTTTTTTGCCCTACTAGGGCTTCAACTCAGGGCCTACACCTTGAGCCACTCCACCAGCCTTTTTGTGGTGGGTTTTTTCGAGATAGGGTCTTCAGAAGTGTTTGCCCCAGCTGACTTCAAACCACAATCCTGATCTCTGCCTCCTGAGTAGCTGGGATTACAGGCGCGAGCCATTGGTGCCTAGCTATTATCTTTCTTTGTCATGTGAGGAGTCTGACGCTTGCAGGTCAGGTCACTTATCCTAGATACTGCACTGTAAGAGGCAGAGCTGGGATTCAAACCCAGCCCACTTTGCACTGCTGGCTTAGTGAGAGGGAGACTGCCGTCATGGAGGGCTTCTGGTAGGGGTGCGTTTGCCTGTGGAATAAAGGGAGGCATGGGGCTGGGCAGAGTGGGGAACATTCAGTTGTCCATCTGACAGGAAAATCCCAAGATAATCCCTTTCCTGCCCATCCTGAGTCTCTAGACCTGCTTCTCAAAGGCTCCTCTGCTGACTTCAGCTGGATGGGGCCGTTTTACTCTTGTGACCAGGCCAGCTGTCTGGCACCTGTCACAGACCTCAGTCTGGTTTGGCTTGTGGCAGATGGTGGTGATGGGCTGCTTGGTGAGGAAAGCTTTGGTTGCCTGCCATGCCGCACATTTAGAGGGCTAGGACAGTTTTCACAAGGTGCCAGCAGACACCATGGCCTCTCATTTGGAAGGATGAGGTTACATTAGGTTTAATAAATGCTGGTCCACTGAAGGCGTTTACTGCCTGTCTCTGACCTCTGCCTTTGCTGGCCGTCTCCCTCTTTCCTCTGGGTATTCACACACTGAGCACCTATGGACCCGCAAGGCTTGTCCTAGAATGTTCAGGTCCCGCCCCACCTGCTTCTGCCTGTGCAGCACACAAGGGGTGACCCAAGCTTTGCTGTCCCCAGAGATTTGGGGTAGTTCCAACTCCCATAGGTTCTTGGTTCAAGGCCATGGCACTAAATGACACCTTGGGGTGTGCTTTGCCACAGATGGAGGGCTGAGCTGAGTTCAGGCTGCACTGCACCAGGCTCAGCTGGGAGCATGGCTCCCCTTGGGTGTGTGGTGGGGTCCTTCACAGTCTGACTCTTGTTCCAGGATCGGGCAGTGCTGCATGTGGCCCTTCGGAACCGGTCAAACACCCCCATTGTGGTCGACGGCAAGGATGTGATGCCAGAGGTCAATAGGGTTCTGGAGAAGATGAAATCTTTCTGCCAGGTGAGCAGCTCCTGAGCTGGTCTTGACCTTGCTGGCCATGCACGTGGATTTGGGGATCTAGGAGCCCTGGTTAGTGACCCTATCATTCTCCTTAGAAACAGGACTAAGGCCTGTGTGGTGCTGACCCTGGGTTCTCTGCTGTGGTCCAGAATTTCCCCTGGGTCAGTTCGGACAGCAGTAGGGGCGGCCTCTTTCCTGAATCGTTGGCACCTTTAGGCTTATGGGGACAAGCTGGCTGGCGGCAGTAGCCTGAAATGAAAGTGAGGCCCTGAGAGATGGGGCAGTGAAGGAAGGAGGCTGCTCTTGTCTAACCCCTTTAGTCCCACCTCCAGTTGTATTGTCCAGAACCAGAAAGAAAAATGTTGACCCGACTCCCAGCCAAGTGTCCACACCAGCCTTTATAACTTCCTGTGAAATCTTCCCAAAGATTCTTATGTGAATACCAGCATCTGTCTATCTGTCTATCTATCTATCATTTATCTATCAGTCATCTATTTATCTATCATCTATATAGGCATCCCTTGTCTCCTCTTTGAGCACTTGTGCACACAGGTTCGTTTTCTACCTATTCTAGTTTTTCTTTTGTTTGTCTTTTGCAGCACTGGGGTTTGAACTCAGGGCCTTACACCTTGCTAGGCAGGTACTCTTACCACTTGAGCCACTCCACCAGCCTCCTACCTGCTGATTTCCACGTAGACATACGGAAGAGATGTCCCCTAGGTCAGTGTCAGTACACACACCACGCCCCTCCTTTCTCTGTGAGGGTGGAAGGATTGAGGTTGCCTCAGAGGCAACTGAACTTCTCTTTGTCACCCAGGGCAGCCTTAGTGTCTAGCCCAGGATTGATTCTGCAAGGGTCAGCAGCCGTCCTCAAGCCTGAGTGGAAGGGTGAAGTCTGGGGGCGTGTGTGGCTCTGTCCGTGTCTGTCTGTATGAATTGTGCGTGCTTTGGGAGTGATCACCTGGGCAGCTGTGATTGTTCACTTCTTGTCTCTGAAAGGAGTGCCCCCTTCCCCCCACCCTGCGTGCTGGTCAAAGTCTGGCTGCTTTGGCCAACAGCCATTTTCAGACCTGAAAACAATGTCAGGAGGAGCAGGTGATTGTGGCATTTATCTTTAAGGCCTGACAACCACGAGTGGGACTTGCTGGAGAGAGGAAGGCTTGGGACCCTGATGGGACTCTGGATTCCATGATGTCCCTTGGGATGGCTTTGAGTGTGCGGAAGGCATTTCCAGTCATCTGCTGTGAGTGGCAGAAGTGACAAGCCTCGAGAGCCCGTTGCTGGGCGACCATCCTGTGTGTGCTCTAGCATGCTGTGTGGGGAGTGTAGCCCTGGTCATCTTGTGTGCTGAGAGACCCTTACCTCTTTCTGAGATAGGGTCTCTCTGTGTAGCTCAGGGTAGCCTCCAACTTACTGGGATCCCCTGTCTTAGACTACTGAGTGCTGGGATTCAGGCACCACCCTGCTATGGCCGCCCTCTCTTAAAGCTGGCTGCCGGACTACCTGACTGAGATTGACAGTATATTTATAGTTCAGAACTGCTGAACCGCAGTGAGGAACACTCCCTGTGGACGTTGCTATCAAAAGATCACCAAGATTGGGTGAACCTTGAATTGCCGCGGCAAAAGCCACAGAACAAATTGCGTATCTCAAAACAGTGGAGAGCAGTTTTCACGTTCCTGACACAGAGGTGATAGATGTTTGAGAGGTGATGGAGCTGGCAGTTACCGTGGTCTGATAATTACATATTATGCACATTTCTTGAAATACCATACTGTATTCCATAGGTAAGTACTGTTGTTATCTTCAGTTAAACTGAAAAGAAATAAAAATAAATGAGAAAGTCACTAAAACAACGTGTAGTCATTAATCAGTGGACTTGCTGGTAAAATCGGGGTAGTTTCATAGAGTGTAGTCCTGGGTGCCATCAGGAATTCAGGGGCTGTGACTGTGTTCACCTGCTGTGCTATTTGGTATATACTAGGAGGTTGAAAAGGGAAGTTAGTGTGTCTTTTTTTTTTTCCCACGGTCCTGGGACTTGAACTCAGGGCCTATGCCTTGAGCCACTGCACCATGCCTTGAATCCCAGTTCCCCAAAAACACGCCAAACAAACAAAAAGATTTCAGCCAAGGTTGCAGTCATCTGAGGACTTGATGGGCCTGGAGATGGCTCAGCAGCAGTTTTGGCTCTTTTTTTTTTTTGAGATGGTCTATATTGCCCAGACTGGCCTCGAACTTGCAGTCTTCTTGCCTCAGCCTTCCAGGCGATGGGGTTATAGGCTTGCACCACCATACCCGGCTAGCTTGGCTTTTGGGAAGCGTCAGTTCCTTGCCATGAGGACGTCTCCACACACAGTTTGCGTATCCCCATGGCTCCCAGAGAGTGAGCCAGTAGAGAACAAGGCAGAGTGGCTTGAGGTCTTCTGTGATCTACTGTCGGAAATTACATTCTGAGCCAGGCGCCTGTGGCTCACGCCTGTCATCCCAGCTACTCAGGAAGCAGAGATCAGGAGGATCACAGTTCAAAGCCAGCCTGGGCAAACAGGTCACAAGACCCTATCTGGAAAAAACCCTTCACAAAAAAGGGCTGGTGGAGTGGCTCACATGGTATATAGCTAGAAACCCTTTGTTAAAACCTCAGAAAGAGGTGAGGCAGTTACACCAGCGTTAGGGCTTGTAGGAGGCTTAGTGGTACTGGCCTTGTGGACTCAGAGAGGTGCAGAAAAGGCCTAATGGTGTAGAACTCTGTGGTGTGTCTTGTGTTGTCTTGTGAACCCCTGATCACAGCAGACTCAGGAAGTTTTTAAATAACTGAGCTGTCAGAAGCAACACCGAACTTGAACTGAATGAGACAGACACAGCACAAATGGCAAAAAGGCCTTTAGACACCCACGTTTCCACAGGCAGGAAGGAGGCTGAGAGACAGGGTCTCACTTTGTGGCCCAGGCTGGCTGGGAACTCACAGTCCTCCTACCTCCACCTGTCAAGTGCTTGCAAACTCTTTTAAACAAACACAGGCTATGTTTCATGGAAGAAAAACAAGTATAAAGCCAAGAGGTTTTAGGAGTTACCCCGCAGGGCTCGAGTCCTAACCAATCCATCGCCAACGTGTCTTGCTGGATTTCAGAACTGCTGTGGACCAAGGAGTGCCTTCCGTGTCCCCCAGTCTTGGAAAATTCTATCAGCTGTCCTATGCCTGTGTCACCTGGAATGCTGGATGTGTGGCGTGGTAGATAACTCACCTGCTAATCCACATCTTCAGTTGTGTCCCAGGAAACACGGGCACTGTTACCCCCGCGCCTAAGCTGAGATTTGAGCCGATGCCGTCATGGCTGTGGCCTTAGGAGAAGGTGAATGGGCTCTTTCGCGTGGAGAAGGAGCACAAATCACAAGGCACCACAGGAGACAATGGCAGCCAACTTCCATGCTTCCTGTGATCCTCCACTCCACTCTCGGTTGGCCAGAGCACCAGTGGGCTTTTAGAGAAAGAATACAATGTGATTTTTTTTTTTTAATGGTACTGAGGTTTGAACTCAGGGTCTCAAACTTGCTAGGCAGGCGCTCTACCACTTGAGCCAGTTCCCAAGTAGCTAGGATTCCAGGCGCGAGCCATGGTGCCTGGCTCCCTCACTTTTCTTTGGACCCACATCAACAGCCTCTTCAAGGACTGTCAGATTTATGCTCACAGTTTCTTCCCATCTTTTTAGGGTTTTGCTAACTCTCAGAATTTTCTGGCGACATGATTGGGTTTTTATTATGACCACATTCCACTTCTTGTACCTATCATCATATAACAAATGACACCAGCACTTGGTGGTAGACACCTGTTGTCTCACAGTGCCTGGGAGGGAAGATGACGAGGGGGTCACCTGCATGGTCTCGGTTTGGGGGGACTCTTCTGAGGTTGTGGTCAAGATGTTGGTCAGTGCTGCAGTTCTCTGAATGTCTGGTGAGTTCTGGAGCGTTCTCTTCCAAGGGAGTCCCAAACATGGAGGGTGAGTTGGTGTTGGCTGTTGGAAGGAGGCATCCAGTCCTTGCCACATTGGCTTCATGATAGGACCGTTTGTCCTAACAACATGGTGGATGCCTCCCCAAGAGAGAGCTGAAAAGCACGGGAAGTCGCAGTTCTTTTACAACCGAGCTTCTAAGTCATTTGTCATTATTTGTGAAATATCCTGAGTGCACGGGCCAGCCCTATTCAGCACAGGTGGGAATTTTACTTCACTATGAATTCAGGAGGCAAGAATCCTGATTACAGGTTGCACACCCCTGTAATCCCAGTGCTCAGGAGGCTGAAGCAGGAGGATCGTGAGTTCAAGGCCAGCCTGGGCTACAGAGGGACACCTTGTCTCAAAACAACATAAAAAAGAATCATTCCAAGATCTGGAGTTGGGTGCACGTCTGGTATTTCTGCTCCTGGCCCAGATCTGTCACTGTAGGTGACATTTCACCTCCTGTCTGTGCTGAGAAGTCGCCCTTGTTCTGCAAATTCTGACCACCTTAGTCTGAGGTGGGAGTGAGGTCCCACTTTTCTTGTTCCGGCGGTCCTGGGGTTTGAACTCAGGGCCTCACGCTTGGTAGGCAGGTGCTCTACTGCTTGAGCCACTCTGCTAGCCCAAGGTCACACGGTTTTAATGAGGACGTAGCATGTACCCGGTGGCGAGGGTTAGCGTGATCTGTCGCTGTCATCTTAAGAGCTCCCTCGAGGGCAGTGAGGCAGAAAGGTGCAGAAGTAGTGATGTTTCTGAGCTGTGGCTTACTTGCTGGGCTGCGGGCTGATTGTTTCTTCCTGCTCTGTGCCAGCGTGTCCGGAGCGGTGACTGGAAGGGCTACACAGGCAAGTCCATCACAGACGTCATCAACATCGGCATCGGAGGCTCTGACCTGGTGAGGAGGGCACTGCCTTGGGCTGGGGTGAGGGGTGGGAGCTGTTGGTCCTGCCCAGGGCCTTGGTTTCCCAGCGATGGGCCCAGGAATCTTTGCTATCTGATGCAGCATCTCCTCGCAGGGTCCCCTCATGGTGACTGAAGCCCTGAAGCCGTACTCCTCAGGAGGTCCCCGTGTCTGGTTTGTCTCCAACATCGATGGCACCCACATTGCCAAAACCCTGGCAAACCTGAACCCAGAATCGTCTCTGTTTATCATCGCTTCCAAGGTATAGCTCTGTGTGTGTGTGTGTGTGGCGCGGAGCAGTGGAGTCTCAGGACTGGTTCTGAGTAAATGACTGTGCTTTATCTGCTAGCAGCCTCGGTTTGCCTAATGAAAGCTTGAACTGCTGTATTTGAACCTTTGTCATAAGGCTACAGTCATTTGCTTTGAGGGGCCTTTGCCCAGCCTGGGACTGTATTTTCTTACAGATTGTCCCTTGAATTTGCTCCTTTCTTTCTTTTTTTTTTTTTTGGCAGCACTGGGGTTTGAACACAAGGCCTCTCACTTGCTAGGCAGGCAGTCTTACCTCTTGAGCCACTCCACCAGCCCTTTATTGTGATGGGGTTTTTCAAAATAGGGTCTCATGAACTATTTGCCCAGGGCTGGCTTCAAACTGTAATCCTCCTGATCTCTGCCTCCTGAGCTGGGATTATAGGCGTGAGCTACCACGCCTGGCTGTATTTGCTCCTTTCTGACCTCAGAGCCATGCTCTGATAATGCAGAGGTTTGGTTTGTTACCATTTGTGCCTTGTGTGCACTTTAGTACACATCAAATATTAAGAATTCCATCTCAGTCTGCGATACCACCTAGCTTAGGCTGGAATCGAGCCCTGGGCAGGTTCAGCCCCTCTGGACCTCGGCCTTTGACCTGCAGGGTAGAGGTTGTGGCGTTGACTAGGGTCCTCTCCACTATGGTTGTAAATGCTGGAATCTCAGATTGTGCTGCTGTGTTCAGACCCATGCCCTGTACTCAGCCACTCTGAGTGGATCTGAGGGCTAGTGGATGGAATTTGAATGCAAATGCTGTGCTTTGTGACAAACGGGCACCAGTGTGACCTGCTGTGAGCCCAGGCTCAGGGCCCCTGCCCTGCCCCGAGCTGGGCTTGACTGCTGCCCCCTGTTGCAGACTTTTACTACCCAGGAGACTATCACGAACGCAGAAACGGCGAAGGAGTGGTTTCTCACGTCGGCCAAGGATGTGAGTGGATTGTGGGGCTCCCTGGTGTGGGTTGGGTGGTAGGGTGGAATGGCAGTGGGAAGAACCTATAAGCCTGCCTGCTTGAACTGCCCTGTCTCTCAAAGTTGGAAGCACGTGTGGCCTCTCTGGCACCTGCCTTCTTTTTTTTTTCAGTGCTGGGACTTAAGGACCCTTTCTTTAGGGCCCTTGGCCCTGTGGGATGCATCTCTGGTCCTCGTAACACCCATTTTAGAGAGGAGGGACATTCCTAGGGCTTGTATGCCTTTAGGGGACAAGGACCTTTCTGCCTTCATGACTTTGACCTTGATGTGGGTTTTTTCAGTAGCCTCAGAACCAAGGACCAAGAGCAGGAAGTCAGTCCCAGGCAGGGTGTTGGTGTCGCCAGCGATAGGAGAAAGCCTTCCCGCCCACACACAGGATGGGTTTGATGTGACTTGGTTCTCTCTCTTACAGACCTCGGCAGTCGCAAAGCACTTTGTGGCCCTGTCTACCAACACAGTAAGTGCCCGGGCGGCCTCCTGTGCTCCCTGTCTGGACACCCCCGGCCACCTCAAAGTCATGCCCTCTCAGAGAACAGGAGCTGAGATTCAATTGCCAGGGTTGGGCATCTTGGCCGGGCTGCTGGGATGGGAGAGTTGGCTTCATGCGAGCTTCTTGCTGTCCTTGCCTCTTCTACTTCTCCATCCACGATCACCCCTTCCACCTCCCAGGCCTGACTGATTCCCAGCACACTCTGTGCCCATGACCTCTGCCACCTGCACTGGGCTTTCCCCACAGGGGACATGCTGGAGTGTGCACATTTCTTACATAAGGACGTTAAGCCCCAACAAGTGGGTGTGACCTTTTACTCCCCGTAGAGATTGTGTGAGGTAGCAATGATGGGATTAGAACCCAGGTCACCTGTCTGTCCGGCCTCCCAGCCTGGAGCTTGTTCTGAGGTGGGAGGCGGCTCACCAGGACGGAGTGAGGTGTGCGCAGGGAGCACAGCTTCTGTAGGTCTTCCTGAGCCCTGCCATGTGGGGGCGCTGTGCCAGAGCTGGGAACCACCCCTCTCCCCGTATCCAGTGCTGACCCATGCACAGGGGATGAGGTAAGGGGACAGCCGGAAGTCTTGAGTATGGCTCACCCCAACACATTGGTCTGTCTGCTGTATGGAGTCCAGACTGTCAGTGGGCCTTCTCCTGTGGGGAATAAGTAAGGGGTTGCTGGCCCTGCCCACCCAGGGATACCTACACACCAGAAAAACAGGACTGGTTGTCTCCCTAAGGCGCTCTAGGGTCGAGTCACCTTCCCAGATGTGTGAAGGACTGGGCAGCTGTCCAGGCTGTGTATTGCCTGGCCTGGAAGCAGCCTCACCCATGTTCAGGTCCCAGCCTTAAGCTTGGGTTCCCAGATGTTCTGGGGGGTGTTCTCTGCTGTCCCTGGCAGGTCCAGGTCACCTCTGAACAGTGTGTGGGTCTCATACTTGGTGGGCAGCCTCCTCAGCAGGAAGGTTGGTAGGTGCAAGGTGCCTTAATGCTGAGGTGACTCAGCCTGGTGTCCAGGTCTGGGTGGGCCCTACCCTCTACTTGAGGCCACCCCACCCTGCCCCCTGTGGAGCTGGAAGAGGGGTGGTGAGGGATTTAGAGCTGGGCTCTACCCTCCACTCAGAGGCTTCCTGCCATCCCCCAGGCGTGCCAGAAGTGGGGTGAGGGACCCCTGTGGCTCCCAGGAGTGGCTCCTCTTCTTGTTTAGCTAACAAATGGTGCTTTTCATCTCTCTCCCTTTGCCCTTTGCAGACCAAAGTGAAGGAGTTTGGAATTGACCCTCAAAACATGTTTGAATTTTGGGATGTAAGTATGAGTGTTGCCTGGGCCGGGTGAATTGTGTCACAGGGGAAGGCCCGTGAGGTCAAGGTCGACGTTTATTGGGCACCTTCTGCATACCTAGCTTTGGGAAAGGCAGAGGGGCCCTTGAGAGTCTTGCAGGGCCAGACAAGCCAGGCAGGGTGAGGACTCCCTTGGCACCCACCGTGGGCCAAGCTTGCAGAGGCAGGTCGCAGTCAGCTGGGTGTCTGCCAGCAGCACCCCCTGTGGGGTAACCAGAGCTTCCCCTGCCCCTCACCGAGCTGAGGCTGCGAGTTATTCTCAGTGATGACCTTTCTCCGATCCACAGCCACATTCTGTAAAGGCCACGGGGCAGGGCGAGGCAGGAGGTGGGACCCAGTAGGTCTGGAAAGGAGCTATGGGAGCCGCAGGAGCAGCTGAAGGGTGGCGGGGAGGAGGTGCTGGGCCTGGAGCCTGGGCAGCTGGCACAACAAACCTTGCCTTTAGTGGCAGAGCCGCAGGCTGCCCTGTAGCGACAGAGAGGGTCACGCAGACTCACCGCTGCTGAAGCAAACTTTGAATAGGAGCTTTCTGTGCAACTTGCCTGAGTGCAGCAGTGGTGTGAGAAGGGCTGGGTAGGCTTGGGGTGCCGGGCAAATGTGCTGTGGGTTCTGTGAATGCAGTGGGTGTGGTTAGGCAGAAATGCAGCGCTCTAACACATGACCGTGGCTGGCAAACCCAAGTGGACATTGTCCCGCTGGCTTTTGCCCTGGAGGTTCTTTACTTGGTGGCATCCCAGCATGTGGGCTCCCTACTTTGAAAGCTTTAAGAGCCTCTTTCTAGTGGGGCCTGGGACAGAATGAAGCCCTCATTCCCTAAGCCATCCACTGTGTACAATGAGTTAACTTCTTTCTAGAGTGGAACTAGTTAGATGCTGTGCTTGACAATCGAGAAGTCTCTCAAATCCCTTTCTGCATCCTGTTACTCAGATGAGGACGCTGGTCAGGAGACCGCAGCTTCTCACTAATGTTAGTGCCCGATAAAGAGGCACCCTCCACCTCCTCCCTGGGACTTAGCACCTGAGCAGTCAGCGGGCAGGAGCCCAGCAGAACAGGGTTTGCGTAGTTCCTAACTGCCCGGCGTGTGCAGAGGGTTGAGTGTGACTTAGCGACAGGGATGAGTCTCACAGGTAAGGCCTGGGAATGATAATTAGGCACGGAAACATGGGACGAGGGCAAGCTGGTGTGGCCAGGTGGGCACAGTGCAGGCCTCCTGAGCCAGGCTAGGTGCCACATGCCACAGCAGCTGGAGGAGGGTGGATACTGCCGAATAGAGGTGATGCCTGAGGAGCCTCAGGGCAGGAACAGCTAGCGCTCTCGGGCGAGAGAGGGGCGTCTGGTCAGCCAGAGTAAGACAGAACTGGTTCTGAGGTGGGATCGGAAGAGTCCAGTCCAGTAGAGGTACGTGCAGTGGCGAGACTCGGTCTGTGGTCTGTCTTGGGGCACCCTCGTGTGGCAGAACAATGCACAGGTGTGGCGGTCCATGTGGAGTCTCGGTCTGCACCAGCTCAGCTGGGAGAACTGATTCTGGCTGGTGAGGTCTGAAGAGGAGTCAGGATAGGTATATGTGAGTTTGGAGGAAGAGTCAGACTGTGAGACCTTGTCTCAACCACAACAAAAAAAAGAGAGAGAGAGATGGTTCTAAAAAGTGAAGTCCGAGAAGCCAACATCAGGTACTTGAATGCAGCTCTGGGGAAGAGGGCCAAGCTGTACATCTGCACTGTCCACATGGGGCAGTGGGGTCTCTGACTGGCTGTGAGTCGCGTGGATCAGGTAGGGGCTGACTGGCTGTTTAACCTAGAGTCAGGCAATCACAGCTTAGCTACCTGGTTCTAGCATCCTGACCAGAGATCCAGGTGTCCCAGAGATTACTGAGGATCCTCTTTAAGTCAGAGGTCTGGTTTGTGGTCTGGGGTCTTAGGAGCCCAGATGACTGGGTGGTAGCAAGGCACCTGCTTATGAAAGGTGAGGAGTGGGAGTTGGGCCAGGTAAAGCAGACAGGTCCACTGAGGGTCGGTCAGGTGTGGTCAAGAGACTCAGTTTGCAGGGCTGTATCTCCAGCCTGGGTGAGAAGCAGGGATCGGTCAGGTCCGAGGACAGTGTGTGGTCAGGGATGCGTAGTGGAGTCTGTCAGCTATGGTCTGTAGAGCTGTGGCTGAGGTAGAATCAGACAAAGGTAGATTACTGGGTTTCTTAGGGGAGGCCTAAGGAGCTAGACTAGGCACATGTAGGTAGAACTGGAATTTGACATTGGAACTAAAGATAGGCAGGTGCAGGTAGAGCTGAGCCAACAAGTGAGACTTAAAACCCATGATGGAGGCCAGGTCAGAGCTGTCCTTAGACGACACCTGAGCACTCTGGTGATGTACAGGTAGGTGGTCCAGGGTCCCCTGGGGAAAGACTGAAGAGCTGCCATCTGGCAGAGGGATGGAGAGACTGTATCCATCTGAAAGTTTTATTAAAGCTGGTTTCGGTGCAAGTATAAAGACCGGGTCTGAAGGTGACGTCTGAGGAGTTAAGTAAGAGACACAGTTTTGTACTTTTGGGTCTCACAGTAAGGTCTGAGCTGTGAGGCCAGGCCCTGGTATGTATCTCAGGTCTGAACAGCTGGGACAAGCACAGCGGATAGTTCGTCAGGTAAGTTATTCTCTGAAGCCAAGGGCAGGCAGCAGGGGTAGGTTGACCTGAACAACCACAGGCAGATTCATTAAGCTCTGTCTCACAGCTGAGGTCAGGCACAGTAGGTAGAGCAGAACTGTCTGGCCTGAGGACCACGGTCAGGCTTAGGTAGAAGGAGATGGAGTTCCTGGATGTTGCCTAAGGAAATGAAGTCAGACAGGTGGATAGAGCAAAGTCTCTCAGGTGAGCTCTGTGGAGCTGAGATTTGGCACAGGTGAGTAACACAGGGTCTCCCAGGTGTGGTCAAGATGGTAGGTAGAACTTACCTTGGGTAAGGTTGGGGAATTGTGGGCAGGCACAGGTCTGTGACATTGAGTTTCTTGGGTAAGTTGAGTTTCTGAGGAGTTGTATCTGGCCCAGGTCTGTCAGATTTGAAAAGTGTGAATGGTGCAGGTGGGTAGACAGGTTTGTCAGGTAAGGTCTGTGAAGGACCAGGTTCACAAAATTGGTTGTGTCCAGTGAGATCCAAGAAGTCATAGTTAAGTCGATGTAGGAGAAACTAAATGTCTTGGATGAGGTTTGAACAGCTGAGGTGTGAGGTAGGGGTAGGCAGAACTGGCCCCCCAGCTAAAATCCAGGATCCTGCAGCTAGCACAGAAGTGGCTTATGAGGATCCAAGTCAGACCCAGGTAGGTAGAACTGGCCTCCAGGTATGGTCTGAAGAGCCAGGGTCAGAGGCGGGTAGGCAGAGATGGTCTGCCAGGTGGAGTCTTGGGATGTGAGGAGTTAGGGTTTGAGCACTGGAGTTAGAGTTGGTTCTTTGAGAAGTTGAGTTCAGACAAAGGTATGTATACCTGGGTCTTCCTGGTGAAGTCTGAAGAACCAGGTCAGGCTCAGGTAGGTAGATCTGACCATTTAGATGTGGTCTGAGAGCCAGGGTCATAGACAGGTAGGTAGAGCTGGCCCGCCAGATGTCGTGTGAGGGCCCAGGGTCATAGACAGGTAAGTAGAACTGGCCTCCTGCCAAGTATGATCTTAAGTGCTAGAGTTCTGCGTAGATGGGCGAAACCAGCCATCCAGGTGTGGTGTTGAGGATGAAAGTCACACTCAGGTAGGTAGTGCTGGCCTTCCAGTTGTGGTCTGAAGAGCTTGGGTCACATAGGTAGGTAGAGGGGGCTCACCAGGTGGTGTGAGGGCCCAGGGTCAGGCTCAGGTAGGTGGAACTGCCAGGGTCTGTACAGTGCAGGTAGGCAAAGCTGGTCTGCCAGGTGGAGTTTTGAGACCTGAGGAGTTACGGTCGAACACTGGTGGGTAAAGTTAGCGCTTTTACGAGGTGGATTCAGGCAAAGGTTTGTATACCTGGGTCTTCCTGATGAAGCTGAAGACCATGGTTAAATGTATGTGTGTCTCAGGTCAGGCTCACAGCACAGGGATCTGTAGGTAGGTAGAGCTCCGTGGTCTCACAGGAGGTCTGCAGGTTCTAAGCGAGGACTTCGGAGCTAGAGGTGGATTCACACGGGGTCTTGTAGGTAAAGAGCTTGGAGCATGGGTGACTCGCAGGTGGGTGGAACCACATCTTTCGTGGGTCTATGGAGCACAGGTATGCAGAGGTGTTCTGACCAATGAGGTTAAGTTGCTGGTGCCAAGGTTAAGCTGAGATTGGTTATGTTGGAGCCAGCTGGCACAAAGACTGCTGGGGTTATACCCGGGTAGTCAAAGCTTGATCTGCAGGAAGGTGTGGAATCCGAGCTGGGCTCCGGGAGGTGGACCTGGTTTTTGGCAGATAAGCTAAAGGGGTCAAGAAAGCCTGCAGCAGGAGGTGCTGCAGTTGGGCACAGATGATGGTGAGAGCTAGGTGAGCTGGGCAAAGCCACTGCTGTCCTTACCTGGCTCTGTCAGTGAGTTTGTGGGTGCAGACTCAGTTGGGAAGAGGTGTATAAACAGTCTTAGGCGAGCCCTTCCACCTGCCGACTTGCTGGGTCAAGTTGGGAGAGCATGGAGAACAGGGATACATAGTTGGCTGGCCAAGCCCAAGGAGGTGGGCGAGGCACAGGTGGGCCCTCAGGTGGTAGGATCAGGCACAGTTAGCCTGTTCTTGTAGAAACCTGTCAGAAAACCATGTCACTGTAGGTACGTGTTTCTGATTCTGCCTGGGCCATCTGAAGAGCCCTAGGGTCAGGTAAGAGGTGGCATGCCCTGAGCTAGGTCAGCTACCTGTTCTTAGCACTTTGGCCCGGTGTGGCACGTGGAACTCAAGAGTATTACAGAAGCCTGGTGACCTATAACCATTCCAGGGTGTGGTCTTTGGCATAGGGTCTGAGTTACCCTCGTGAGGAAAATGGTAAGATTATTCCTGTCGAGATAAAGTGAGGCACCAAATGTCAAATCAAGGTGGTTTGTCTAAGGTATGGTGTGAAAGGGGCCCCCGCCTGTAGATTAAGGGCTCAGAGGCTTGGGTTAGACCCCATTTGACACAGCTGGACTCTCCCGGAAGTGAAAGCTGAGGACCTGTTCTCTCTCCACCAAGGTCAGAGCCTGATCTGTCAGTCACAGGGCTGCCTGGCTTCCCAGGACCAGTTTCTAGAACTGAGTCTGTGAGGCAAGATCTGAGAGGCCATGTCAAGCATGGTGGGGGCCGGGGGGGAGTCTGAGAATGTGTTCATCAGATAAGGGTTCTCCCAAATCTGGGCTCCTTCCAGGCAAAAGACCCCATGGTTCATCTCACTGCCCAAGACAGGGGCCTTGGACCTTTCATCTCATTCTTCCAGTCTGGCCTGCTTGGTTGATCGGAATCAAATCCCTCGTTCCCCTGTCCAGAGCAGTGCCTGAGTGGCTCCCTGGCTCCATTTGTACCCATAACCTTCAGTTCTCCAGCCTCGTCTCTCAGCTTTGCCCCTCCAGTCCTCACTCCTCCATCTTCGAGATTGTGCCTCGGCCCGTCTCCATAGGCTTCCAGAGAGGAATTCTGCTCTAACGGCTCAAGACGTCCATTGGATGTGTGCACCAAGGCCTGGCTTTTGCATCTTGGTGCGGGGGAGGGGGTTCTAGCCTTGGAACACCCCTGAAAGAATGGAGAAGGAAAGTCACTCAAATCATTTTCTCTGAGGCTTACATGTCTGACTGCGGTGAGTGGGACTCTCTCCACAGGACCTTTCCCTACGCTATGTTGGCTGCTGGACTGGTTCTTCGGATCTAGGCTCAGGCTCTCCACAGATTTCTTTTGTAGTTGGTTTTGGCACCACACACGCTCTCTCCTAGGTGCTTGGCTCTCCGGTTCGTATTTATTGACACGGTTATTTCATTTACCGTCGCCCGTGTGAGGGACGAGGTCCGTAAACAGTGTAAACAGTCACTGGGGATGTGTGCATGGAGTTTGGGAGATTCTGGTAGTGCACTGTGGAGTCTGCAGGTGTGGCCTGAGAAGGTGCAGGGTGAACGGTAGCCTAGGCGTGTCTTGGCGCTGAGGCTAAGATCGGTCAAGCTCAGGTACGGGCTGCTGGAGCTGTTCATGACCCAGGCAGCAGGGCAGGGCATCGGATCCCATCCAGACACGGGTAGGAAGCTCCGGTCCGTTGGTATCTGAGGAGGCTGGACCAGGTGCAGGCAGGAGCTGCTGGGCCTGTCAGTCAGAGGAGGAGGCGGGACTGGCACAGGCAGGAGGTGTCGGCTCAGTGTTCAGGGAGGTGGCTTGGGTACAGGAACGAGGCTGTGGGACTCAGGTAGGAGGTGTAAGGTCCGTCTGTCGGTGTGCAAGGAGGCAGCATGGGCACAGGTGGGGTGCTGGGTCTTTCATCGTCTGAAGAAGCGTGCCTGGGCACAGATAGGAGATGCTGGACCTGGGCCAGGTACAAGGCTCTGTATTGCTTAGCGTCTAAGGCACGGGTATGAGGTCTGGGTCTGTCAGTGTCCAAGAAGGCAGGTGAGGAACAGGTATGAGGCCTTGGGTCTGCCCATGTCTAAGGAGACAGGTTGGCACAGGTACGAGGCTCTGGGTTCGTCAGTGACTGAGGAAGGGTCTGTAGTCAGGCAGGCCAGGTAAAGGCTTTCGGTCTGTGGTGAGCAAAGAGGCGGGCTAAGCACAGGTATGGGGTACCCGGTCTGCCAGTGCCTAATGAGGCAGGACCTGAAGAGGTATGACGCTCCCGGATCGGCCAGCATCTGAGAGGTGGGCCCGGGTCTGTCAATGTCCAGGGAGGCGGGTAAGGCACAGGTATGCGTCACTGGACCCATCAGAGTCCAAGGAGGCAGGTGAGGCACAGGCAGGAGATTTGGGGTCCAATAGCATCCGAGAAGGCAGGTGAGGCACAGGTATGAGTTCCGGGTCTTGAATGTCTGAGGAGGCAGGTGAAGCACAGGTATGAGATACTTGGTCTGCCAATATATGATGGGCACGAGCTGGCACAGGTATGAGCTCCGGGTCTGCCAGGAGACAAGGCCAGCTGTGGTAAGGACTTTGCTTGAGTCCGTGGCTCTGGTCAGTCCCACGTGTAGTCTGCCGTGCTGGTCAGCCCCAAGAGTCACTAGCACCTGGCCTGCTGTGGTGCTTGGCAGAGGTGGGTTGGGCCCAGGCCCTCCCAAGTTCTCCAGGGCCGTGTGTGGCAGGAGGGAGGGGGGCGGGGTGTGCCGGCCTTCCTGCAGCACCTTTTCCTTCTCTCCTAGTGGGTAGGTGGACGCTACTCGCTGTGGTCTGCCATCGGGCTCTCCATTGCCCTGCACGTGGGTGAGTGCGTTTCTGAGTTTTGCAGCCCCTGTAGGGCATGACACTGTCTGAGGTCAAGGGAAAAGGGCTGTGTCGCTGAGCACCTTGCTGTCCCCACAGGCTGCTGGCCTCTTTTCTTCTGGCTGGAACATTTCTCTTGTGTCTGGGGGGAAAGCCCAGGTTTTCTTTTGCGCTGCAGGTTGGCCTTTCTCACTGCCCCTGCCAGTCCCGTCATCCATCCTGGGTGGAGTTGGATCAAACCAACTTGGCACTTAGGGTCTAATCTACTCAGAGATCTCCAGTTCTCCCGGGTCCTGTTTCTTCTGGCAACTCATCCAGCCTTTCCCAGTTCCAGAAGAAGCTGTGCCCACTGCCAGGAGGACCCAGGGTGTGGCCATTTCTGTTGACGCTGCTTTTGTGTTGCAGGTTTTAACAACTTCGAGCAGCTGCTCTCCGGGGCTCACTGGATGGTGAGTGCTGAGTGGCCAAAGATGTGTGTTGGTCCAGTGCCTCTCTCCCTCCCTCCTCCCTCCTCCCTCCTCCTCCTTTGCTCCCTCCTTCCTCTTTCCTCCTCCACTCCCTGACAGCTGCTTAGCCCCCTGCTCTCGTTTTAGGACCAGCACTTCCGAAACACGCCCCTGGAGAAGAATGCCCCCGTTCTGCTGGCTCTGCTGGGGATCTGGTACATCAACTGCTTCGGGTGTGAGACGCAGGCCATGCTGCCCTATGACCAGTACCTGCACCGTTTCGCTGCCTACTTCCAGCAGGTACCAAGGCCAGGCCAGGACTTAGAGTCAGCAGAGCCTCTTGGGGCCTGAGAGGCCCAGGGGCCCAGGTTGCAGCTCCTCCATGGACTTCTTGTCCCTTTGCCCTTGGGTACGGCCAAGGCCACCTCTGTTCCCCATCTTACAGCGCATCTTGGTAGTCAGGACCCTGAGTCTGGCTCTCATAGCGGGGCATGACTGGCTGTCATGGCACTCTGGCCAGTCAGATCCTGGCTTGACTTTGGGTCACTTCTGTCTTGGATGTCACTTTGGCATGGCTGCCAGAGAGTGAGGCCTTGAACCAGGACTTCTGTGGCCTGCACTGGCTTTGTGGCTCCAGGAAAGCAGGCTCACACCCTGTTTGCTGCCTCTTTGGTCTACACAGACTTCTGTCCCCTGGAATCTTCAGAGCCCTTGAAGACCAAGCAGCCTTTGTTCCAAGTCAGATTCCATTCCAGAAAGCCCTTCTACACCTGTTCCTGCTTTGTTCGGTACAGACCAGGGCCCTGTCCTGCAGACCTGGGCTCCCTAGACCAGGGTCAGTAGACTTTTACTGATTGAAGGAGACTTCAGCCTCCCTAGGTCCCAGCTACCTGGGTGAGGGTTGTCATGACCAGGATCCAGGCAGTATGCAAGGCCCAGCATCTAGCTGAGGTGACAGCCTCAAAGACTGTACCTTCTGATAGACAGCTCTGGTGGCTCACGCTTGCAATCCCAGCTACTCGGGAGGCAGAAATCAGAAGGATCAAGGATCAAAGCCAGCCCAGGCAAACAGTTCACGAGACCCTATCCTGAAAAAACCCAACACAAAACAGGGCTGGCAGAGTGGCTCAAGTGGTAAAGGGCCTGCCTAGCAAGTGTGAAGCCCTGAGTTCAAACCCCAGTACTGCAGAAAAAGTAAAAGAAAGAAAGAAAGAGCTGCATACTCTAAATCCCAGCTGCCCCTCCCTTAATAAATCAGGAATTCAGTTAAAGATTTTTTTTTTTTTTTTTTTGAGACTGGGGAGTGCTCTACCACTTGAACCACACCACCAGCCCATTTTGCTCTGGTTATTTTGAAGGTGGGATCTCACAAACTATTTGCCTGGGCTGGCCTCAAATTGCAATCCTCTTGATCTCAGCCTCCCAAGTAGCTAGGATTAATTTGTTTGTTTCTTTATTTAAGACAGGATCTTGCTGTTTAGCCCGAGCTTGATCTTGAACTTGTGATCCTTCTGCCTCTGCCCCTCAAGTACTGAGAATGCCATACCTAGCACCCAAGTTTTGATTTTAGAGAGGCCCTCCTCCCACCTCCAGACCCACCTTCGCCTGGTCATGGGTCCTTCCAGCCACACAGCTTGGGACCTGTGGTCCACCTCATGTAGGCAGGATGTGCCACAGTGCAGGAAGGAGCAAATGTGCAGGCACAGCGCTGACTTTCTGTCCCCATTTCAGGGCGACATGGAGTCTAATGGAAAGTACATCACCAAGTCCGGCGCCCGTGTGGACCACCAGACGGGCCCCATTGTGTGGGGGGAGCCAGGGACCAATGGTCAGCATGCGTTCTACCAGCTCATCCACCAAGGTGGGGCTCCACTGGCCTGGGCAGGGGTGCCGGGTGGCACGTGTGACAACAGGGGCTTTGCACTTAGGCTGTGTGCATAGCTCCATGGGCGGGGGCTGTGTGGGTGACCACGCTGCCCTTCAACAGGCACCAAGATGATACCCTGTGACTTCCTCATCCCGGTCCAGACCCAGCACCCCATCCGGAAGGGTTTGCATCACAAGGTAAGAGCCCATCCACACCTCCTCAGGCTTTCTCAGGCTTGCACACCTGCACCTTTTAAGACGTTGCTTTGGTCAGCAGTTATATTTGTTTTCTGTTGCTGTCGTGGCAAGTTGCCATGCACTTAGTGGCTTAAAACACCACCTGCTACCTCAGTGGTTCCTCTGTTAAAGGCCCCGCCGGCTCTCCTGGTCCCTGCTTAGTAAAGGCTCGTGGGCGAAAATCCAGGTGTCACTTTTTTTTTTTTTACAGTAGTGGGGTTTGAACTCAGACCCTTGTTCTTGGCAGGCAACCCCTCTACCACTTGAGCCATGTCTCCAGCCATTTTTGCTTTGGTCTGTTTTTCAGAAAAGGTCTCTCAGGTCGATCTTGGACTGAGATCCTTCAATCTCCCCCTCCCAAGTAGCTGGAAGCTGGAATTACAGGCACACACCACACATGGCTTGTTTTTTTTTTTTTTTTTTTGGTGTTTCTGGGGTTTGAACTCGGCTTCATGCTTGCTAGTCAGGCGTGCTACCACTTCAACCAGCCCTTTTTTGTGAGGGTTTTTTTCAAGATAGGGTCTCTTGAACTATTTCCCCAGGCTGGCTTCAAACCTTGATCCCTCTGAGCTCTGCCTCCTGAGTAGCTAGATTACAGGCATGAGCCTCTGGCACCCAGCTATTGGCTTGTTATTGAGATAAGGTCTCAGTAACGTGTTTTTGTTTTTGTTTTTTTTGGGTGGTACTGGGGTTTGAACTCAGGGCCTCATGCTTTCTAGGCTTTCTAGGCAGGTGCCCTACAATGTGAGCTACTCACTTTTTACCCAGGCTGGCCTTGAACAGCCATCTTCCTGCCACCACATCTGGCTGACTGTGGGTCTTTTTCAGCTTCTGCGAGCCAACTGCTTTCCCTGGCTGGGTGCCTCCTTTCACGTCCGTATCAGCAGTGACAGTTTAGATATTTCTGAAGCTTCGACTCTCATGTCTCTCTAAGTGACTTGTCTGCTTTTCTCTTCTACCATCCTCTTTTGCTTTTAAGGACCCGTGTGGTTAGGTTGGACCCAAAGGATAAACCAGATAGCCTCCCTTTGGTCAGGTCTGCAACCTTAACTCACTCCATGTGTAAAATCCCCTTTTGCTGTGTAATGTAACGAGCACAGGCGTAGTGTCAAGGGACAAAGATCAGAAAATCGTCCAGCTCACAGCCTAACAAGGTCAGGTCTAACCAGAGAGGACACATAGGGTGGCACAGGGTGACTGTGGACACAGGTTTAGTCAGTGACTCAGGGTTGAATTCTGATTCTTCCCCTCTGCACTTGTGTGACCTAGTGCTGTTGACTTGAGGAAACTAAGGCTCAGTTAGATGATGCCTGTGTGCATGTATTTACTTATTTATTTTTGCAGTGCTGGGGATTGAACTCGTAGTCTAATCCTTGTTCGGCCATTTGAGCCATGACCCCAACCCTTTTGTTTTCAGTTGTTTTGCAGAGAAGGTCTCATACTAACTTTGCCTGGGGTGGCCTCGAATAATGATCCTCCTACTTTCATCTCTTGAGTTGCTGGGATTACAGGTTTGAACTCAGGGTGTTGCACTTGCTTGGCTCAGTGTTCTACCACTTGAGCCAAGCCTCCAGCACTTTTTGCTTTAGTAGTTTTAAAGAGGGTCTTGGGTTTTTGCCAGGCTGGTTTGGACCACAGTTCTCCTGTTTATGGCCTCTTGAATTGCTGAGAACACAGGCACATGCTACCAGGCCTGGCCTATTGGTTGAGCCTTTTTGCACGGGCTGACCTCAAACCATGATTGTCCTGAGTTCTGTAGTAGCTAGGATTGTAGGCATGAGCCACTGTGCATCGCCACTAAATTGTTTCTGTGATAGGGTCTAACAAACTTTGCCTGAGTTGGCCTCAAACTGTGATCTTCCTATTTCCCCATTCCAAGTAGCTGGGATTACAGATGTGTACCACCAGGCCTAGCTCCACTGAGGGTCTTAAAAGAGATGTTGGTAAAGTTGTCAGGTGTGGAAACAATAAAGAAGAAGCCAGGTGTGACTGATGCATGCCTGTATTCCCAGCTATTTAGGAGGCTGAGGCCAGCCTGGGCAACTTTTAAGGGGACACTGTCTCAAAATAAAACTCAAGAAGGGGCTGGAGATGTCACTTAGTGGTAGTGGGTTTGCCAAGCATGCAAGAGACCTGGGTTCCATCGCCAGTACTGCAAAACAAGCAAAGAACAAGAGTAGTCAGCATTGCCCTCCCCTCTGCATCATCAGCTGTGTCACCCTAAGCTCTGCACTGGGTGACCCACGCTGGGTCTAACCCCACTAACAAGTGCCAGGTGGTCTTGTCCCTCTGACCACCGCTCTGGCAGTATTTTTTTTTTCTTTTTAATGTTATTTATTTGTGTTTTTTGCTGTACTCGGGTTTGAATTCAGGGCCTACACCTTGAGCCACTCCACCAGCCCTTCTTTTTTGTACTGGGTTTTTTGAGACAGGATCTCAAGAATTATTTGCCAGTCTGGCTTCGAACCACGATCCTCCTGATCTCTGCCTCCTGAGTAGCTAGGATTACGGGTTTGAGCCACCAGTGCCCAGCAGTATTTTGAAGCATATCTCAATGTCTCTTGGCAGATCCTCCTGGCTAACTTCTTAGCCCAGACTGAGGCCCTGATGAAGGGGAAGTTGCCCGAGGAGGCCCGGAAGGAGCTGCAGGCCGCAGGGAAGAGTCCAGAGTTGCTTGAGAAGCTGTTGCCACACAAGGTTAGCGCTGCTTCCCAAGCTGGCTTTGGGGTGGCATGCTGGAGCTGGTTGGGGGACGGGGGGTTCTCTTGAAGTGAGTCTGGCTTGTTCTGCCCAGAGGGCACATTCTTCTCTGGGGTTGGGATGCTAGGATTAACTGGTCGTGGGGGGGACCATTCCTTGTTTTCTGAAGGTCTTCGAAGGAAACCGCCCTACCAATTCTATTGTGTTCACCAAGCTCACGCCATTCATGCTTGGAGCCTTGATCGGTGAGTGAGTGAGTCGGGGAAGGGAGCGGCATGGGGTTGATTGCACGGGGCTGGGGAGCCTGACGTGCACCGTCTTCCACCTCTGCAGCCCTGTACGAGCACAAGATCTTCGTTCAAGGCATCATCTGGGATATCAACAGCTTTGACCAGTGGGGGTGAGTTGCACTCAGGGTGGGCCATGCCTGTGGGTTGACTGAAGGATTACACTTAGCGACTCTGGGACCTTCCTCTCCCTGTCCTGGCAGTGTGGAGCTGGGGAAGCAGCTGGCCAAGAAGATCGAGCCCGAGCTTGAGGGCAGCTCTGCGGTGACCTCACACGACTCCTCCACTAATGGACTTATTAACTTCATCAAGCAGCAGCGGGAGGCCAAAGCTGAGTGATGCAGCTGCCATCCTGGGCGTAACTGGCCCCCATGTCCCTGCTCACCAGTCTGCACTGCATGTTCCTGACCTCCTTGCCCAGGGCACCTGCTGGTGGTGGGCTTAGAGTACGAGCCTAGCTAGTCTGGAATTGTCACCCCCGCCTCCACATCTACCGTCCCTCAGATTTGCAGTCGGCTGAAGTATTTGAGTTCGTCTGACTTTCTGACCTCTGCTCCCAGGTACAATAAAGATACCACACAGAAGGGCATGGGCTCTGCCTCTTGCTGTCTCCTTGGACAGGGCTTCATGCGGCACCAGCTGTGCCTGGTGGACACATGGCTAAGTGGTGAGCAGGTCCAGAGCAGGACAGTCCCTTAAGGGGCAGGGAGGCTGGGGGCCGGTGGCTCACACCTGTAGTCTTAGCTACTCAGGAGGCATTGATCAGGAGGATCGCAGTTTGAAACCAGCTCGGGAAAACAGTTCACGAGACCCTATTTTGGAAAAAACCGATTTTGAAAAAAATCACAAAAAAAGGGCTGGTAGAGTGGCTCAAGGTGTAGGCCCTGAGTTCAAGCCCTAGTACTGCAAAGAGAAAAAAAGAAAAAGGCAGGGGGACAGAGCCAAAGTCAGGAGGGCAGCTTGGCCTCTAATCAAATATTCCACCCTTTCCACTTCTGTGACTTCAGAAAAACTGTCTGCTTCTGTTTGTTGGATAGGGTTATTATCATTGTTATTATTTTGGTGGGTCTGGGGTTTGAACTCTGGGCTCTGTGCTTGTAAAGCAGTCCTTCTACCACTTGTCACAGCTCTAGTACATTTTTCTCTGGATATTTTTGGAGATGGGGGTCTCATGGACCATTTGGCTGGGCTGGCCTTGAACCACAATCCTCTTTATCTCAGCCTCTCAAGTAACTAGGACTGCTTGAGCCACCAGCACCTGGCTCCCTGAGTAGATTTTAAACCTGTAGTGACATGCTGTGTGCCTGTGGCTCACGCCTGTAATCCCAGCCACTCGGGAGGCAGAGATCACAAGGATCGAGGCTTGAAGCCAGCCGGGCAAATAGTTCAAGAGACCTATCTCAAAAATACCCAACTCAGACAAGGACTGGTGGAATGGCTCAAGTGGTAGAGCATCTGCCTAGCAAGTGTGAGACCCTGAGTTCAAACCCCAGTGCCACCAAATTATAAATAAACACATAAATTCAGTGACAGCCGGATACCGTGGCTCACTTCTGTAATCCCAGTTAGTCAGGAGGTGGAGTCTGGGAGGATCACAGTTTGAGGTCAGCCTGGGGAAAAAGCAAGTTACCCCATCTCAACTAACAAACCAGGCTCCCACCTATGTAGGAGGCCCTTGGTAGGAGGGCTGTGGTCAGAGGCTGATACCAGGCAAAAACTTGAGACCCTGCTTGAAAAACAACTAAAGCAAAAAAGAGTTGGGTGTGCAGTTCAAGCAGTAGAGTGCCTGTCTAGCTAGTAAGTGCAGGGCCCTGAGTTCAAAGCCCAGTACTGCCACACACACACACACAAAGTTACATCATAAAAATTTAAGAAGGAGCCAGTGGGCAGAACTGAGGGGGAGGCTAGAGGTTGAGCTCTCAGCACCTTCACCAAGACCCAAGACTGCGACCTGGACAGTCTTGGGACGGGAAGGGGACCTGCCCAACAGCTGTCAGCAGAACAGCTTTTGTCCAATCTTTTCCTGGGTCACCTACTTCTGACTGGCACTCTGGCTTGGTCGCAAGCCTTCCTGGAGCCTTGGGCAGCCAGGTTTAGTGTTTTCTGCTCCTGTGAGGGGAAGGCAGTTTGCATCTACAAGACTCAAAGTGAGGCGTACCCTAATGACCGAAAGTGACACGATAGCCTCAGAAATGACCGGTACTTACCGTTCTCTCAGTGAAGTGACTGTTTGCTTTTTGTTGATGCTTTTTACTTTTTGGCTGCAAAAGTGCATGTCCTCTCTCTCTCTTTTTTTTTTTGGGGGGGGAGGGGGCGCGGTTTGAGCTCGGGGCCTTCATCTTGAGCCACTCCACCAGCCCTATTTTTGTGGTGGGTTTTTTGAGATAGGGTCTCGAGAGCTATTTGTCCAGGCTGGCCCAGAGATCCTCCTGATCTCTTCATAGTGAGCAGCTAGGATTAGAGATGTGAGCCACTGGTGCTCGGCTTCTCCTGACCTTTCTAAAGGTGATAGAAGGATATTCTTGACCAGCAAGTGGAGGCCCCCGTTGACCTATCCCACCTGTAGGAGTACAGGTGTGAGCCACTGCCACCTGGTGGCTCCTTTATATTTTTTTAAACAGGGTCTCATGTAGCTCAGGCTGACCTTGACCTAGAAGTCCTGCTGCCTCATCCTCCCAAGTGCTCCCGTCTTGTTTCCTTTTTGGTGCTGGGGATGGACCCCAGGGCCTCCTACTTTCTTCTCATGAGAAGCGGGCACCTGTTCCTGTCAGCAGCACTTCCTCATTACAGAGGAGCAAGCAGCCTTCCAGCCCTTGCAGGCTTTTGTCTCTCCTACCATCCAACTTGGGATTCATCACCAGGGTTCCTTGTCTTAGGGCCCAGCTGGCAGCATCCTCTGTGGCTCTGTGAGGAAGGTGCTGAGAGATCCAGTCAGAGGATGCCAGGATAATCCCAGTTGAAGAGAAATTCTTCAGCAGACAAAATGAATGTAATTATTAAAAAAAAAAAAAAAAAAGCTGGGCTGGTGCTTGTGGCTCTTGCTGTAATCCCAGCTACTCAGGAGGCAGAGCTCAGGAGGATCACAATTCAAAGTCAGTCCTGGGCAACTAGTTCATGAGCCCCTATCCCGAAAAACCCCTCACAAAAAAGGACTGGTGGAGTGGCTCAAGTGATAAAGAGTTCCTGCTCATGCAAGCATTAGACCCTGAGTTCAAACCCCAGTACTGCCCCCCAAAATACATAAATAAAAATAAAGAATAAAAAGAGCAAGCCAGCGAAAACACACAAGACAGATTAAGTAGGGTGAAAGGAAGATTTGAAGCGTCAGAGACCCTTCAGGGCTACCTTGGCCTTCCATAAAGGATCTCATACCAGTGTGGCTAGGTGCTGGCCAGACCAGCTGCCAAGTCCTGTCTTGCCTTGTGCAGGAGGAACCGACCCATGTCAATGCCACATGTCCCTTGGCCCTGACTTCTTCCTGCCACTGTCATCCCTTGCCGTTTCCACTTGTGCCCTGGCTGCCGGTTGTAGGGCTTGAACCCGTGAAGTCAGGCTGACACTGAAGCAGCTTTCAACACCTTCAGCCTGTACTTCCCTACCTGTAAGTTACACCACAACTTTTGCTCCTTGCTCAGGGACGTCCAAGTGTTAACGGCAATGCTGCCGTCGGTGATCAGAAGACTTCCAAATTCTTTGTCCCACATGGAAGAATCCACGGCAGGACACGTGGGTGTGAAGGGAGTTTATTAAAAGTTAGGGAGGGAAACACAAAGGGAGCATGGCGGGCCCAGCTGGAATGTGGAGGCAGAGAGCTGCTTTTCTTTTCTAGGTGCTTTTAAAACGGAAGGTAATCTATGGAAAGGACCCAGGTGATTCCCATCAATAATGAATGCGTGGAGAGGGGTGTGAGCAGTGGTCCCAGCCCAAGCCATCCCTGGGCCGGGGCATGGCAACCTGAAATGCAAGGTTAAGTCACGTTTTCTATGCGTCCTGAACTTTCCTGCCTCACAAGCCCCACCCAATCATGAAATTAGTGACAAACTTCGCACAGCCTTTGGTTACATTGTTCCAAGTCCTCCACAGTAAGTGGCAAATTTGATGTTTAAAAGTTACCTCTGGGGGCCAGCTTAAGTGGTAGAGCTAGTTTTTGCAGCTCAAAGCCCTGTGAGTTCAAAACCCAGCCCCACCAATAATAAATAATAAATAAAAGGTTGCTCTGGAATTCTAGAATTGTTTATGAATTGTCCTCTTTGGTGGCTGCAATCAACATTTTGAAAATTAATCTGACAGGGAGCTGGTGGCTCGCAACTTTAATCCTAGCTACTCAGGAGGCAGACATCAAGAGGACTGAGGTTTGAAGCCAGCCCGGGCAAAGACTTCTGCAAGACCCTAACTCAAAGAAACCCACCACAAAAAAGGGCTGGTAGAGTGGCTCAAGGTGTAGGTCCTGAGTTCAAGCCCCAGTTCAAGAAGCTGAGTTCTGACAAATGCGTACAGTTGTGTAAACACCATAATTGAGATATACCGAATTTTCCTCACCACAAAACGTCCGAGGCTCCCCTTTGTGGTTACAGTCCCTATGCCTAAACTCAACCTCTGGGAACCACTGATCTGATTTCTTTTCCTAAAGTTTTGCCTTTTCGCCATCACAGCCTTTTGTTTCTGGCTTCTTCCACTTAGCAAGATGCTTTTGAAATTTACTCATATTGTACCACAGGCATTTAAAAAGTTTATTATGAGGGAGAGGGGACACAGGGAGAATAATGAAGAACCTAACCGTACATTATATGCATATATGGAAATGTCACAACCCCTCCCTCGTACTGATAAAATTGTTGAAAACAAAAATTACTGATACGTTGAATATTATACGAAGCCTTCATGTTCCTGGCACCAAATGTAAATAATTACTCATTGCTGCTTTTATTGAATCTGCACCACCCCTTCTTGCAGCAAATGCCATATGCATAATTAATCCATATGCCTTTCAGTGTGTGCAAACTTAAGGGCTTTTTTTTTTTTAATTTTTGGTGGGACTGGGGTTTGAACTCAAGGGCTTCAAGCTTGCAAAGCAGGCGCTCTACGGCTGGAACTACACCTCCAGTCCATTTTACTGTGGTTATTTTTGAGATACGGTCTTGAGAACTATTTGCAGTGGCTGGCCTCCAACCTTGATCCTCCGGATTTCAGCCTCCCAAGTAGTTAGGATTACAGGCTTGATCCACTGGCTCGATTCTCATTTCTTCTTACAACAGATACCACCATCCCCGCCTACATTTTGTTATTTTCAGGCACACTACTTCATAGTGGATGGCGCATACTTCCTGTCGCATGTCACCATACAATGCCTGGGGAACCGGAGGCACAGCTCACGACCCAGCAGTCCTCTGCAGATCTAGACCAAGTGGTTTTTGAACTCAGGGGCTTCACCTTGAGCTACTCCACCAGCCCTATTTTTGCGAAGAGTTTTTCGAGATAGTGTGACAATTTGCCCAGGCTGGCTTCGAACCGCGATCCTCCTGATCTCTGCCTCCTGAGTAGCTGGGATCACAGGACCAAGTGCTTTCTTAAAGCTGCGTTTCAGCAGGGGGCCGGTGGCGCACGCCTGTAAAGATCAGGAGGATCGCGGTTCGAAGTAGTTCGCGAGACCCTATGTCTAAAATACCCAACACACACAAAAAAGAGCTGGTCGAGTGGCTCAAGGTGTTTGCCTGAGTTCGAGCCCGAGTACTTCAAAGAAAAAAAAAAAACAAAAAACCCAGCGCGTCAGCGTCCCCGGAAGTGGGCGGGGCCGCGTCGATGACGCAGCAGCGCGCACGCGCAGACTCGCACCACCGCGGCTTCCGTAGCGAGGCTTGTCACGTGCGCATCCGGCTGTCATGGCGGCCGTACCGAAGCCGGTGCTGCTCGGGCTTCGAGACGCAGCAGTGCGCGGCAGCCCCACGGGGCCGGGCGCCTGGCCTGCTAGCAAGCTGGGCGGCGTCGCGGTGAGGGTCGGCGGGTGCTGGTGAGGGGTGATGGTGGGGTGGAGCCGGGGTCTGAGCGCCTCCTTCGCCCTCAGGACGCCCTGCCCGCCGTCGCGGCGCCCGGCCCGGCGTGTGAACGCTGCGGACAGCCGCTCGCCCTGGTCGTGCAGGTGAACTGCCCGCTGGAAGGCTCCCCGTTTCACCGGCTCCTGCACGTGTTCGCGTGTGCCCGTCCCCGGTGCGGCGACGGCGACGGCGGCACGCGCAGGTAGGCCGGGAAGGCCGGGAGCCCGCGGGGCGCCGCTGCGAGGGCGCGGGGCGGGCGTGGGAGGAGGGCGAGCCTCACCGCCGCCTGTCTTCACCCCGAAGCTGGAAGGTGCTGCGCTCCCAGTGCCTGCCGGTGCCCGAGAAGGAGGCGCGGGACGCTCAGGTAAAGCGGCTGTGACTGGCGTGTTCCGTTTTTGCTGTCCCTTCCCCAGAATTTCACGTAGGACAGACTTTGAAAGTTGTGTGCTGTGGTGTGCAGTGCAAGCCGGGCGTGGCGGTGCACGGCCATAATGCCAGTAACTCGAGAGACTGAGGAGGCAGGATGTCCAGTTCGAAGCCAGCCCTGGCTACATAGTTACACCCTGTCTCCAGAAAAAGAAAACAAAGCGTAATGGAATGGGGTTTGCCCCTTCAGAACCATTAAGTGTTACTAAGGTTTTATTTCTTGGCGGCACTGGGGTTCGAACTCAGGGCTTCACCCAGGTGCTTGTTAGTCAGGTGCTCTAGCACTTGAGCCACTCCAGCAGCCCTTTTTTGAGTTGGGTATCTTCTTTCCTTCTTCCCTCCCTCCCTCCTTTTTTGGGGGTGGTACTGGGACTTGCACTCAGGGCCACTCCACCAGCCCTATTTTTGTGAAGGGTTTTTAGGGTCTCTCGAACCGGGCTGGCTTCAAACCATGATCCTCCTGAGTAGCTAGGATTACAGGCGTGAGCCACCGGCGCCTGGCATTCTTGGATAGTTTTGAGGTAGGTTCTCACAAACAATTTGCCTAGGCTGGCCTTGAACTGTGATCCTCACAATTTCTGCCTCCAAAGTAGCTAGGATTATAGGCATGAGCCACCAGCGCCTGGCTGTGAGTTTTATCATTTTTATTTTATTTAAAAGTTAAAAAAAAATTATAGCCCAGGCTGATCTGGAACTTCAGATCCTCCTATCCCACCTTTCTTAAGCAGGGGGCTTATGTCATGTATCATACCACTTGGCAGGAGTTGTTTCTTTGAATTTTCATTGAAAATCTAGAGCCATGAAATTTACTCATTTTCCTGTTTGAGACAAATGTGTGTATGTGTACACATGCTTGGTTGGGTGCAGTTCATGTATATGTGTATGTAAATATGTAAATGTGTGTGTAAATTATGTATATATATATAGCATATACTTATTGTGATACATGTGTATGTGTATATATAACTCACATTTAATAGGATAAAATCTATGATTATTGAATTGAAAAGTCAAGCAAGTTTGTAGCTGCAGAATGAAACTAGCTTCCCATTGTTTGTAAATCTTTGCACTGTGCCTGGTACATATTAAATACTTTACATAGGTACCAGGCACAATACAAGCAGTATTGGGAATAAAAAGATGAAGGTGGTAGTGTTTGCCTATATTTTCAGGGCTCAATTGCAAATAATAGAAAAACAATGGCTATTTTATTTTTTGGCAGTACTGGAGCTTGAACTCAGGGCCTCACACTTGGTAGGCAAGTGCTTTACCACTTAAGCCATTCTGCCAGCCCACACTGATTCTTTTATGCTGGCACAGACAACACAAGCCTTAAATTTTTACAGATTCAATAGGCTGGAGGGTGAGGCGATTTCAGGAATGACCTTTGGAAACACTCCTTAGAGCTCATCTGTTAGGCTGCTTCTCCCGCAGTCAGGGAAGCTTACATGTGGTCTGGTGAACTAGATGCCACCCTTGACTCAGAATTGATGACTGTCTAGCCTTTCTTTGTCTGTATTTGCAGACAGATCCCCTTTTGCTTCATGGCATTTTTCCCACTTCTGTCTAAAGGTTATGTCTGTCTGTGATGGACCTGACTAGCAGACCCTTGATCATAGCTATTAAGGAGTCTGGTCTATGTACATTTTTCAATTACTGTAGTATATGAAGCACAGCAGAAGGATTTTAGAATAAATAGTTGAAGGAACCACATGCTACATCTGCCAAACTGCCCCTGCAAAGGAAAGATAAGTATTTAAGTCCCCTCCAAATGCTTCTGAGTAGATGGAAGTTGCAGTGTGCCAGAGGAGAGGGACTGGTGTGAAGGCTCCTTTGGGATGGTGAAGAGATGGTGGCTAAAGCCAAAGGCATAGACAAAATCACCTAAGTGTGATTTGACTTTATTCACTGGGTACTCTTTTAGAAACAGGGAAATGGCCTTGCAGCTGAGAACTGGTGTGAAGGTGCAGATGACTGGGGAGTTGACAGCGAGGAGGCGTCTCCACCCCAGGTTGCCTTGGATTGTGGAAATGATTCTGCCAGTGCCAAGGATGCAGACTGCGCTGCACAGCTCCAAGACCTCCGTCTGCAGGACACTGTCTCAGATGCTGCTTGTCCTGCACCTCCTGGGGAAGGGATGGCCTTCCCTGCTGCGGTGCCAGGGTTCCAGCCCTACTACATCTGTGCTGTAGAAGAGGATGATTACAGAGACACGGCTAGTCTTGATCATGCCCACTGCCTGCTGAGGGACTATGAGCAGAGAGAAGGAGTTCATATGGACCACTTGTTTTCCCAAAGGTGAGATGTGTGTGTGCTGCTGAGGTTCAGAGGAGCCGTGGTCAGGAAGCCAGAGTAGGTACTCTGAGGTTTTGCCTAGTATCTGGGGAAGCTTTCTCAGGGAGTTCTTGTGTGGTAGGACCTTTCTGCCTCACTCCTGGGATAAGAAGAGACACAGATGGCACGCCGTCTTTTTTTCCCCCTTGTGGAACTGGGCTTTGAACTCAGGGCCTACACCCTGAGCCACTCTACCAGCCCTTTTTTTTTTTTTTTTTGTGAAGGATTTTTTTGAGATAGGATCTCGTGAGCTATTAGCCTGGGCTGGCTTTGAACCACAATCCTCCCTGATCCTTACCTTCTGAGTAACTAGGGTTACAGGCGTGAACCACCTGGCACCCTGCTTGGGTGCTTTCTTTTATTGGCCAACCTGAGTTAATTTGCAAATACTTGGCTCTATTTATAATTGCCCTCAAGAAAATGAAAGATGAGGGTTGGGTGTGTGGCTCAAATGGTAGAGGGCCTGCATAGCAAGCGCGAGGCCCTCAGTTCAAACAGCACTGCCAAAAAAAGGAAGATATGCCAAGTATTTACAGAAGATGGATTCACTATTTCTTTCATTTTGTTTTTATTTGTTTTTTGGGAATTTGTTTTGGTTTGGTTTTTTGCAGGGCTAGGGATCAAACCCAGGTGCATGTTAGGCAGTCACTTTACCACTGAGCTACATCTTCAGCCTTTGTTTTGTTTCGTTTTGTTGAGACAGGGTCTTGCTGTGTAGCCCAGGCTGGCCTCAAATTTACAGTCCTTTTGCCTTCACCTTTCAAGTTCTGGGATTATAGATTTGTGTCACCATGCCCTGTTTTCAAATGTCTTTATAGCAGGGACAGGTGAATTACAAAAATGCCATTTGTTTATTGATTCTGTTTTTTCCTTGGTGGTACTGGGGTTTGGACTCAGGGCCTCACACTTGGTAGGCAGGCATGCTACCACCTTAGCCACTCCACCAGCCCTATTTATTGATGCGTAGCTGTCGCTACAGAATTGATACTGACCTGTCAGACCTTCCAGATTCTCAGTTCTCACCTGTAAAATTGGAGGGATAGTGTTATATCTGTTCACTTTTATCAGATAATTTGGTGTCAGATGAAAGAATAGATCTAGAAAGGCTTTGTAAACCAAAGCACTAAAGAAGTAAGAAGGAATCTGGGCATGGTGTGTACACCTATAATCCCAGCAGAGGAGGATCATGAGCTTGAGGCCAGCCTGGGCAACATAAAGAGACCCTGTCTCAAAAACAAACTCAGAGTGATCATTTTTGCTATTGTACTAATAGAATTAAAAAACAGGTTGTTTGGAGAGATGACCTGGTTCTTAGCAGAGCCATTTTTTCCCTTGAAGGCATTTCAGAGTAATGTTAAAGGAGAGTGCTGAACATGTGTTGATGTTTGAAAAAAAAAAAAAAATCTTCTATGAAAGTAATCTATAATGGAGAGAGTTAATGTGCATCAGACTGTTTTGGTGGTCCTGGGGTTTGAGCTCAGATCCTCGCGCTTAGTGGGCAGATGCTCTTCCACTTCAACCTCTGCCCATGACTTATTACTATTTTTTTTTTGGTAGCACTGGGGTTTGAACTTGACCTTGTGCTTGCAGGCAGGTGCTTTACCACTTGAGCTGTATCCCTAGCCCCCCATGACTTTTTTAAGTTGTAAGTATCCTAGAGTTGAAAGTGGATTGGGAGAATGGTGGAACAGGAGGCTACATATACATATTATAAACTATTAATGTTTTTGATATTTTGCCTGGCACCAGTGGCTCACGCCTGTAATCCTAGCTACTTAAGCTACTCAGGAGGCAGAGATCAGGAGGATTGTTGTTAGAAGCCAGCCTGGACAAATAGTTCTCAAGACCCTATCTTGAAAAAAACCCATCACAAAAAAAGAGCTGGTGGAGTGGCTCAAGGTGTAGGCCCTGGGCCTATAGTATTTTTTTGGCGGTATTTTTTTTTTTTTTATTCATATGTGCATACAATGTTTGGGTCATTTCTCCCCTTGGGCAGTATTTTTTGGGCGGTATTTTTTGTTTTTTTTCCAGAAAGATTAACTTTTTTTTTTTTTGGTAGCATTGAGGTTTGAACTCAGGACCTTATTCTTATTAGGCAGGTGCTCTTATTGCTTGAGCCACTCTGCTAGCCCTTTTTTGTGATAGCTTTTTCAAGATAGGGTCTAGGGAATTATTTGCTCAAGCTGGCCTCGAACTGCTGTCTTTCTGATCTTTGCTTCCTGAGTAGCTAGGATTACAGGGGTGAGCCTCCAGCACCCTACAAAATTAATATTTATTAAGATTCTTTATAGAAGCTGGGTGCTGGTGGCTATAATCCTATAATCCTAGCTTCTAGGGAGGCTGAGATGAGGAGGATCATGCTTCAAGGCCAGCCCAGGCAAATAGTTCACAAGACCCTATTTCCAAAATAACCAGAGCAAAATGGCCTGGAAGTGTGGCTCAGGTGGTAGAGCTCCTGTTTTGCAAGTGCAAATCCCTGAGTTCAAACTCCAGGCCCACCAAAAAAAAAAATTATTTACAGAAATACTTTTTAAAAGAAAGAATTGCAAAATTAGCAGTAGATAAAACTTTACATTTAAAATTATGGATGAAATAATACGGAAAAAAGCTTTATCACAAAATATTGAAAATTATTTTGAAATGAAAATAGTCCTATTATTTTTATTTATAAATGCTTTCATTTTTATGTTTTACTGTGCATTTAATGTGAGCCAACTCTGCCAGCCCAAAAGTGTAGACCTGGCTAGCCTCGAACTCGTGATCTTCCTGCCTCATCCTCTTTGCCTTGTTGATGACTGGCATGCACCACCATGACCGGCTTACTTTGAGCTTCAAAATGAATCTAGCTAGATAATTATTTTTTATCAGCAAATCAGCTGTTTACTGTTTAACCAACAGTAAATAGTACTAACATAGATGCAAATTTTTACTAAATGTATTTTTCTCATTTTAGGTATGGCTATTCATTTCTAAAAAAAATTAATTCTGTTTGGCCTCATTAGAATATTTACATTTAAATGCTCCATGGTAATATATTAGGTGTATTAAGTAAGTAGAAACTCCTCAAATGAAGAGAATAATGGTTTTATAAACAGTGAAGATAATTTAAAATGTAAGAAGCTGAACTTAAAAATCGCAGCTCAAACCACCTGTTTTATTAAGTTTCATAAACTCTCTACTTCTAAAAAGCCCTTAGTTCATACCCCAGTGCCATGAAAAACCAAAAAAAGAAACCTGAGTGCTGGTGGAGTGGCTAAGTGGTAGGGTGCCTGTTTAGCAAGCATGAGGCCCTGAGTTTAAATCCCAGTTTAAAGCCCAGTGCTCACCCTCCTCCAAAAAAGTCCTTATCAGATCTAATTCTTTAAACACAACTTTATTAACTCAACAGATGAGTTTGAAAAACAAGGCATGTAATCTTACTTTCAAGTCACTGATTTTTATACCAAATGTTTAAAAATATTTTAGAACATGGGAGACCTGAATTAAGTGATTTTCAGCATTTGTGCAGGCTTGTTAGCCAGCTGGCTTGTTTTTACATATGAACTTTATGAACACTTTTACTGCAGGTAGTAGACAAGAAAAGTACTTGTAACTGTAAAACCTGTCAACTAAGGTACTGAGGTTTACACTCAGGGCCTTCTGCATGAGAGGCAGGTGCTCTGTCACTTTTTTGTATTTTTGTGAATTGAACTGAGGCCTAACACATGCTAACCATGTGCTCTACCGCTGAGCTATACCCTTGATAAATTTCACTAAGAAAATCTTCTTGCTTCCTCTTCTCAATACTATAATTATCTGGATATTCAAACTCAAAAGTGCTTTAATCTTCTGTTTTTAGTTTTTCTGGTGATGGTGATGAAAAATATGAGAAGCCCAAAATTAGAAGTGGAGATCAAATGTTTTATAAATTCATGAAGAGAATTGCTGCTTGTCCAGAGCAGATTTTGAGGTAATGGAAGCATATTTTCATTTACTTACTCAGTTACTTATTTATCTATATTTATTGGTGGAACTAGAGTTTGAACTCAGGGCTTCATGCTTGCAGAAGACTTGAACCACACCTCCAGTGCATTTTTCTGTGGTTATTTTGGAAATGGGGTTCCATGAACTAGTTTCCTGGGGCTGGTCTTGAATCTCGATCCTCCTATTCTCAGCATCCCAAGTAGATAGTATTCTAGGTGTGAGCCACTGGTGGTCAACTGTGTTTTATTTTATTTTTATTCATGCTGGCATGTAACTGCAATCCTAACTATTTGGGATGCTAAGACAGAAAGATCACTTGAACTCATGAGTTCAATACCAGCCTGGGCAGCACAATGAATTCTGTCTTAAAAATAACCAACAGTGCTGGGTGTGGTGATGCACATTTGTAATCCCAGCACTTGGGAAGCTGAGGCAGGAGGATGGAGAGTTTGAGGCCAGCCTGAGCTACAATGGGGCCTTGTCTCAAGGGAGGTCGGGGTCACTAGTTCCTGAACATCTTTGCCAATACTTGGTATATTCAGTTTTCATTTTAGCCATTCCAAAACTTGTGTAAAGATTTTCATTGTGATTTTAATTTGCATTTTTCCAGTGCCCAGAAGATGTAGAACATATTCAAGTACTTGTTTTCCTTTTCTGTGTGTCATTTTTGATAAAGTGTCAGTTGAAATCTTTTGCCATATTTTTATTGGGTGGTTCGTCTTTTTAATGAGGTGTACAAATCCATGCATTTTACTTCAGTTTCTCCTTCTCTGTAGCTTTTTTTTTTTTTCATTTTAGTAACAGTCTTTGAAGGGCACTTTTACATTTTGATCAAGGTCAACTTAAGAGTTTTCAGGGTTATTGTTGTCACTGCGCTTCCCACATGCTAGGCAAGTGCTCTTCTACTCAGCCCAGCTTCAGCCCAGTTTCCAGTTTTTGTGGTGGCCGTTGCATTTTATTTCCTGAGAAATTATTCAACCCAAGGTAACAAATAGGCAAGAAAAGACCATTCTGGGGGAGCTTTTTATTGGACCTAATGTTGCAACGCCAGGGGGCAGCATACTCACAGCTGACTCAGCCTGCTTCTGTAGCCAGGAGGGTGTACGGCATGGATGAGGCGTGCAAATGTGCTGATTGTAACGGCGCCTGTCACAGTGCGATTTCCAGTTGTATCAAGACCACTCATCCAAGCATACGTTCAGCCTCCCATCTCAATCACAAGCTTTTTGCTGGTTCACCAGGGGAGCATTCTTCCTCCTGCAGACCTGGTGGAAGCCTCTCCAAGGCCGTGAGCAGCCAGAGCAGGGCTCTGTGGAAAAGTGCAGGCAGTCATCTAAAAGCTCACTGATGCTTGTCTGGCCTGGAGAAGGTTCCTGTATGGTGCCGGTGCCAGCTGTGACTGGATCAAGGTCTTCCGAAGCAGGCAGTTCTCTGAACAGTTCTCTGCTCAAGCTGCCAGGCTTACCAGAAGGAAGAGTCTGTTGAATAGCCTGTCCTGACAGCCTCACTCATTCAAAGTGACATCAAAGAGCGCTTATAGAAAAAGACCTAGTAGAAGCTGAAACAAAACTAAGATTCTCAACAGCATGTAACTTACACTGCTTACACTGCTGTAGTGCCCTAGAGAGAGGTGGCTTTCTCTATTTGTCGCATATTTTGGGTGCGATCCATTTTGAATTAGTTTTTATACTTGGTATGTGCGTCAAGACTCACTGTTTTCCATGTGAACATCCATTTGCTGGGACACCAGGTTTTATTAATTACTTTGGTCTTCTTGCTTACCAGTTATTGAGAGTGGAATGTTAAAATCTCCTGCTGTCATGCATGATTGAACTTGGGTTCAATCTCCAGCACCATTAAAAAAAAAAAAATCTGTTATAACTGGGTGGGGGCTCTGGGGTTTGAACTCAGGCTTGGTGCTTGCTAAGCAGACACCCTACTGCTTGAACCACACCTGTAGCCCCATAACTGGGCATATTTTTATTTACTTGTTGAGTTTGGAGTTTTTGGGGGGCAGGGTTTTGCTATGCAGCTCAGACTAGCCTTGAAGTCACTACATAGCCTAAGCTGGCCTTGAACTTCCAGCCTCCCAAATGCTGGGATTACATGCATGCATTGCCATGCCTGGCAGTTCTGTTGGTTTTTGCCTCATTCGTTTTGATGCTGGTTTGAGATGTGTGTATTTAGGATTTTATTTTATCAGATAAGTGCATCCTTCTGTGATTGACACATTCCTCTTTATTTCTTATGTTTCTCCTTCCTTGGGAGTACATCTTGCCTGAAATTAATGTGGCCACACAGATTTCTTCTGTTTTAGTCTTTGTATGATTGATGTGTGTGTGTATATATGTATTTGTGGTGTTAGGGATCAACCCAGCACCTCATGCATGCTAGGCAGGTGCTCTGCCCTTGAGCGACACCCTTAACTCCTAGCTACACTTTCACTTTCAACTTGTTTCCTACTTTATTTATTTTAATTTTTACTGTTTTTTTAAGACAGAGTCTTGCTATATAGCTCAGGCTGGCTTTGAACTCACCTTGTAGCTACAGGCTGGCCTTGAATTTTTGATCCTCCTACCTCTGCCTCCCAAGTGCTAGGATTATAAGCCTGCACCACCATGCCCAGCTATTTGTTGTTTTGGGGCAAGGGCTCAGAATTTATGATCCTCCTGCCTCAGCCACCTGAGTGCTGGGATTATAGGTTTATATTACTGTTACGGCTGCTGTTTCCTGCTTTAAATATAAAATGTGATCTTAAACTGCTGATATATTTGAATCAGGTTGGCAGTTTACTTGTTACATGGAGTACTTAGCCTATGTAATGTAATGGTTGGTAATATGTGGTTTAATTTTATCATTCTGTTATGGTTCTCTCTCTTTTGTTTTGATCCCTCTATTTGTTCTTTTTTTTTGAACTTTTTTTTTTCCTTCGTGGATTGAGTGTTTTTACTTCATCTTCTTCTGGACTTTCACTTACAACTCTGTTGCCTTTCACCATTTGCTTTGGTGGTTACAGTGTACATCATTGATGACTGTAGTCCTCAGCTCCATGTCAGAGTCCCATCTGTCCTCCCACATCTGTCCTCCCACTACCCTTGCTGAGCATGTTTTATACAGTTCCCTTCTATGTGTGCTGTAAATGGCAAAATGTATTATTTTTGCTTGAAATAGTGTTTAAGGAGAAGAAACATAAGGTACAAATAACTTTCAGTTCTGTTATATTTATCCACCCAGTTACCTTTGTGCAGATCTGTTTCTATCTGGTACTTTCCCTTCCCTCTGTAGAATTTGTTTTAATAGATTTTGTATTACTAGTTCATTGGAGAGACTTTCTCAGGTTTTGTCTGCCTAACAATATATATTTAACGTGTATTTAAGCGAACCTTTTCCTTGGACATATTTTTTTTTTCTTTTTTTTGGAACAGCCCAGGCTGGCCTGGAACTTGTAATTCTCCTGCCTCAGCCTCCTGAGTGCTGGGCCCACAGACGAGCATGAAGATGGCTGGCTCATATTTACTTTACTTCACTTTACTTTATTGTTATGTCCAGTCTGCTTGTTAAGTTTTACCCATTTTTTTTTTTTTTCTTGTGGTACTGGGTCTTGAACTTAGGGCCTTCACCTAAGGCTGAGCCACTCCACCAGCCTTATTTTTGTGAAGGGGTTTTTGAGATAGGGTTGCACAGAACTTTTTACCCCAGCTGGCTTCAAACCATTATCCTCCTGATCTCTGCCTCCTGAGTAGCTAGGTTTCCAGGTGTGAGCCACGGGTGCCTAGCTATAGTTCTTCATTTCTAATACAGCATTTTGCATTTCTGATTCAGCCTCTTTGACTTTCCATCTCTGTGCTGAATTCCTCATCTGTTCATGACCATTTACCTTTTCCACTGTATCATTTTTCATACTTGTTACTGGTATTTAAAGTCCTTGTCTGACAGATCTGTTGTTTTGTCTGTGGGTCATCTTTACCAACTTTGTTTGTGGGTTAAGTTTTCTTGCTTCTTTGCATATCTAGAGACGTTTAAAAGTAGTTTGCTAGAAATGAGATGTTGAAGAACAGTAGATACTGAAGTACAATTTTCTCCCAGCCAGGGGTGCCTCTCTTCTGTAAGGCCAGCAGTCTGAGGGCGGAGTCCCTTTCCTGTGCACTTAAGTTGGGTCCCATTCACTGCAGCCTTGGTGTTAAGAGCTTTATTGAGCCTGAGTCCAGCACTGACAAGACTTCGGGTATCTTGCTGTGCTTTTCCACTTGCCGATCATTCTTTGGCTCAGGATGACTTTTTTCTCTTGGGTGCTCACAATAGTGCATGAAGAAGGAAGTTTTGCGGAGCATGGCCTTAGCTGTTGGGGTGCAATTTGTGTATGGGGCTCTGATTTGGGCTCTCCCTTCTTCGCCCTAGGTATTCCTGGAGTGGAGAGCCACTCTTTTTGACCTGCCCCACACGAGATATCGCTGAGGTCCCAGACTGTAGCCAGTGTGGAGGCCAAAGGACGTTTGAGTTTCAGCTTATGCCAGCACTGGTCAGCATGCTCAGCGGCGCTCATTTAGGTAAGACCCTTTGGTAACTTGGCTTTGTGGATTTGTGGCATTGTTTTGAAATTGTATTTAAATGAAAGACTACATTTTTGTTGAATTATAAAATATAGCGTACTATAGAAAATTTGAGAAATTAAAATTACTGTAGAAATTATTTAAATGTTTATTATTTAAACATTTTTTTCCCTCTTTTTTAAGTCAGGGTCTTGCTATGTAGCCCAGGCTGGCCTCAGACCTGAAACTCATTATCCTCCTGCCTCAGCCTCTCTAGAGCTGGGAATATAGGCCTGCACTACCATGCCCACCTGTTTGAAGAAATTTATAGCCAGGCGCTAGTACCTTATGCCTGTAATCCTAGCTACTTGGGAGGCAGAGATCAGGAGGATTGCATTTTGAAGCCAGCCTGGGCAAATAGTTGTGAAACCCTATCTTAAAAATACCCAACACAGCCTAGTGCTGGTGGCTCACCCCTGTAATCCCAGCTACCCAGGAAGCAGAGATCAGGAGGATAATGGTTTGAAGCCTGCTGGGGCAAATAGTTTATTGAGACCCTAGCTCAAAAATAGCCTACACATGCCAGGTGCTAGTGGCTCACACCTATAATCCTAGCTACTGAGAGGCAGCAATCATGGCGATAATGGTTCAAAGCCAGCCTGGGCAAATAGTTCCCAAGACCCTGTCTTGAAAAAACCCTTCACAAAAAAGGGCTGGTGGAGTGGCTCAAGAGGCAGAGTGCCTGCCTAGCAAGCATGAGGCCCTGAGTTCAAGCTCCAGTACTGCCAAAAAAAAAGAAAAAACCAGAACTATTTCCCTGGAATTCTGTAAGTATGTAGTCAAAAAGTTTTTGTTTAATACATCCTTCAGAAACCTTATAAGAAAACCAATATTTGAGCAAATTGTAGATTGTATTAATACAACTTTTTTTTTTCCCCAGCACTATGGTTTGAACTCAGGGGCTTCATTTTGAGCCACTCCACCAGCCCTATTTATGTATTTATTTATTTATTTTTAAAAATTTTTATTTTTTATTATTCATATGTGTATACAATGCTTGGGTCATTTCTCCCCCCTGCCCCACCAGCCCTTTTTTTGTGATGGGTTTTTTTGAGATAGTCTTGAGAACTGTTTGCCCAGACTGGTTTTGAACCATGATCCTCCTGAGTAGCTAGGATTACAGGTGTGAACCACTGGTGCCTGGCAATATAATTATTTTTAAGTTAAAAAAAAAGGTAAAAAGGATAAAAAAGACTGGTTCCTAAATTATATCTTTTTTTTTTGGTGGGATAGGGTTTGAAGTAAGGGCTTCATGCTTGCAAAGCAGGAATTCTACCTCTTGAGCCACCCCTCCAGTCCATTTTGCTCTTTTGGGGATGGGGTCTCGAGAACTATTTTCCTGGGCTGTCTTTGGACAACATTTCTTCCAGTCTCAGCCTCCCAAGGTAGCTAGGCATTCAGGATTGAGCCACTGGTACCCAGCTCATTTATCATCCTTACGTACTCGAGTTTGGTTTTTTTTTTTTAAAGAAAAATGTAAAGTTTTTATTATAAAAGTAATACATTGCATTAGTTATAACAGAATATCTCGGACAATTCACTTATGAAGATAAATTTCCTGGTTCTGGGAATTGCAGCGGCCTGATTGTTTCGGGCCCGGCAAGGGCAGCTCACCACGGCAGGAGCACGTGGCTGAGCTACAAGTAGGTGAAGAGGGCTAGGCTAGTGGTCCACAGTTCCAGTAGTGCCACACTACACACTGAGCCTTTGTTCTGGTGTGCTGGGCAGCAGACCCAGGGCTCTGTCTTACAGTCCTTTTTACTTCTGCGAGTTCACACTGATTCTCCACGTTCATTTCTGAATTTATCATTGGAGTCTTTTTTTTTTCCTTATTTTCTACTAGCTTTCGATAGTTTTCTTTTTCTAGTTCCTTAACATGTACACTTAGGTCATTGATTTAATACCTATTTTTTTTTTGGTGGCACTGGGGTTTGAATTCAGGACCTCACACTTGCTAGGCAGGCACTGTACCACTTGAGCCACTCCCCCAACCCTCATACCTTTTTAATGTGTGTTCCAGCTCTGGATTTCCTTCTCTGAAGTGATTCTGCTGTATCTCTTAAGTTTTGGTATATGCGTCTTGTTTTCATTCATCCCAAGGTATTTTCTAATTCCCCTTGTGACTTCTCTGACTTTTTGGTTATTTCAGAGTGTTTTGTTTAGATTCTACATATCTGAATTTTCCACTTTTCCTTTTTTTGGGTGGTACTAGGGTTTGAACTAGGGGCCTTACATAGGCAATCCACTGCTTGAACCAGCCCTTTTTTTAATTCAGTTTTTTTTCCAGGTAGGTTTTACTTTTTTTGTCTCAGAGCTACACTCGGACTACAGTCTTCCTACCTACTGCCTACATCCCGTGTAAGTGGGATGACAGGTGTATATCACCACTCCGAGCTTTTTTTTTTTTTTTCTACAGTGCTGGGATTTGAACTCAGGGCCTACACCTTGAGCCATTACCAGCCCTTGTTTGTGATGGATTTTTTTTGAGGTAGGATCTTGGGAACTATTTGCCCAGGTTGGCTTTGAACCTCGATCTGTCTGATCTCTGCCTCCTGAGTAGCTAGGATTGCAGGTATGAGCCGTGGGCATCTGGCACTCCCATCTTATTTGTTGCGGTAACCATTGAACCACAGTCCTTCGCATCTCTGCCTCCTGAGTAGCCAAGAGTATGGGTGTGAGTCACCGCACCCTGCTTTGCACTTTTCTTTTTATTAATGAGTTCTAGTTTCCTTTCGGTGTGGTCAGAAAAGATACGTGGTGTGATTTCAGTCATAAATTTATTGAAACTTGCTTTGCCTAAGAGATGATCTATCCTGGAGAATGTTTCTTGTGCTGACTTTGAATAGTCTTCTGTATTTGACTGTTACATCCGATTGATTTACAGTGTTTTTCAAATCCTCTATTTTCAAGTAAATCTTCTGTTGGGTGTTCCAGCCCTTCTTGCAGGTGGGGTATTGAAGTTCCAACTATTAATGTAGCACTTCTTTAATTCTGTCAATTTTTCTTTATTTTGGATATCAACAATAACCATGTTATGTGATTATAATTACTTTGCGTTCTTGTTCTATTGACAGTTTACCAATATATAACAGCCCTTGGGCCTCTTTGTCTTTTGTACTGTGTGTGTGTGTGTGTGTGTGTGTGTGTGTGTGTGTGTGTGTGTGTGTGTGTGTGTGTGTGTCTCACACAGGGGTGGGAACCCAGGGCTCTGCTTCCTATGTACATCTTCTGTCCCTCCATGTTATTGTCATAGATCATATCTTTATTTGTGGTATGCCATTAACATGGATTCAATAATTGTTTTGTGCCTTTGCCATTTATTAATTTATCTTTTGAGACAAGGTCTGGCTATGTATCCCAGGTTGGCCTCAAACTTGTGACCCTCCTGCCTCTTCTCCAGTGGTGGAGTGTGTGTCACCATGCCTGGTCTTGACTGCCTTCTGTTTTTTTATTTTTCTCTATTGCACTAACTAGAACCTCTAACACAATGTTGTATAGAAATGAAGAAAGTCGACATTCTTGTCCTTTTTCTGATCAAAGGACTAAAGCACTTTTATCATGAAGGAACCTGTTAGCTATAGGGTTTTTGTAACTTTTTTTTTTTTTCCCCCCCTGGCTGTACTGGGGTTTGAACTCAGAGCCTCATGCTAGCTAGGCAGGTGCTCTACCACTTGAGCCACTCTTCCACCAGCCTTTTTTGTGTTGGGTATTTTAGAGATAGGGCCTGGGCTGGCTTTGAACTGCTATTCTTCTGATCTGTGCCTCTCCAATAAGCTAGAATTGCAGGCGTGACCACTGTGCCTGGCTTTTTTTTTTTTTTTTTTTTAATCAGGTTGTCTCTCTAGTTTTTGCATTTGTTTTATAACTGTATATGAATAATAACATTATTTTTGTGACTAAGTTTCACTGTGTAGGCCGAACTGGCTTTGAACTCTTGATCCTCCTGCCCCACCTCCAACATGCTGGGATTCTAAGTATGTACCACCACACTGGGCTCTGTGAATATTACCTTTAAGGAATTTATTGTTCCAGTGTTGTTAATGCTGTTAGGTCATGTTATCAAATTCTTGCTTAATTCTATTTGGATTTTCAGACACATGGGAGACACGGGAGAATTATTTCTCAGTCTTTGGCAGTATTCAGTATAACATTTTGGAGAGGTTTCATGTGCATCACTGTTATAAATGTTGGCTGTGGGGTAGGGATGTAGCTCAGTGGTGGTGCATCCCAACACCACAAAGAACAACATACAAAAACAAAAGAATATGTTCGTTTGTAACCTACTAATTCCACTCTTAGGCATATCTAAAAGAAAAGAAAAGTTGTCTGAAGGCCGGTGGGATGATGCAAGCCTCCTGTAATCCTAGCACTTGGGAGGCTAAGGCAGGAACATCATAAGTTTGAGGCTTGTCTGAGCAAGACCCTTCTACCCGCTCCTCTGACAACCTGTACATAAATGCTTCTAGTAACATTGTTAATAATAGCCAAAAAGTGGAAATGACTCAGATGTCCCTCAGCTGATGAACACATAAACAAAACAGGATTTATCCACAGACTAGTGTTCTCTTGTAATCCCAGCTGTCGGGATGCTGAGGCAGGAGGATTGCAGCCTCCTGGAAAAAGAGAAAAAGAACCATGCTAAATAAAAGAAGCCAGACACATGTGGCTGCCTAGTGTGTGATTCCACTTATGTGAAACATCCAGAAGAGGAAAGTAGATTTAGGGGTGGCAGTGGCCTAGGGCAGGAGAGAATGGGGGGTGACTGCTAGTGGATATGGGTATTGGGATGTTTTTTGAGGTGATGAAATATTCTGGAATAAGTCAGTGATTTTTGTACAACTCTGAATATACTAAAATCTATTGAATTATAGATTCAGTAATTGTAATTTTTTGGTGGTACTGGCCTCACACTTGCTATGCAGGTGCTCTATCTGTTGAGCCATGCTTCCAGCTCTTGTTTTATGCTTTAAGAGAGTTTTTTCAGATGCTAGGGGCCAGACCCCGACTGGATCCTACCTACCACCTCCCATGTAGCTGGGATCATAGGCACATGCTTTCATGCTGGCTGGTTTTGTTGCTATAGGGTCTAGCTAACTTTCTTCCTGGGCTCTTCTGGAACTGAGATCCTCCCCATCTCAGCCTCCCAAGTAGGTAGGATTATAGTTGGGAGCCACCGGTGCCCAGCTTTCAGTTTGTTCTTAAAGTTCTGTTTGACCACTTTCACTTTTTCCACTAGATTTCTGCGAAGGGGTCATAGAAGATAACTTTTTTAATGCCATGGTCTGATAATACACCTTGTCTTTATTTATATTTAATTCGTGATCTAGTTGGATTTGGGTTGCTAAGTTGGAGGTGTTTTAAATTCATGCTTATTCAGACTTTTTTTTTTTTTTTTTTTTTTTTTTTAGTGGTACTGGGGTTTGAACTCAAGGCCTCATGCTTGCTAGGCAGGCGCTCTACCATTTGAGCCACTTCCCCAGCCCTTGCCCTTATTCAGACATTTTTCAGGTTTTACCTATCTCTTTTTGCATCCGTTGTTGCTGCTGAGAGCTGAGAGCAGTGTCACTCTGATGATCAGGACTGTCAGCTGTGAACAATTTTGCTTCTGCTACCAAAAGTTTAGCACTGGTAGCTACCTTGTTTTTTGCATCCAGCAAGAGAAGAATTCAGGCAAGAAGCAAAAATATAGTAAAAGTAATAGTAAAGCTTACTTTAGTAAAGTTTAGTATAACAGAATAAAAGTGGGGAGAAGTGGAAAAAAAAGGAAGAAACATTTCCTGCTCCCCAGGGGATGGGGGTGAAGACTCAAAATGGTGCCCATCATCTCTAGTCTTACACTTTTTGAGCTGGGGTCATTAAGACCTGTTTATGGGCTTTTGTAGTGGCTCAAGTGGTAGAGTGCCTGCCTGACAAGCATGAGGCCCTGAATTCAAACCCCAGTGCCACCAGAAGGAAAGAAAAGGAAAAACACGATGTGATTGTTATGATACTGGATCTGGGTGGCTAAGATGAGTGCTAAAATAGGGAGGTGTCATCCAGGTCTCCTCAGATCACAGGGACAAAATGTGTGCTTTAGGACTTTTTGTCCCTCCACCCATCCTAGGAATCTTGGATCTTAACAAAGAAAGGCCCCTGCGGGCAGCCCTGGAATGTCGATAGCCCTGTTCTTGTAACTTAAACGTCTAAAAGGAGATAGAGGGTGGCTAGTTGCGCTGATCTTTTAGTTTTTACTTTCTAGTTTCAATGTTTGCGTCTTTTAATATTTATTAAATCTAAGTTCCCTGTCTCCTCATCTGTCTATCCTACTTCATCCATCATTCATGGCTAATTGCTATCTAATACTTCTGGATCACTTTTTAGAATCTTCCTTTTAGCTGGGCATTGGTGGCCAGTAATCCTAGCTACTCAGGAGGCAGAGATCAGTAGGGTTTCAGTTCAAAGCCAGCTGGTTCAGTTCAAAGCCTGCTAGACCCTATCTTGAAAAACCATCACAAAATAGGGCTGGTGGAATGGCTCAGGCCACTCAAGCTTGAGGCCTTGAGTTCAAACACCAGAACCACACACACACACACAAAATCTTCCCTTTATCCTTGAATCAGTAGTGTGTGTTTGGGTGAATAATTGGAGGTGTTTTCAGTTCAGAAACTCATTTAATTTCTTTGATTTTTTTTTCTTCCTCCCCCCCCCATTTTTTTTGTGGTACTAAGGTTTGCACCTACTAACTAGGTAGGCAGGCACTTTACCACTTGGGTTCCTGGGAGTTTTCCTCAAGTTTGTGCTTATTTTTTAAATTTTGTTTTTTACAATACACAAGGGCTAGTGGTGTAGCTTAGTAGTAGAACACAGGTTTTGCTCTGGTTCAATCCCTAGCACATGAACAACAGTAAAAGTGCATAAGAAAAATTTACTCTTTTAACCATTTGTAAGTATATAGTTTAATAGTGTTAAAGTTCAATCATGTTACTTGCAGCTAGTCGCCACTTTTTCTTCTTAAAAAGTGAAACTAGGGCTGGTAGAGTGCCCAACAAGCAAAAGGCCCTGAGTTCAAAACCCAGTGCCATGAAAAAGGACAAAAAGTGAGGTTTGTAGTCTGTTTTCTGAATCCCTGGCTTCCACCTTCTTTCGCTGTTGGTTTTTGTGAATGTGACTACTCCAGCTACCTCATATAATTGGAGTGGTCGAGTATTTGTTTTGTAACTGGTTCATTTCATTTAGCATGCTGTCTTCAAGGTCCATCCACATTATATTATGTGTCAGAATTCCTTTCCCTTTGTTTTTTTCTTGTGGCACTGGGGTTTGAATTCAGGGCCTCGTGCTTGCAAGGCAGGTGCTCTACCATTTGAGCCACTCCACCAGCACCTTTTTTGTGATGAGTTTTTTCGAGATAGGGTCTCAAGATAGCCTGTGCTGGCTTAAAGCCTCAATCCTTCTGATCTCTGCCTCCTGAGTAGCTAGGATTACAGGCGTGAGCTATGGTGCCTGGTGCTCTCTCTCTCTCTCTCTTTTTAAAAATACAGTGTTTTGGGAGGATAGCTCAACTGTTAAGGTCCTGAGCTAAAACCCCAGTATTACCAAAAAATAAAAAATTAAAAAATAAGGTCTGTATATCCATGCTGACCTGGAATTCAAGATTCTCCTGCCTCAACTTCACTAGTGCTCTATTACAGATGTGTACCACTGCACCCAGTTGAAAGTAACTTTATTTTCAGTTATTAATTTTTTTAGGGGTTCTGGGGTTTGATCTTAGAGACTGGAACTTGCTAGTCAGTCCTCTACCTTTGAACTTGTTTTGATCTGGAATTCTGTGTTGGAAATATGCAAATGTCTGATGAGGCTTGGTTGGTGGTTTTGTTTAAGTCTAAGCAGGCATAAAACTAATTGAGGGTCCGAGGGTGTAGCTCAGAGGTATCCAAGTATGTGTGTAGTCATGTTCAAGATCCTAGGATCTTGAACCAGAAAAAAAGAAAAGTTGCTAACTGGAAGTTATGTGTGGAAGCACAGGACTTGTTTACTAGCTGCTCTGTTGAGTATTTAGAGAGCTGTGAGATGTTTGTGTTTGAAGATCTTTACTCACGGTGGTTCAGTCCTTCCAAGCATGATTTTACTGTCACTTTTAATGACAGGTAAGCCTTGTAACTGACATTGGCTGAAGAATTGGGTTAGAGGTTTTCATATACTTGTGTTTTTTGCAGACCTTTCCCGAGCCTCTACCCCTTTATTGAGGCTGGTGGTCCAGCTTGGCCTTTGGCTGTGTTGGAATCCCTAGGCCCTCAGTCGTGTTCATTTTCCTGAGGACATTGAGGCCGGACTGAGCCATGTGTGTGGTGGCCTGGGGAAGCTGTCCACCATTGCCTGTGCTGTATCTAGAGGATGTTTTCCTGCTACTTTCAATGAAGTATGCTTTTCACATCTATGTTCATTTATTGTGGATAGATGGAAATGCTGAAAGCAGTAAGCACAGCTTTTGCTTTTTGGAATTATTTTCATCACTCCCTTCAAGCAACACCAATTGTCCTGATGCTGGACCAACTTTCTCCTTTACTCCTTTTTGTCTTACAGTGAACACTTGAGATGTGCAGTGCCCTGTGCTAAGTATTTCATGTGTCATAGCTTATTTAGTCCTCTCTTGCCACAGTCTTTGCACCATGGTAAATGCTGACTTTGTCACAGAGTAAAGTAACTTGTTCATGGTGGTAGATCTGGGATTTGAACCCAGGTCCTTTTGCTCCAGAGTCTGGGCTCTATCCATTAGGCAAACTTGGAGAGTGTGAGTATATCTTGTAACTTTCTCTTTGCTGGAATCCACACTGTGTTGTATTTTTCAGGTCTTTCTGTGGAATTTGGAACAATTCTAGTTTACACATGTGAGAAGAGTTGCTGGCCTCAGAATCATCAGACTCCCATGGAAGAGTTTTGTATTATACAAGAAGACCCAGATGAGTTACTGTTTAAGTAGAGCATTTCCTTTTATTTATACAAATTAAAACAAAATTTAATACCAAGTATATGTGTGTTTATCTTATTTTAGCCCTTAAGTTATTTACTTTGTGTGTGTGTGGTTTTTTTGAGTCAGGGTCTTTATGTAGATCACTTCCAACTCGAGATCCTCCTGTATCTCTCTCTGTTTTTACTTTTTCATGGTACTGGGATTTGAACTTGGGGCTTCCCACTTTCTAGGCAGGTGCTCTACCACTTGAGCCACTCAGCCAGCCTTGTTTTGTATTGGATTTTTTTGAGATAGGGTCTTATGAACTATTTGCCGGGCTGGCTTTGCACCGTGATCTTCCTGATGTCTGCCTCCTGAATAGCTAGGATTACACGCGTGAACAACCACACCTGGCTGACCTGCCTGCCATCCTCCTTTCCTCCCCTCTCTCCCTCCCAACTCCTTCCCTCCTTCTCTTTCTCTCTTTCTTCTCTCTTCTCTCTCTCTCCATGCAGACCTGCACATAACCACTGTTACAGAAGAAAGACACACAGGTCCTTGGGTCTCTCAAAGAACTGGACAGGGACATGCAGATTGCAAGCAGTAGTAGAGTTTTGCTGAAAGAAAAAGGAGTGTAGGCACCGAAAAAAGAAGAGTGGTGGGCTCTGGCCAGGTGACTTGGAAGCCCCAAGCCTTGTTCAAAGGGCAGCTTATAGGTTGTAAGGGCAAGCTTGGGGAGAATTGGCCAGTCTGTGCAGGAGGGGCTAGGGTGATGGACACGTTTGATTGACAGGGTCTTGATACATAACAAGGGGCATGTTATATGCACTTATGCTGATTGCCAGGGTTTTAATTATATGTATGAGATGTAACCAATATTCATAAGGTTTTAAGTAGAGGGCTTTAGCAGAGGTCAAGTTGAGGACAGATTTCCCTTTACCAGGCATGTGCCACTTTCTGGTCTGAACAGAGAGAGACTACCAGGTCTTTTGGGGAACTTACATCTGCAAAGGTGGGAGGCCCCAAGTTCAAACCCCAATACTGCCCCCCCCAAAATGAATTTATAACCATGGAGATGTCTGAGGGTAGTATTGGGTTGCGACAAGGAGGAATGTCAACATAGGGTCGAGTCCCTTGGCAGGTTTCTTTCCCTGTTACTAGCCTGTCTCACCACCACGTTCAACTTTTTATTGGTAGAGAAGGGGTCTCTTGAGCTGTTTGGGCTGGCCTCAAGCCTCAGTCCTTCCAAGCTCTGCCTCCTGAATAGCTAGGATTATAGGCATGAGTCACCACCCCTGGCTTATGCCCTGCTTTTAAGTATCGTTTTTAAGTGTTGCTGTGTATGCTTTCTGCACTTGTGCTTGGGTACAGCCACTAGAAAATTTATAGCCAGCCTCAAGACAGAAATGTGGGGGAAGAAGATTAATTTCTCTGACCTGTTTTGGGGAAGATACATTGTAGTTCCTGGGCTCTGGCTTGGAGCCTAGGAAGGCCAAGTGCATGCTGTCCTGCCGTGTTGTCGGTGGTCTTTGAGTGTTCACATTCTTTGCCAGTATTTTTTGTTTGGATGACACCTTTTCTTGTTAATTTATAAGAGCTTTTTACACATAGGTGTTAGGAATGAAAGAGGCCCAGAATGGAGAAGAGGGGAGATGTCTCAAAAGCCAGGAAAGTGGTCCTGTGGAGGGGATTACCAGCAAGAGAGCTGGAGCCCACCTCCACTTACACACTGGGGTAGATGAAAGGGATGTGTGAAGTCCCTCTGGGCAGGATAATCCTGTGTGCCTTCTGACCCTCCCAAGATAATGGCTGTGTGGGGGTCACTTCTTTTAGGTCAGGTGGGGAGTCTAGTAAATGGCTGAAGTGGATGGCCGTTTTTCTTTAGGGCCGGGTGGAGAGTTTTCTAAGACCTTCAAGGGGAAGAGGTCCAGCGCTAACACGGTTCCTTTTCTTCACCCTAACAATAGGGACATAAATTATTACTCTTTAGGCGGTACTGGGGTTTGAACTCAGGGCTTCATATCTCTGGTTATTTTGGAGCTGGAGTCTCGAACTATTCGGCCGGCTGGCTTCTCCCGCAGACCCTCCCCATCTCCGCCTCCCAAGTAGGACTGAAGGCGCTCGGCGGAACGTCAGTGCTCTAACAAGTACGGAAGTTTTAGCTGGGACTTCAAACCCCAGGCAGAAAGGCGCCCTGGGCTCTGAGGCCGGACAGCGGGCGTGCCGCACGGGTGGAGGCCCGCGAGGCCATCGCGCGGAGCACCGCCGGGCAAGGAGCCCATGACCCTCTGCCGAGCGCAGGACGACTTCTGCCGAGCGCAGGACGACTTCCGCCGGGGCGCCGCAGTGCGCAGGAGCGGAAGTGGGGCTGCCCTTCCCCCACCGCTTCCGGCCGCCGCTCAGTTCTCCCGCCTCCGCCGCGGCTCGTGGACGTCCCGCCATGGCACTGTCGCGGGGGCTACCCCGGGAGCTGGCGGATGCCGTGTCCGGGGGCCGGGTGCTGGTGGTGGGCGCGGGCGGCATCGGCTGCGAGCTGTTAAAGAACCTCGTGCTCACCGGCTTCTCCCACATCGACCTGGTGAGGGCCGGGCGCGCGCGGGCCGAATGGCGGGCAGTGGTGCGGGGGCCGGGACTTCGGGACCGGAGTCGGGAGGGGGAGGGGCTGCGCGGCCCCGGAGGCCCGGCGTCTGGGCTGCCCGCGTCCACGAGGCTGCTCGGCGGGAGGCCGGGCACGCCGGGGGGGGGGGGAGGCCGTGGCCCGGGTCTTCCCGGCGCTCGGCCGCAGCATCCCCCCCACCCCCGAGGGCGCGGAAGCAGCCTGGGCTCCTTCAGCCTCCAGACTGTCCCCAGCTGTGATGGGGACAGGCGGTGACTGAGTCCCGAGTGGGTGTTGCGACCTTAATTCCAAGTTCCCTGGGCCTCAGAATCTCCAGCGCTTGCCCCTAGCGGGTCATTGACTTGACCACTACCCCGAGGGTGCACACGCTGTGTGCATCCCATTTTATTTTTAACAGATGAGCAAAGTGAGATGCCATGGGGGTTAGTAACTTACCCTGGGCCAGACACATTGCCAGTACAGATAGGGGGACACTCGCCTGTCTTACGAAAGATGTTGGGGTTTTGCCGGGCGTGATGGCACCCGCCTGGAATCCCAGCCCTTGGGAGGTGCAGGCTGGAGAGGATCTCGAGTTCGAGGCCGACTTCGCACGCTGTCTCTTGGGGAAAAAAAAAAAAAAAAAGTTAGGATTTTAGCTTTTGCATTGGTATGCGGTGACAGAATGCCAGTGTAATTTTAAGTCAAGAAATTGGAGCTACTGCCTGGAGTTGTGAGTTTAAAGAGTCTTCAGGTGCAGACGGGGATGAGAAAGGTAGAGGTGGCAGACTGTGAGCTCATAAATGCAAGTGGAGGGAAAGAATGTACACTTCTCCTTTGGTTACTCTTCACATCCCTTGCAGTGTCCCAAATCCAAATGTGCTCATAACGGCTGGTAACTGACTTAAAAGAACCATTTTGTCAGACAGTAGTGAATTTGGACACTTGAAAAAAACCAGTGATTGGAGGTGTTTGTGGTGGTGCATGCCTGTAATCCCTGGGGACCTGGGCTACAGTGTGAAACCACGTCTCAAAAAAAAAAAAAAAAACCCAAAATAATGGTTAAAAATAAATGGTTGTGCGTGTGGGACTGGGGTTTGAACTCAGAGCTTTGTGCTTGCAAAGCAGGCATTCTACCGCTTGAGTCGCACCTTCAGTCCATTTTGCTCTGGTTATTTTGGAGATGGGGGTCTCATGAGCTGTTTGTTCCGGCTGGCTTAGAATCATGATTTCCTGATTTTAGCCTCCAAATAGGTAGGATTACAGGTGTGAGTCACAGCACCCAGTTTAAACTTTTTGATGTGTTTTATTTGATTTACCTTTTTTTTTTTGATGGAACTGGGGTTTGAACTGAGGGCCTCGCACTTACAAAGCAGACACTCTACTGCTTGAGCCACATCTCCAATCTATTTTGCTGTGTTTATTTTGGAGATGGGGTCTCTTGAACTGTTTGGCAAGGCTGGCCTCCAGCTGGGACCCTCCCCATCTCAGCTTCCCAAGTAGCTAGAATTACAGGCATGAGCCACTGGCATCTGGTTTGGTTTAATTTTGTAGTGAACTCATTACAAATAGTTGTTTTGAAGGTTTTTATAAATTATGACCAAAAGTATTAGAATGTTTCACAATTAGGATATTTGATGACTTTATTAAAATGGGATGAAAATGACTTTAAACATTTTTTCTTAACATTTTTAAGTAGCAGTTAGGTAGGACTACCTACACAACACTTTATTAACCATTTTTTTTGCGGGGTGGGGGGAGTTACTGGGAATCAAACCCACAGCCTTGTGCATGCAAAGCAAACACTCAAACCACTGGGCTACATCCTCAGCCTGAAAATTTCCTTTAAACAGTCCTCAGGTAATTGTAAATAATTTGTATACATGTACTTGAAGACTTGAAGAAGGCAACAAAAATTTACTAAATCTCTTTGTCAGGTATCATTTAGAAGAGGCACCATCAGATTTATATTGTATATAGTAATTCGATTGACAGAGAAATTCTGTTTTTTTAACAGTCCCCTGAACTCACTGGGATCAGGTTCTGGCAGCTCAGGTTCCCTCCCAGTGGTTGTCACAAGTGCTCCTCTGGGTGGAGCAGGAGGGCGTTTCTGTTCCACCCAGGTTCCCTCCTCTTTGGCTTCCTTCTTTATCTGATCATTTTCCTTCACACATTTCATTTCAGGAGGTACCGGGACTTTTACAGTGCTTACCATACTCAATACATGCATGAATTCTATTAACTTGCTTGTCACAGCAAGCCCAGCAGCATGCTGGCTAGCATTGTACTCTCCAAGTTTCGCCATGGTAACATTTGTGGTACCCGGTCTCTTGAAGTATACAATAGTACTCTTGAGGCTTTTCTTTTTTCTTTTTTTAAATGGTGGTTCTGGGGTTTGAACTCAGGGCCTCAGGCTTGTTAGGCAGATACTCTTGCCAATCGAGCCACTCCGCCAACCCAGTATCACCCTTCTTGTAGATGTGATGTATGTGGCCAAAGGAGTACACCATGTTTTCTAAAGGTTCTCATTTTTACAAATTACTGGAAGATGGTGGTTCTGGCCCAAAAGAACTGTTTTGAAATAGTCTCCTAACTGGCCCAGGCTGGTCTGGGACTCCAGATAATCCTGTCTTTATCTCCTGAGTGCTAGGATTTATAGGCGTGCACTGCCATGCTCAGCAAGCTTTGTGTTTTCAATAAATTCACGTTTTTATACTGTCCAAGTAGTTTCTTGAAATGTTTGCAAGAATGATTAAACAAAAAATATCTTTTTGAAGTATTTTTGAGGGGATTACTTTTGATGTTAAAATTCTTGGTTCTTTCCATTTGCGTTAAATTATTTTTATGAATTTAACAATCTTGGTATGTTTGACTGGAAAAGAAGTTTCTCCACTAATCAAAAAATTATAGGTTATGGATTCTGAGTATAGTGGTGTTGCTCAAACACACCAGGACATTTGTGATTCATCTGTGGTTTATGCATTTCTAGATCGATCTGGATACTATTGATGTCAGTAACCTCAACAGACAGTTTCTATTTCAAAAGAGACATGTTGGAAGATCAAAGGCACAGGTAACTTTCTTACTCTGTTTCTGTAACCCTTTTGATGGGTCTTTTATTTATTTATGATCCCTGATTAATTCTGCCTCTTCTGTAGGTGGGAGAAAACTGAGTGAAGCTAGCTCCTTAACTGAGGGATTGTGAAGAGTAAAAAGATAGGTCAAGTAAGGGTGTGCAAAGAGAATAGAATTGCTCTACCTAATCCTGTAATTGGGGTGACTGTTCTGTCCCTGTCATATTTAAATTTCTGATTGGTTACTTGGCAATGTGCCTTCTGTTCTATATTCCTGTAGAAGATGGCTTCTTGGTGGCCAGAGAAGCCACAACTCTGAGTGTTCTTCATGATTCGGGGCTTAGAACGTCTTTTCCCTTTGCTTTCTGCTGACCCTTTTGACTGACTTCGACTGGTCTTTTCCCTTTCATTTTTTGTATTTTGACTCCTCTCCAGAGGTGTTTTGCTAAACCTTATAGACTGAGGACTTCTTCTGTCAACCATCTCTTCTCTTTTGTGTCATAGTTAATACTTAACACTTAACCTGGATAATTAGTTAATGCCTCTTTTCTCAGACTCTTGTTAAGTGAATGAATAACACTGGTTATTACAATTTATTTATTTATTTATTTTTTGTGGTACTGGGGTTTGAACTCAGGGCTTCACACTTGCTAGGCAGGCACTCTACCACTTGAGGCACCACTCCAGCCCTATTTTGTTCATTTTTTATGTTTTTTGTGGTGCTCAGGTTCGACCTTGGGCAAGTGCTCTACTACTGAGTTACTGCCCCAGCTCTGCATTTTATATGTTTGCTGAAGCTTGTCTTTCATATAGAAGTGTTTATGCTAGGGTGTAGGGGAGAGCTCTCATTTCATAAATACATGTGTAGCTTAATCGTAATGAAAGTTTAATCATTTTTTTATTTCTTTAATGTTTAAGGTAATTAAGGTTACTGTGTAAGTAGGTGATAGTATTTGTGTCTATCAGAAGTAGATTTCAAATGTAAACAAAAATGTTGTAGTAATTCACTGTTGTTTGTTTTTCCAGGTTGCCAAAGAAAGTGTACTGCAGTTTTACCCGAAAGCTAATATTGTAGCTTACCATGACAGCATCATGAAGTATGCTCTAATTATTATATTACAAATGAATTATATTGCTCTGATTTTTTTAATAAAACGTTTAAGTATAAAGTATTTTATTAGCCAAATATGTGAGCCCAAAATCATTCTGCATTTTTCAGATGGCTTTTCTAGAATAATTGAAATGTGATTCTTGGTGTCCAAGTAAGTTAAGTAACACTGTTCACAGATATTGAATGAAAGTGATGACATGTTTTAATATTTTTTTTTCCCCTTTGGTACTGGGGCTTGAACACTCAGGCTACACCTTGAGCCACTGCACCAACCCTTTTTTGTGTTGGGTTTTTTCAAGATAGGGTCTCTGGAACTATTTGCCTGGGCTGGCTCCAAATTGTGATCCTCCTGATCTTTGCTCCTGAGGAGCTAGGCATAGAATTATCGTCATGAGCACTGGTGCCTGGATGTTTTAATTTTTTAATAAATAAGTTAGTTGAAAACTTACAAAGGACCTTACATTCTTTTAAGTTTTTTTTTGTGCAGCACTGGAGTTTGAACTCAGGGCCTTATGCTTGCTAGGCAGCAGGTTCTCTTACTGCTTGAGCCACTCTGCCAGCCCTTTTTTGTGATGGGTTTTTTTTTTAGATAGGGTCTTGAGGAACTACGTGCCTGGGTTGGCTTCAAGCTGCTGTCCTCCTGATCTCTACCTCCTGAGTAGTTGGATTATAGGCGTGAGCCACCGGTGCCTGGCTAAATAAGATATTTTAAGCTATGAAGTTTTCTTTGTGACAATTCAGACTTTTTGAAACACAATTTCATTGTAATTGATTTCAGCTTTTTTAGTTTAAAAGGTTTCCTTCCAAAACAATCTGTTAAGACTCTGACTTCTGTATATAATGCCGAGAATTGTAGTGGGTGGCAGTACTTTTGATAATATATACATTTACCTTAGCAAAAAAAAAAAAATTTAATTTTGGAGGTGTTGGAGCAAAGGAACTCTGGCGTAAATTATCGTTTTTTTGTGTTCGGTATTGCACCAAGGGCTTTGGGCATGCTAGGCACTCTGCCACTGAGCTGCACACCCAGCCCTAAATTATCCCGTATCTACAGTTGTCTAGTTCACAAGTAAATGGTATCAAAATAGTACTCACGTGAGGGACTAGAATTAAAGTCTTACACTTTCTCAGAGCATTTGTATCTCCAGCTGATTTTTTATTCTCTGAATGTTTCCTCTGTAGACATGCCTGTGGTACTGTAACCATCTTACTCTGTGCTGCTTTCCCAGTGGTGCTAAAAGTAGAGACCCTAGGGGCCTGAACCCTGCCTGACCCTGGCCGTGCGAGGTGAAGCCGCTGGCCAAGCAGACCCTGGGAATGCGTTCTTTATGTGTTCTCAGGCGCTTGCTGCCCCAAGAAGGCCTGGTGGGACTAGTGAGGTCATGCCATCTTTCTCTGGAGTTACTTTAAATATATCTGGTGCTATAAAAGAGGTCCTGGTTTTGTGCCCTAGGTAGCTGGCCCAAAAGGATAGGAATCTGAGGAAAATAATTAGCTTGTGTGTGTAGAAAGTCAACTATGTGTATGGTATATACTCCTAGCATCAGTTATTTTTGCATTGTTAGTACTTTGTTAAACTTTCCAGGACTATTATATTGTGAAGATACATGTGTAAGTACAGTTTTGGTGACGTTTTTGTTTTGCTTTGTAGCCCCGACTATAATGTGGAATTTTTTCGACAGTTTATATTGGTTATGAATGCATTAGATAACAGAGGTAAGGTTCATTTAATACTTTTAGCTTCTCAGTATTTCCTCTGCATCGTATCAAAGCTGTATAGAAACAGTACTAAAATATTTCCTAATGAATTAGAACTTGAAAGCCCTAAAAGGAAGTAAGACCAAGTTTGAAGCTTGCCAGTTGCTTGCAATTTTCTCTAGAACCGATCTTTTCTGGGCTGGACATTAGCCACCATATACTGTGGTAATTCTGCCAGAAAGTGTAGATAAAAGAGAATTAATTTGAAAGCGCTAAAGAGCGTGACTACATAGGCTGTGTGTGGGTTGTGTTTCTTTCAGATTGTTGGAGCATGTAAATGCAGCGTGACTTTATTTATGTGGAAATCTAGGAAATGGGAATGCCCAGGTCTCACCCAAGACCAGTTAAAACAATGAATGGACTGGAATATCTTTTTCTTTTTTTACGGGTGGTACTGGGGTTTGAACTTGGAGGTTCATGCTAGGCAGGTGCTCTACTCCACCAGCCCTGTTTTGTGTTGGATATTTTTGAGCCCAGGGCTGGTTTCTGCCTCCTGAGTTGCTAGGATTACAGGCATGAGCCACCTGCACCTGGCTGAAATACCTTTTTTTTTTGAGCTCCTCAGATGATTCTAAAATTCAGTCAGGAAAAAAAAACCCAGCATCTTGGGAATAAAGTGACAAGATACTAGAGTTAAAACCCATGGCTCTGAAATTATTTTAGATGTGTCAGATTCCACGACATGCTAGCCTCGACTCTATTAGGCATATGCATTTTATTTTTCCATATAAGCTCTCACAATATTAGGATGGTGTTTCCTACAATCAGGTATTAGCATTAACAAAGCTGTGCTTCTGGAGTAAAAATATTTAATACTTCTTGCTTGTTTTTAGTTCCACATGTAAAAGTTCTTCTTTCAAGTCAGTTTGTAATAATGTGGGGCCAGAAATACCAAAACCACAATGTTGAAGGTCTGGATGACTCCTGAATGGACTTGTCTTTTTCTCCTAGCATTGAACTGCTTTGATAGGTCTCAGTTGCCATTGTATGTGTCTCGTTCACTCCATGCATTCCTTGATAATTACGTTAGAATGGGAGCAAGCTAAGGTGCAGCGGTAGAAGAGAAAAGCAGCAGTTCTTCTTCTCCCCCCAGTGCTGGGGGCTGAATCCAAGGCATCATGCACTAGGCAAGCTATAGCCTTGGCCCCAGCACTTTGGAGTTTGGTGATTTATAAAATTAATGTGTCTGGGAGTGCTTTTCCTGGAGTGAATTTTTGTTATAAACTTTCTGCATTTGAAATTTTTTGCTAAGGAAATGTCTGTAATTAATATTGATGGGCTGGGAATGCAGCTCAGTGGTAGAATACTCGCCTAGCATGCATAAGGCCCTGCCGCACTGCAAAAGCAAAAGAAAAAATCAGTTGCGTTACTCTGGCAATAGCCCTAAGAAAATTGTACATAAAATAAAAACAGATAGTTTGGCTAGTTGTCATCCTCATCAAAGATAACTAGTTTGTATTTTCAAAACTTTAGGAGCAAGGCATGGAGCTCACTGATAGAGCCCTTGCCTCACATACTCAAGGCCCTGGGTTTGATCCCTGGTACTGCAAAAGCAGAACAAAATAACACTGGCTAACCAGTATTTTTCTTCCAGCCGCCCGAAATCATGTTAATAGGATGTGTCTGGCAGCTGATGTCCCTCTTATTGAAAGTGGGACTGCTGGTTATCTTGGGCAAGTAACTACTATCAAAAAGGTAAGAAAAGGTTTTGTTTGTTGTTGTTTTTTCCAAATATTTATATGAGATTTGAGACCTTAGGGGGAGGAAGAATAAATTTTGAATTTATATAGTATAAGCAGGTCAGCATTATAAAACTGAAGATTGAAAAAGATAAAAACCCTGAAGATGATGTTTGAGGCCTTAGGTTTAATTCCTAGCACCCCTCCCCCCCCACTACGAGGGAATAAACCCCAAAACTAAGGATGCTATAAAGGCATCCCAGAACTACAGGCGGGGAAATCTTTTGGCTTTGTGCCACTTTGTTTAGTTTATGTGTTAAAATCTTTAGACCGGAAGCATCATACACTTACCAAAAAAGATCCTTAGGCTACCTCTCTTGCTATAGATGATGGATGGTGAAGCAGGTTTCTAAAAGAGTTACTTCGTGGACTGAAAGCGTGGCTCAGCTTATTATTAATCCCCAGACCAAATAAATATGTTACTTTTTCTCAAAAGGAATCTGTATAGATAAGAAAAGAACTGTGTATTTGTGAAATATTTCATGTATTTAAATATGACTAAAGAATAATAGAGCAAATATCTGTGTGCTCATAACCCAGCTTTATAAAATCCCAATGTCAATTCATTTGCTGTTCAGATTTTTTTTTGTGGTATTGAAGTTTGAACTCAGGGCCTCATGCTTGCTCAGCAGGCGCTTTACCGGTTGAGCCACGCCTCCAGTCCTCTCTTTTAGTTCTTTTAAGAAATTAAACATTCTAAATACATTTGAAGAATCCTTTTTGCAGATTTTGAAACTATGAAAAGAAAATTACACTGTACTTTAAACTTTGCTAATTTTGTCTGACTTTTTTTTGACAACATGTTCATGTTAAAATAATGGCTCCACCTAGGTATGGTGGTGCATGCCTGTAATCTCAGCATTCAGGGCCAGCCTGGGCACATAAAGTCGCAAGATCCTGCCTGTTGTAAAACAAACAGTAAGTAAGCAAGCAGGCAAAGTTTGGGAATGCCTCGGTTTTCCCATGTATCCAAATTGCTCTTGGTTAGTAGTTTGCTTAATTTTCGTGAGATTTTAGGGAAATTTCCACCTTTAAGAAATACTAAAAAAAGTTGGTTAGAAAGCTGTTTGTCTGCTGGTAGTTTTTCTGATGGTTTAGTACAATCAAGGAAGACTCATTTGACATGGAGGTGCAACCGCTCGAGGAGCCATGCCTTCAAGTCTTGCTTTTTTTTTAAGTTTATTTTTCATCAGGGTCTCCTATAAACTTTGCTAAGGCTGGTTTCAAACCTCAGTCCTCCTTTGTCTGCCTCTCTAGTGGCTGGGATTATAGGCATGCACCACCATGGCTGGTGAAGTGTAGTAAGTTTTATTTGGCATGGTGTAAGTAATGCTCACTTGGCTTGGAGTCAGAGGAGGCCTGGCTCAGTCTTAATTCTGACTCTGGTTGATTTAAATACCTTTTATATTAAGAGATTCTTTATCTGTAAAATAAAGCTTTTTGGAGTCACTAATAGTTTGCAATTCCTTTGGCCACATAAAACTAGGTCGGTCGGGATGTAGATGAAAGAGTGAAGCGTTTATGGTTGTATTACATTTTAATATTGAAAAACCACCATCATGGAATATTTTTTCATGTTCTGACTTTGTAGGGCGTGACCGAGTGTTATGAATGTCATCCTAAGCCCACCCAGAGAACTTTTCCTGGCTGTACAATTCGTAACACACCTTCAGAACCTATTCACTGCATCGTTTGGGCAAAATACTTGTTCAAGTAAGAGAGTGTATATTTCTGAACATTATGATGGGGATAACGTCATTTTTAGTTAAATGTCTTAGGCTGTGCTTATGTTCAAATACGGTGAAGTGGTGCTCTAGGAGCTTTTTTGTTACATTTCTTTAGCATTCTTTTCATGCCATAGATGAGATTTAGGAAGCTTAGTCTGGTGGTGGAGACAGAAAGCTAACTAAGTAAATGCCGTTGGTTAGAAATACTCACCCATTAGTTAGAAAAGAAATTACAATGCAAGTTAAAAATACTTTGGGAGGCTGGGGATGTAGAGTGCTTGCCTAATATGCTCACACCCTGGGTTCAGTCCCAGAACAATTTTGTAGCAGCCCTGACTAGAAAGTGCAGGGTGTTTGAGTGTATTGGAAGAAAAGTTAGAAGTTTACATACACGAAGAGAGGTTGAATATTAATGACCGAATGATCCAGCTAACTGATCAGTTTAGCTGAGTGAATGAAACCAGAGAATACACTAAAACAATTAAGTGGAAAAGGAAGGATATAGTTGGCGATAAGAGCGAAAAAACCCTAGGGCATTCCATTACCAGATAAGGGAGATGTGATAAAAGCTAAAGGGAGGACATGAGTTTAACACAGCTTCCGTAGCTATTGTGATAAAAAGGATGAAAATGAGAGGACATGCCAATACATCGAAAGTTTAATAATATAGATAATTCACTTCAAAATTTTTACAAAGCTGAAAGAAATAGAAATCTAAATACAGTATATCTTAGATTTAATAATTTAAGCTATTCCGAGTAATATAGCAAATTTATAGCAAATTGTTTTGCTTCTGAATCCCACCATACTTAAAAAAGAATGTATTATCCTGCTCTTAGGTAAATTATCCCAGAGTCTTGATGTCAAAGAGAAAGAAAATTGCCAGTCTGTGTTGTTTGTTCATTGGTGCAATGGTTTGTACTCAGGGTCTTGAGCTTGCCAGGCCGGTGCTCTACCACCTGAACTACAACTCCAGACCTTAAGTCATATGTTTAAGGAAAGTTTGGGAAGTTTTATATCTGTGAGAATTGTTAAACAGCTTGTAGGATAAGGAGATTAACAAAGGGAAATGTCAGTTTGATAGGTTCTATGTTATTTCCTAAGACTTGCAGGAGTAAAGATACATAGTATCCTAAAAAGAAAGTACCTTATTACTGCTGACTTTCTCTAGAACAAGACCCTGCCATGTAGTGTTTTTTGAGCAGTGGTTGCAGATGTACTTCACAAACTATTGTGAAACTCAAATCTTACCTCAAGAAGGAATATAAAAGCTACTTGCTTTTTTTCTTTTTTCCCTTTAACAAGAGCTGACTGTGTCTAATGCTTGTTTTTTAATTTTGGCGGGACTCGGGTTTGAACTCACTGCTTCACGCTTGCAGAGTAGGTGCTCTCTTGTGTGAACTGCGCTTCCGGTCCATCCTGGATGGTTAGTTTGGAGATGGGGATCTTTAAAGCTATTTGCCAGGGCTGGTCTCAAACCGAGATCCACTGGATCTTACTCTCACAAGTAGCTAGGATTACAGGTGTGAGCTACCAGAGCTTGCCTGTTTTCTTAATCACAGATTTTAGCATTGGAACATGCAGAGCCTGGCTGATAAGAATAGACACAGGTCTGATAAAATTTAGCCTTGTTTGTGTTGTGGATTGTGTTATCATGCCAGCTATCTAATCAGATTGCTTTAGGTATAATTTATTAGTTGTTTGCCCTTTATCCCCACTAACTGATATTCTAAATTAGATGTTTGTGAAGAAAGTAGGAAAAACGACTCACTTGTTCAGAATGCCTTGTACATAAATATTTAACGTTCTTAAATTATAGCCAGTTGTTTGGGGAAGAGGATGCTGATCAGGAAGTGTCTCCAGACAGAGCTGACCCTGAAGCTGCCTGTAAGTAAACCATTTGGCATGTGTTTTCTTATTAGTAGTACTACCTTTATTTTTCTCATGTAATTAGTAAGTTATTTTAAGAGAAAAATAACAGTTGCTGTTATGTTCTAGATAATATTAACATATTGCATGCTTAACATTTGCCATTTCATTTTTAAAACTATGTATACCAGAAGGAGAGTTCATTTCATTAGAAAGGAAATAAAGGTGAAAAATTTTACAAATCTGATAATTAGAGCTGATGGCAGGACTGTGCTTTGAACTGTCCTCCATTTGGCCTTCCGAAACTGAACAGAAAAAGATGCTGATGAGTTTGTTACTTTCTTTGAACTCATAAGGCATAGAACACTGGTGACTTCATGAGTGATTTTTCTCCCAGAAGTGAGAACTCAATTGGACATTGAAAATAAATGATGTTTGTTTTGTAGGGGAACCAACAGAAGCTGAAGCCAGAGCCCGAGCATCGAACGAGGATGGTGATATCAAACGTATTTCTACTAAGGAATGGGCTAAGTCAACTGGATATGACCCAGTTAAACTTTTCACCAAGGTTAGGTTCCCTCCACCACCGCCTCCCGGATCAAACTGAATGCAACCACTCTAACCACCAAATTACATCTTCAGCTAGGTTTATATTCTGTAGTAAATGTGTGTAGATTTGTTATTCTAATTGTCTGAAAGTAGGGCAGGAAATTGAATTAGTATCTTTGTTGTCCTATAAAATGATTGATGTGGTCAGGTTAAGCAGGTTTGGAAATTTTAGCACCTGTGCTCAATATAAATACAGCATCTCTGTAGGCGATACAGGGGCCTGGTTTTCTCTCTAGCCAATCTTGGCTCCTGTTGCTTCTCACCTTCAGTTTTGTCTCTTTCCTGCTTCATTCTTCTTTTGACAGCGTGACGTTTTCTAAATTGTGCTTCAGTCCTCAGCTTCCTGTTCTTGGTGGAATCTTCTTCACCAGTGTGTTCTTTTCTGCTGAGATTTCTACAGACATGTACAGACTGTTTTAATTGAATCTATCTAATCATTGCTTAGAGGGCCCTGTGTTTTAAAAAGTTTTTTATTCTGTCTTGACCCCCTGGCAAGTCTTATCACAGTAAATACTTGGCACTCTCTCAGCTCTTCTTTAAGTGACACACAGGTGGCCTAATACAGTTCTGCTGCTACCCTTGCTTAGCACATGACCTAAAGCAAGAGTGTATTAATAGGTTTGACATCATTGGCATTTTTACCTGTTGACAGAGTATACTTTACTGCAAGCTCTTGTCTCTTTGCTTATGTTGGAGAGAGGTCTGTTTTGGTAAATGCAAACTCCTTCGCTTACCTTCTTTCTTTCCCTTTTTTTTTTTTTCTTCAAAGAGGGTTTTCCCCCAGCTCTGTATTTTCAGTCTTTCCTCCTAGGCCCCTTTGGTCTGCTCTCCAGCATGCACAAATCCTGCTGTTAAACAGAAGCCCTGTGGCTGTCCTCAGCTGTACTTCACCTCCTTTCCGCCGTGGTTACCATGTTACATGGTAGTGTCTGTGTGTCTCTGTGTCTGTGTGTGCTGCTGCCTCCCTTCCTTCCCTCTCTCTCCTCTTCTCCTTCACAGAACCCAAGACCTCTTGCATGCTAGGCAAGCACTCTATGACTAAACTAAACTCCAGCCTCAAGATGAGTCTCTGAAGCCTTTATTTTATATATGTATATTTTTTGAAGGGTGGGGGGAGGCAGTGCTGGGGTTTGAATGCAGGACTTCATGCCTGCTAGATAGGTACTTTACCACTATTTGCTTGGGCTGGCTTTGAACTTCTATCCTGATGTTTGCTTACTGAATAACTAGGATTATAGGCGTGGGCCATGGTGCTCAGCTGCCTCTTTAAGCATTTATTTCCTCACAAAGCCCTTTTCTTGGAAAATCATTTTGTTTCAGTTATACTTTTAAGTGCACTAAACTCTGATGTGGACAGCAGCAATAGTTTTCAAACTGGTTTCTAAGCCAGGCATAGTGGCTCATATCTGTAATCGTAGCTCCGTAGGAGGCAGAGATCGAGAGGATTGTGGTTTGAGATCAGCTGAGCAAAGTTAGTGACACTTCATCTCAACAAATAAGCCAGGCATGGTGCACAACTATAATCCCAGCCATGTGGGAGGCAAAAATTTCTGAGACCCTATGTGAAAAATAACTACAGCAAAAACAGGGACTCATTGAAAGGGAGACTTGGAGGATCACTCTGAGTCTGGATGCACTGTACCAATGTAGGACCAGAAAGTCATGTAGTGTGCACTGGAGTTGTGCAGTGTCAGTGTAATCCACAGGAAAAATCAGCTGCATTCCCATGGGACACGGAGAAAGTAGACTCAGCCACACTGTGCACATGCGATGAGGAGCAGCAGGACTCGATCCTGTGTCTGTGGAGCAGAGGTGCTGCCCCCGAGACAGCTGGCGTGTGAAGTGAATGTGTGGGGTGGGGAGTGCAGGAGGAGGTGCACTTGTTAGCATTGTTTCAGACTTGTTAGCATTGTTCTGCAGCATTAGAGCAATGCCAGGTGACTGTAGGTAGAGAGGCCTGGACCAGGGTTACACTTGATTGAATAATGAGTATGGACAGGATATGTCAGGATAGAGTGAGAAGAGGAGTCAGGGCTGGGCATGCCAGCTCACACCTGTAATCCCAACTACTTGAGAGGCAGAGATAGGTTCGAAGTTTGAGGCCATACCACGAAAAAAGTTAGCAAGGCTGGGTGTTAGTGGCTCATGCCTGTAATCCTAACCACTTGGGAGGCTGAGATTGGGAGGATGAAAGTTCGAGGGCAACCTAGGCAAATAGTTCATGAGAGCCCACCTTCATAATAACCAGATCAAAATGTACTGGAGGTGTGGCTCAAAGCTCTGTGTTCACAAAAATCACATCTGTGACTTGAGTGCACGGAGGCCTGGGCAGGATTGTATTCAGAGACCAGCCCAGAGCAAACAGCATGAGACCGCATGTGAGAATCAAAGGAAAAATGGCTGCGAGTATGGCTCAAGTGGTAAGCGAGAGACCCCGAGTTCAAACCCAGTACCCATCGGGAAGAGAAGATGTGTCAGTACAGAACTCTGAGTTTGGTAATAGTTGGGCAGAGGAGAAAGAAAGTTTATGCTTAGAAGACTCCCAGTGTGTCCATATCCGGAAGGCTTTTCTCAGCCAAATCATGATGGACTCTTCACCTCCTTGCCCTCATACCCATTTCAGACGTTACCTTCTCTTTCCTTATTCCCTGGACAGATGGTGCAGAAGTCTACATAGCTCACACTTTGATTTTCACACAAAAATTAAATTGTATTATAATTGTTTGTGTATTGTCTTGTTTCCCAACGATTAAGGATTGAGAGCATTTTGGTAGAAACAGCCATGATTTTTAAATTTTGTTAAATGTATATTCTGGTACCTGCAGGAAGTGTGTTGAATAAATGAAAAATAGAAAATAGAAATAAGGAAGAGAAATGTTAAAGTTCCCTGAAATCCTACCACACGGTTTCAAATGACAGTTTCTTTGTCTACCTCAGATAGTATTTTTGCAATAACGGTTATTTTGGCTTAGAATTTTTGTTCTATGCTTGCTAGTTTTTTTGGAGAGGGTGGGCACATTTCAGGCTGTTCAGATAAATTCTGAGCCTTGAGAGGGAGAGCACTTTTAGAACATGCGTCCTGATTGGCATTTGGCACAGCCTGCAGACTTGATAGCAGGTTAGTGTGTAATTGTGCTTCACACAGCTCTGTGGAGTTTGGGGGACTTTTTGGGGGAGGTGACATAGGTCACCCAGCAGAAATCCAACTTCCCCTATTCTGCTTTAACTGGTTCATGTGTTTTCTGTGTGAAGTGTCCTTCTACAAAAATGTTTGAACTTTTGGCTTTTGAAATTTGTTCCTTTGCTGGCATGTGACAGGAGTCTTTACATCAGATTCTGTAGTTTGATATTTATAATCAGTCAGTGAAATTTTGATGTATTACCATTTCCACTTGAGCTCGGAGGGTTAATGCAACTTACCTTTTTCTTTTCCCCCTCATTTTTTGTTCATTTTGTTTTGTTTTAAGCTTTTTAAAGATGATATCAGGTATTTGTTGTCAATGGACAAACTATGGCGGAAAAGGAAACCTCCAGTTCCATTGGACTGGGCCGAAGTACAAAGTCAAGGTAAAGAACACTCTTTAGTTGGAAATTCCTTCACCTGAAGTGTTTTTATAGCCTGTTGTTTCTTGACAATGGCATATGTTCACACATGCAGATAACTGAGAAAAAGTATGAAGGAGGGCAATCACTTAACATGAGTCACTTAGAGAAATAGCCACCACCAGCATTTTAGGGAGTATTCTGGACTTCTGATTTTGTGCACACAGACACAGGCAGGCTTGTATAACATTCACCTAAGTGGAATTGTTTATGTACTAACTGGCTTTTTTCAGTCAGTATTATTTAGCTAGTTACTTAACATGTAATTACTTTATTATTCTCTGAAATAAAGTGTTGTGATGAGTTCATCCATCTTTATATCCTTGTAAGGATCTCAACTTAATTTGAAAACGCATTTTTAAATTTTAAATGAAGGGGATGAAGACTTGCAGTGATGACTTCCTTATCCCATGACTCCTTGATGCACCATCCCCCGTTTATATGACTGCATGACAGTTGTACGCAGTGCACAGCACTATGTGAAGCGTTACTTGGGACAGTTCTTGGCAGTGTGGTATACTCACCAGGCAGTGTGACTCCAGAGGCTCCTCTTACTCAGTGTGGCTGTGCTGCCATGACGCTTGTCCTGTCATCCTAACCCTGTGAGGCCCTGATATGGCCTTACACCTTTCCCATCTCAACTTTGACAGTTTCTTACACATACTGTTGTATTTATAATTATTTCAATGGCATTCATTTACCTTTTTTCCCTTGATGGTCAAGGGTTGAATTTATTAGAGATAGGATGTTTATTATTGAAATCTTATTTTTTTTTTCTTTAAGGAGAAGAAACTAATCTATCAGACCAACAAAGTGAACCCCAGTTAGGTCTGAAAGACCAGCAGGTTCTAGATGTGAAGAGCTATGCGAGTCTTTTTTCAAAGAGCATCGAGACTCTGAGAGTTCATTTAGCAGAAAAAGGAGATGGAGCGGAGCTCGTATGGGATAAGGTTTGTTTTGAAAATGTCTATCAGTTACGTAATAATAAATGCACACTTTAATTCTTGAGCTGTAATAGAAGTGAGCAGTATTTGGATATTCTACCGGATTTTGAGGAAATTTGTTTAATTTGGTTTGCATGTTTTCACCTCTTTACTACATTTGAAATACAAATTTCTTACACATGATTTTAAGCAATATCATAAAACTTCATCTTGGACTCTAGTAATATATTCATGGTTTATAATTATCTTGACTGGAAAATTGTTGAGGATTTTAGATTGAAATGTTTCACTGACTTAGGAAAATAGATTTAAAGCTGTGTAACAGATGTGTTAATAGAAGTCAAAATTAAAATGCTTTTGGAGGCAGTGGCTCCTTTGGCCTGATTTGACTCTAAAGTCATAGAATTGCCATTCTCCCCTCAGAGCCTCGTGCATGCTAGGTACGCATTGTACCATTGAGCTGCGTCCCCAGCCTTCAGAGCTGTAGCTTAACTATTTAGGGCTCTGAGAGAAAGACCTCGCAGTGCAAAGATGAGGTATAATTAATTATTGAGGTGAAAGTGATATTTAATCGTATTTCAGTTAGATGAATTAGGAGTAAATGGTATGTTTAAATCTTTTAAAATACAATTTTATCGTTTTTACATTTACTTACATGTATATACTTTATTTGAGCCACCTCCCCCCACCCCGTTTAAATCTTAACTGTTGTTTTAATTGCAGATAAAAATTAATTTATCTGATAAAATACGTATGCTCTTTGGGTAACGATTTGCCGCAGGGTGCTGAGGATGTAGCTAATTGGTAGAGCACTTGCCTAGCATGTTTGAGGCACTGAGTTCCATCCCCAGCACTCAGGGAGGAGGGAGATCTGCCATGGGTTTTAAGGTAAGGGAAAGTTTGGCCAGTTTTAGAAACCTAAGATAACCTTGTGCATACAAATTATGGAAGTTTGGGTGAATCAGACATTTCAAATGAAGTTAGTAAACTTACATTTTTGAGATTTAACACCCCCCCATCTTTGTGCCCCGCCTATTCTATTTTTGAGATTTTTTAATAAACATTAGTCTCTTGGGTTTATGTGATATAAATGGTAACTTTTAAAATATTTTCATTGTTGTTATTATTCTAGTGATGTGGAAAGTTTTTAACAGTTCTTTATTAACAAATAAATAACCTTGGAACTGGAATTGTTATCCTCTTGAGTAGTCTCACCTGATGGTATTACAAGCCAGTTGAAACAGGAAGCTCTTGATGGCACATACTCAGTCTTTCTCACAGTGTTGAGAGCTGCTCAGGCAGGTGGACTTGCCAGTTAGTGAGGATATGGAGAACTCACATCCTGTCCTGCTTTTTTTTCCTTTATTCTTTAAGAGTAAAAAGCATCTTTTCCATCTAGTCAGTCACATCCCGCTCAAGAATTTACCAACTGGATGCTGGTGCCTCATGCCTGTAGTCCTAGGTACTTGGGAGGCTGAGATCAGGAGGATTGAGGTTTGAAGCCAGCTCTGGATAAATATTTCGAGAGACCCTAAGTTGACAATATGCAACACAAAAAGGGCTGGCAGAATGGCTCAAGTGGTAGAGCACGAGGCCTACCAAGCATGAGGCCTGGAATTCAAACCCTAGTACCATTTAAAAAAAAAAAAGAAGAATTTACCGACAGAAGCAGAACCAGTCTTGCATTGACTAATGTCTCGGATTTAGAGTTGAGCTAGACACATGATTCTGAGCTAATGTGAAGCTCTCTGATCCTTTGCTTCATTCAGGAACATGAGCTGTACGAAACACGGCATTCACCTTTGGTGGTGGTCTTTCTCATTTGCTAAAAATGACCAAAGGTTGAGTAAAATAGTTATATTTGTTGGTAAGTCCTTACACTGAAGAATTCTGTATGCTGCAGTTGAAAATTGAGGGAGCACATCTGGTGAATTTTCGCTGGTGGGGCCCTTCAGAGTCCCAGGGCATCACAGGACATGACATAGCATGGCGGGTGCATACATTGCTTTTTCTTATGTCTTGCGGTACGTCTTCTCAGTGCAGAGCAGGAAGTCTCGCTGAAATCTAATTAGGCAAAATGTAAAGGGAAAACTTTGTCTTGCTGTATCTGAAGAAACAGCACAGCTGGGAGACTGCTATATGTGAAGGGAGTCTGGAGGAGAGCTGAAAAGAATATTCTAGGTCTTTCTGAAGCTTTCTTTAGTGAGACAAAACACTTGTCAAGCAGCCTCAGTCATTCCCTACCTGGACTCTGTGCTTGTCTAGCAACCTGCTCATTACTAATGGACCCCAGAAAAGGGTTGCCATTGCCAGTGAATGGATTTGGTGTTCTGATGTATACCCGTAAACTCCAGTGCATTTTTTTTTTTTTTCTGGCCAAGAGATTCTTTATTGCCGGGTGGGAGAGGGAGAGAGCAGAGAGCCAAGAGAGAGAGGGAGAGAGGGCAGGGGCTTAAATACCCCTCAGTGGGACTCAGCATGATCTGGTTGGTTAGGATCTTATGGTTCATGCTGATTGGAGGTTGGGGCAGAAGGAGGATTCAAGCTAGACTTGAGGCTGGACTGTGACCCTGGGAGGCAGGACCGTGACCCTGGAAAACAGAAGCTTAAAGATGCAGTAAGAACTGAAACCTATCGGCGCCATTATTACCACATTCCTCCCTTTTTTGTTTGTTAAGGAAGGGGGGTGTCGTGTTCGCTCTGGCTTCTTCGAGCTGGCAAGGGGCAGTGTAGGGGCCAGTGCATTTTTAAAGCAAGAATGATTTCTTGGAACCAGGGTGGGTGTTGGTGTAATTGTCAGAAGCTGAGACTCTCTGCTCCTTACTGCAAGGCCTTACCTGGTGAGCCTCTCTCTCAAGACCACCTCTTGTTCTGGTGAACTGTACTCTCTGCAGTGTTATAAACATGTGAAATTATTTGTGTTCTTGGCAGGATGACCCATCTGCGATGGATTTCGTTACTTCAGCTGCAAATCTCAGGATGCATATTTTCAGTATGAATATGAAGAGCAGATTTGATATAAAATGTAAGTTGTTTGGTAATTCATTCATCTCTTCCAAGCCTCAGAGTTGCTTTTTTCTTTGTTAAAAGCTAAGCATGTTCATCTTTTCTCCCCCTAGCAATGGCAGGGAACATAATTCCTGCTATTGCTACTACTAATGCAGTAATTGCCGGGTTGATAGTGCTGGAAGGATTGAAGATTTTATCAGGAAAAGTAGACCAGTGTAGAACAGTGAGTATCTCTATTTGCATTTTATACTCAACCTCTTAAGTTTATAATACAGCACGTTAAATGAACAGTTTTTAAACCAAAATTAGTTTAGAGAAATGGAAAAATAAGTGTGTGAGAGTGTTTAAGCTTTCTGGAAATTGCAATAGAAAAAACACATTTCCTTGTTTTTCTTTCTTTCTTTCTTTCTTTCTTTATATTTTGTGAGACTGGGGTTTGAACTCAGGGCTTCATACTTACAAAGCAGGCGCTCTACCGCTTGAGCCACACCTCCAGCCATTTTGTTGTGGTTATTTTGGAGAGGGGGTCTTGAGAACCATTTACCCAGGCTGGCCTCAAACTGCGATCTTCCTGATCTCAGCCTCCCAAGTATCTAGGATTACAGATGTGAGCCACTGTTGCTCAGCTGCACATTTGATTTTTATTATTTTACTTTGGTGGCACTGTTGTTTGTATTCAGGGCCTCAACCTGCTAGACATCTGTCTACCACTTAAGCCATGCCCCCCCAGCCCTTTTTACATAGGTATTTTTCAGGTAGTCTCCAGCTTTTTTTTTTTTTTTTTTGCCTGTGGCCAGATTCAGACCATCATCCTACCCACATCCTCTCATGTGGCTGGGGTAGCAGGTGTGTGCCACCATGCCCAGCTTATTGGTTGATTGCCCAGCTGGTCTCAAGCCACTGTCCTCTCAATCTTCACCTCCCAAGTAGCTAGGATGATAAAAAGCCCCGCTTTTTATTTTTGGGTAATAAACAGAAATAGAAGCTAATTTGCTGGTAACATTTCTAAATCACTGCATTTTTGGAGAAATTCATTATGAGATCTTCATACTAAGCTTTTTCAATTCTAAGAGTCCTACATGATTTAAAAACTTTGCTTGGTCATTTTGTTATCCCTTGGTCTTGATTCTTTGTTTTTTTTTATTCTTTTTATTTTATAGTCAACCTCTTAAAAATTTATAAGAAAGCACATTGTTTATATTTTGTATTTGAAGTGTGAAATCTTTATGGATATGTTTCCTGTTGTTTCTTCTAGATCTCATATTTTATCTACTTACGGTTTATGATCTTTTAAAACTGAATTCATGTCTTTTAGAATTGTATCTGGGATAGTTCTTACCTTTGTGCTTGTATTTGGGTGCTTAGAGCACTACCAATCAAGGGCCACTTTAAAACATTTATTGCTTTAACAGAAGCTTGTTTTATAGGGTTTCTTTGTATTCCCTTTTGGGAGTTTATTTATTTTTTGGAGCTATGTACTCCAGATCCTCTTGTATCAAGCCTCCCACATGCTGGGATTACAGGTGCACTCCACTACACCCAGCACAGGACCACCGTTAAATTCTCAGCTTTAGTTTTTTTAATCCATATGTATTCAAATAGCAAATCATATTATAATGGCTTGAGAGATAACTCTCCATTTCACTAAGCACCAAGGACAAGATAATTTTTCTCATTTTTATTTTATTTTTCCCAGTACTGGGGTTTGAACTCAGGGCCTACAGCTTGAGCCACTCCACCTGTCCTCTTTTGTAAAGGTTTTTTTTTTTTTTGAGATAGAGTCTTGCAAGTTATTTTCCCGGGCTGGCTTCAAACCACGATCCTCCTGATCTCTGCCTCCTGAGTAGCCAAGTTTACAAGCGTGAGCACCAGTTCCCAGCTTTGCTATTTCTATTACAAAGCTATTTTTCTGTGTACTTTTTTCTTTCCCCCCAGCATTGGGGTTTGAACTCAGGGACCCTTGCTAGGCAGACACCCTTCTGTTTACTCTTGAGACAGTGTTTTATTTTTTTAATGTATTTTTTATGTTATTTTATGTATTTGTTGACACAGGGTTTTAGGCTAGACTCATACTCATGATCCTTTTACCTGTACCTCCTGAGTGCTGGAATTAAGGGCCTTGTGTGTACCACCATGCCCAACTCTGCTCTCCCCAGGGTCCCACCCTGGTTTTCATTCTTTTTGTGTATGTGCCAAATAATGGGTTTCCTGTGATCCTACTGACTATCCGCCTCCCTGATCCCCCTCCCTGATTCATAGCTTCTTTTTATTATTCATTCTCCTCCTCTCTCTCCCCGCCCCAGGTACATATTTTCTTGCTTGTATTTATGGATCTGTATTCCATGTATGAGGGGAAGTGTGATATTTGTCATTCTCAGTCTGGCTCCTTTTTACTTAACGTGATCTATAGTTCTGTCCATTTTCCTGCAAATGACATGATTGCATTTTCCATTGTGACGGAACTGTATTCTTTGTATATATTGCCACATTTTCTTTATCCTTCCATCTGTTGATGGGCACCTAGGATGATTCCATACTTGGATCAAATTCACCCTCTGTTACTCTTTGTTCTCCCCTTCCCCCTTTTTTAAACCTTTGTTTTGTTTTTGGTGGTCCTGGGGTTTGAGCTCAGGTCCTTGTGCTTGGTAGGCATGCACTGTACCCCTTTTGTGTTAATTTTTCACTGGAGTCTTGGTTTATGCCATGGCTGGCCTGCACTGCAGTCCTAGTTACGCTTCCTACGTAACTGCGATGGTAGGTGAGTGCTACCAAGCCCAGCGTCTGTCGGTTGAGATGGGTGTTGGAAACTTTTGCCCTAGCTAGGCTGGAACTGCCGTCGTCCAGGTCTGTGCCTCCCAAGTAGCTAGGATTACAGGTGTGAGCTATGGCCCGTCTAAGTAATTTTTAACTGATTTCATTATTCTGTTTTCATATGTGCATGTAGAGTGCTTCAGTAACCTTTTTTGGTATGCTCCTGGGAATTGGATCAACTTTCTATTTAAACTTTTATTTTGGCTGCTATATTTTTAATTTCTAGGAACTTTTCAAATTTTTCTGCCTTTTTATAGCAAAATGAACTTTTCTTGTGGTCTCAGTCTCCCTTTGAACTCACAAACAATCCTTATTATCGAGCTTATTAAGGTATCTACTATTTCCTGTAACATCCTTCTGATTTCTTTGCTGCTCAGTTCTAGCCCACTCTAGGAGTGTTAATAATTACATGTCTAGATTTCATTTGTTCATATTTATAAATTAATACAAAGTGGGCTAATACTATCCTGGTTATTTACAGTGATGGCAATTAAAAAAAAATTTGTTACTGGAGGGCTGGAGGCAAGACTCAAGCAGTAGAGCACCTACCTCTCAAGTGCGAAGCCCTGAGTTCAAACTCCAGGACCACCAACTAAAAAGACGAGAAAAAGACATTTTGTTACTGCAGATTACACTTCCAGCCAGAGTCATCATGTTTTATTAGTCTTGATTTCCCAGAGTAGGCTTACCTTCTGGGAAGTGCAAAATCAAGTCTTTCCCTCCTTCTGCCCTGCTTAGCCTGGCCAGTTTGCCTCAGCTCTGCTACATGAGCAGTATTCATTGTGTGGAAAAATTATCAAGGGAGCTTTACTCTTTAAGCTTGAGAGAATCTGTAGGGTTCTCCTTTAGAAGCAGTTCATTTCAGAAATGCAGTGCTACATTGTGGTCACAGTGAAGATTGTATTTCTCCTGACATTTATTTGTGTTGATCCTTACTAGTGTACACCAGACTTTGTTGTAGCATGACATTAGGGCCTTTCTGAATTTCAGTGTAAGTTTTTATTTTCCTTGGTACTTAATTGTTTTTGTTTGTTTGCTTATTTAGGTAGAGAGGAATGGTATTGCTACCAGAAATACATTAATTTTCCCCATAAATATATAAGTGTTATTATCATAGTCAGAACAGTCACTTTGGTTCCAGGCATCAGAATTGCCAGAATTGCCAGATGTTGGTGAGGATAAATACTGGGAAGGACACCCAGAAGCTGGTGGAATGGTGATACCCAGAGGCCCGTGTGACTGTCTAGAGTTGTGTAAGAGACAAAAGTGGCATCTTTACTGTAAGCCCCGCCTTTTACATGGTAGCTGATTAGAAAAGGTTGGAAAACTAGGGTTTTAGGAAGGTCATGGTTTTCCTCATTCTTTTTGGCATCTGCAGGGAAATTTTCAAGTCACTTTGAATTGTATTTTAGTTGGGTGTATAAACCTGTAACTCATACTTCTGATTGTCGTTTGTATTTTTTCTCTGAAGATTTTTTTGAATAAGCAACCAAACCCAAGGAAGAAGCTCCTTGTGCCTTGTGCACTGGATCCTCCCAACCCTAATTGTTATGTATGTGCCAGCAAGCCAGAGGTGACTGTACGGCTAAATGTCCACAAAGTGACTGTCCTCACATTACAAGATAAGGTGAGTACAGGGGTTGGTTCTCTTTTCCTTCATGAAAAAAAATCAAATTTATAGTATTACTATGATAAGAAACTAGCTAATAACTGACTGCTAAAGTAAATTGCACTGATTTCCTGGGTTATTTCACTGTCTGGATTCCTGCTGGCTTTTCTGTCTGATTCCTACACATACGTGTGCCTCCTGTCTACAGGCATATTATCTCAAGGTGTAGGTGTATATGGCTTTAATACACACCACAGGTACGCAAGCCTGGCTCTTTGTTTTCCACAGAGGAGGTAGATAAAAGGTATCCTTCAATAGTCCTGGTTGTGGCAGTGAACAGACAAGTATTTGCACGCATTCCTGAGCAAAGGATGCAGAATTCTCTGTCACCATCAGAGGAACACGCCAGTTACCAGCTTTGTATTACAGGGTCTGTTTCATGTGGTTTGGATATTGGACAGTGCCACTCCCATGAGATTAGAGGACCCTTGCTTTTTCTGACATCTGGGTTAAGGTGTCCTGACCTGATTCTGTATACTGTTAGTCCATGAAGAGATGATAGCATTTGCTTAACTGGCTTTATGTGAGAACTGAAGTGAGGGAAATGGGGGTTTAAGATACGTCCTAGCTCTTAGAGTCCTTCTAAGTTGGCTAAATTAGTTCCTTTATTCTTGAAATTGTGGTGGGTTTTTTTGTTTTGTTTTGCTTCTTAAATGGCTGGAAAGAAGGTCATGTCCCCAATTTTGGAATCACTTTGAGTTGTTCCTCTGATTGTCTCTATCACTGTTCTACATATTTACATACTTTCCGAGATGGGGGCATAAGCCTTTCCCCTCTAGAAAGGCTAGTGTGATGTGGGTCTGGAACAAGATGAATCCCCCAGTTTTCCTTGCTTGTTGCCCTAATGAATCTTCAAGAATAACTTAGCCCCTTTCCAGTTGAAGGGGGGGAAAGTAAAAGCCTTTATAGAATAGAAACCTAGAGTTTTTTATGGTCTTTAATTACCAATGTTAATATTTTGAATTTTTTCCTTGCAGATAGTGAAAGAAAAATTTGCTATGGTGGCACCTGATGTGCAAATTGAAGATGGGAAAGGAACAATCCTAATATCCTCAGAAGAGGGAGAGACAGAAGGTATCATTGCGTTTATCGGTTCCCCTTACTTGGGAGAGTTGCTTGAAGGACAGAGGAGTGCACACTAGCGTGTCCATTCACTGTGTGCCATGTCTCGGTGATGAGGGGATGGTGTTTGGGCATGCATGTTGCTCTTCCACATTGGTGTCTTCCACAGGTTCTGATTTGGAAGCTCTGTGCTATCAAGGTGTCTCAGGGACACCCTTGACCCAGTGCACAGACATTGACCATTTACAGGGACTACAATACTTTTGTCTATTTCCAAGGCACCTCCTTGCCTGGGGGTTATGTTGGTGATGAGAACACTGTTCCAACTGCTAAGTCTCTTGGGTGTTTTGCCCAGGAATGGGGAAGCATGATAGCCTGCTCCTGTATAGCTGAAAATCAGAGCCCAGATTTAGCTTTCTTTGAAAAATTCAAACAGTGGCTGGGGATACAGCTCAGTGGTAGAGCACTTGAATAACTAGCATGCATTAAGTCCTGGGTTTGATCCCCTTACTCCACTCCCACCCCCCAGGAAAAACAAAAAAGCAGATAATTCCTTTTGTATTTTTTTTTTTTTTTTTTTAGTACTGGGGTTTGAACTCTGGGCCTCAACACTTGCTAGGCAGGTGCTCTTACTGCTTGAGCCATCCACCACCAGCTCTTTTTTGTATTTGTTTTGGTTTTTTTGAGATAGGGTCTCTCAAAACCATTTGCCTAGGCTGGCTTTGAACCAGAGATCTTCCCGATCTGTGCCTCCTAAGTAGCTAGGATTATAGACAGGAGCCACTGTTGCCTGGCTTAATGTGTTTATCATAAGCTCTTGATGTTTATTTAGTGAGAGTGATGTTGTAGTTATGCCTCCTTCAGATTATACTATTACACTACGTAATACGTATTACGTTCTGATGGCACTTAGAAATCCCCACACCTCATGTCCTGGTTTTTGCCAATACACTATTGTTTTCAGAACTTGGAGGTTCTGTTTTCCTGTGTGTCTGTTTACGTGCTCATCACCTACCACTGGTCATTTCTTCAGTGTAGTTTCCCAGATCCTCATGGGGATTAAATTTTGAGCTTTCTTCCTCTCCTCAGACCTAGGCCTTGCTCCCACTGAGCAGCATCCTCATGTCTGAGCTCTAGTTAAATCAAAGCTCAGTGTCAGGTTCTTCTGGGTGGAACTTGCTTGTTGAGAAATTGTTTGGAATATTAGTTTATGTGTAATTGAGGATCATACATTGGTTCTTTTAGGAGAGTAGTTTAATATTCAAGCCCTATTCTAACCTGCTGTCTTCACCCCAAAGGAAAAAAACGTGAAGGGTTTGTGTGTGATATGCTGTCCTCTTCATTCTCACCACCTTTTTGGACTTTAGATTAAAAAATGGAAACTGGTTGCCAGGCACGGTGACTCACACTATTTGGGAGATTGAAATTGGGAGGAATACATTTCGAGGCCAGCCTGGGCAAATAGTTTATGAGACCCCCATCTCCAAAATAACCAGAGCAAAATGAACTGGAGGTGTGGCTCAAATGGTTGAGCACCTGCTTTGCAAGTGTGAAGCCCTAAGTTAAAAAAACAAAACAAAACAAAACAGCTGGTCAAGAATTTCATGGTGAAATGTAATCTCTTCTATGGAATACATGTGTTTCTGTGGGTATAGACAGCAGTTTACTCCTTATGCTTGCAGTCTTGTATTATAGGCATGAGTCTTAAGTACTCATAACAAGGATGGGAAGATAGCAGTCCCTTGTTTGTGGCACTTTGTAGCATAGAGGGGCAAATTTTCAACAAATGGCTTAGTGTATGCTGTAAGGAATTTTTTTTTGGCGGTACTGGGATTTAATGCTAACTAGATAGGTGCTCTACCACTTGAGGTACTAGCCCTGTTTTGGAGTGGATTTTTTCAGGATAGGGTCTCGTGTACTATTTGCCAGGGCTAGCTTTGAACCAAGACCCTCCTGATCTCTGCCTCCTGAGTAACTAGGATTAGAGGCTTGAGCTGCCAGTACCTGGGTGGGTCTAAGGAATTCTGTAGAACAGTTGTGTACAAGGTAGGAATTGAAGGAGAGTGTATTTCAGCTTATGAAGGTTCTGTTAAGGCAGTCACGGCAAGAGTGGGGGACTCTTGAGTCAGCTTTTGGTGAAGGAGGGGGGACCCTCTGGTCAGAGAAGACTGAGTGAGCAGCAGCTGCAAAGGCACACACACACACACAGCATAAGGGCTTTGGGAACGGCCAGTTACGTGATGTCAGTGAAAGATGAAAAAGCCAGGGTGTTGGCAGTTATGGTGAGGCTGGAGGACTTTCTGTGTCATGCTTGTCATGTGCGTTTGTCTTCCTCTCCCTTGTCTTTCCCTGGTCCAGTATCCCACCAGGGTTTAAGCAGAGGAGCATTGTGGTTCAGTGTGACCTGCAGAGTACAGTAAGTTGGGTTTTCGAGTAGAGACAGGGAGCCAGTTAGGAGGCCAGGGAATGAGAGGCATGGAAGAGTCTTAGGAAGGCAGAGGCAGATGGCTGATTTGAGGTCCACACGGTCAGGATCTGGAGTGCAGGTGAGGCAGAGGTTCTGTTAGGAAGTGGTTCTCTGCTGGAGATCCACTGTCAGGGAGAGTGGTGACCCAAGATAAAGACCCACAGTGACTGGTTCCCTTTTACAGTTGTTGGTTCCGAGGGGTTTGTTGTCAGTGGTGATGTGTGGAAGTCTGGGTGGGAAATGTCTCCAGGGCATTTCAGTACATGAAAAAGCTAAAATGAGAAGGAAATCTGAAAAAGAACTAGAAGAAACTTAGTGTTTTCTTGTAGGGGAAACCTTTTTTAGCTTTTTTTCCCTAAAGGGCCAAAATTGTGAAAAGTTGTTTGTGACTCTTCAAGGACTCCAGCATAAATTTGTTTTGAATGGGAAAAAGGTTCCCAGAGTTTCTCTCGGTTTGGTCCACTTGAAGTAATTTTGGTAGTTGAGTCTTCAGGGCTGAATTCCCAAGTGCCCAGTATTTCAGGACATGAGTTTGCTACAGCCGCTGTAACAAGTAGCACAAGCCTGGGAGACCTACACAGCAGAAATTTATTGTCACAGTTCTGGAAGCTGCAAGTCCAAGATCGGAGTGTACTGAGAGGTTCGGTTTCTCCTGAGGCCTCTCCTTTTAGGACACCAGTTAGACTGGATGAATGCCTACCTTTAAAGGGCTCATTTTAATTTAATCACCTCTTTAAAAAGTCCTGTCTCCAGATACAGTCACATTTCTCATGTTCTGGGGGTTAGGTTTCCAAAACAGGAATTTTGGAGAGAGACAATTCTGCCATAATAGGAATTCAACTTTTTAAATACGATCCTAGTCTATGAAGACATAATGAAAGTATCTGCATTGCTTCTACATTTCTAGCTAATAATCACAAGAAGTTGTCTGAATTTGGAATTAGAAATGGCAGCCGGCTTCAAGCAGACGACTTCCTTCAGGACTATACTCTATTGATAAACATCCTTCATAGGTAAGAATTGCTAATATTTTATGTGCAAGAAATTACTTGCATATGCAAACTTACAATAAAGCGAAGGACAGTGTTTTCCTACCCTTCAGCCTCACTGTTTATTTGAAATTGCACAGTATTTGCTAGAGTTGGGGCTTAAATAAGATATATTTATGGGTAACTCAACAGTGGTGGCTGATAGAATGACTAGAGTGTAGGCTTTTGATACAATTTTAATTAAAGGTAAATTCATTTTGGTAATTCAGCTGGAATACTATCTTTATTTTTTTTAAATTCCCTAGAAAAAAAGAAATGCTTTTTCCCATAAAGCAAATCATTTTATTTCTGATACCCATTATAAAACAGAAAAAAAGAATTGGTGGTGCATGTTCTGTAATCTTAGCTACAGTGAAGGTTGAGACAGAGGATTGCAAGTTCAAGGTTAGTCAAGTGTAAATTGTATAATGGAGTCAGAGATAGACATTGCTAGGGTGTAGCTTTGGTTGACACCTGTTGGGTGTCAGTGGCATCTTGTTTTCAGTTATGAAAGAAAAGACCATGAAAGCACATGTATAGTAAAGTGCAAATAGCACATGGTGTCTAAAAGACAGGCATAATTAGGACTTTTTTTTATCATATTTTTTAGCTCTCTGGGAACAGAACCCCCCTTAAAACATGTAAGTCTTTTGTTTGACTTTCATGCATTGAAGTTTCATACATATTTTTGGGAACTCATATACAAAAGCAGGGTGCTACCTGTAAATATGGGGGGAAGCCCAGAAATTACGTAACCCTACTCCTAAAACACCAAACTGTTGTGGCTGCGATCAGATTATGAGTAGAGCTTGTTGAATTTTTTGGTGTAGAGGCTGAAGAAACTATGTCTGCAGACTTTGTCATTGGGCTCTAGTTTCAGATTCAGTTTCTGCATTAGCTATAAAAGTTACGTAGCTTTAAAATAGAAAAGCAGTTCCTGATTTGAAGGTGCATTAGTTTTAACCATTTGAATTGGAATTTTGAGTTACCTATCTTAGATTTTTTTTCAAAATCCAAATCCAAAGTGTCCATAGTGTGTATGCTGAGGTTTGAACAGCAGTCTCTGGTGCTCACTGCTGTGTGAGTTGTCACAGCAGGAGTCCTGGTTTATAATGTGTGGTTCTCTTGCAGTGAAGACCTAGGAAAGGATGTCGAATTTGAAGTTGTGGGTGATGCCCCAGAAAAAGTGGGGCCTAAACAGCCTGAAGATGCTGCCAAGAGCATAACCAATGGCAGCGATGATGGAGCCCAACCGTCTACCTCCACAGGTGAGTCCTGGCCCAGCCAGCAGGGTGTTAATTGTGCACCAACAGGCCATTTTCATGAATGTTGACTGCACAGTACAAACTCATAAAAACAGGTGGGTGCTGGATTGGTGTTGATTTTGTAATGGAGGTTTGAATTAATGAACCATGGAGACATTTAAGACTGGGGGTGGCTGTGGGCATAGCTCAAGTGGTAAGAGTGCCTGCTGAGCAAGCTCTAGTACCACCACAAATAGACTAGGGAAATGAAAACCTGCTTTTTCTTGTTGATTGGCTTTACAAGTGGCAATGTCATTTTAGTAGTGTGTAAAGCCAGTTTTGTCTATGTAGTTGACTGCCTGTTTTATTCAGGAGTGATAACTCAGTGCATCTGACTGTGAAGTGAGAGATGCGTAGTAATGATGGAGTTGTGGCATGTTGGACCACCATGACTTGGGTAAAGTGCATGGAGTAGTCCATTCCCTGGGTGTCAGTGCTGGACTTGGTGGTTTTCCAAACAACCGAATCTTTACTGTGTTCTCATTTTGATGTGTGTGCCCCTTCTTTCCTTATTTAGGGAAAGGTCACCCACTTTTGATTTATGTTTCTGTTTATTTGATCCCGCTGTCTTTGGGTTTTTTTTTTGTGGTGCTGGGGATCAAACCCTTGCATGTGCTAGGCAAGCACTTCACCACTGAGCTACATCCTGGACCCCATTCTTTGTTTACTCTTGGTTCTGGTGTCCCTGAGAGTCTAAGGGAAGGACTTGAGACTGTACAGTGTAGCCCTCCTATGAATCATTGATTCCTGACCCTTGTACCCCCCACTGAAGCATTCATCCCTTTGAGATGGTGGTAGTTGTTCAGAAAGCGTAATCTAAGATAAAAATGTATTGATCCTTTACTGTGGGTGGGCTTCTGAAGCCGTGACAGTGAGGTGGTATTCTGCTTTTCATTTAGATGGATGCAGAGAGAAAACCATCTTTACTGCAAGGTTTAGGAGAATCTGAATTTGAACATGGCTTCATCCTCTGCTACTGTGTGACCATGGAAGTCAGTCTCTGTACCTCAGCTTCCTTTTCTGGAAAATGGATAATAATATTATCTTCTTTATAGGGATGTTGTGGTGATTGAGTTGTTGTATGCAAAGCGCTCAGAACAGTTCCCGGCACATTGTCAGTGCTGGTTGTTACTGCTGCTGATGTCATCACCTCCACTGCCATCATTAAGACTTGTCCATCTGCCCTTCTTTAGAAGGTAGAGATGGAACCAGGAAAGAGAGTGATTCATCTGAATTACACAGTGCTTGTTAAAATTTCTCTTTCTGCTTGGAAAAGAAATGAGTGATTCCCTGGGTCTAATTCCCCGTAACTCTAACCCCTTTCCCTTACCTCCCCCAAGTGTAGAGCAATTTAAAACAGGGAAATGTGTAATGTGTGGAGATGACCCAAAGGTGCTCGTTCTTAAGTTTGGTATATAGTCAGAGTTAGATTTCAGTTACCTAAGAACTCCTACACTTTTCACCGTTTTTTCCTTTTTTCTGAAACAAGCACAAGAGCAAGACGATGTGCTCATAGTTGATTCTGACGAAGAAGGTCCTTCAAATAATGCGGACATTGGCGAAGATGAGAGAAGTCGCAAGAGGAAATTAGAAGAGAAGGAGAGTGTTTGTGCAAAGAGGTCGCGTGTGGAACAGACGGGTGAGCTCGACGACGTCATAGCTTTGGACTGAACAGTTGCACTGTAAGGTCATCTGGGCACAACTAGATTGTTTGCCATGTCCTTTGTTCAAAAGGGAAAACAATTGATACCAGGGACTTGAAAATGGTTCTGCTCCCTTTGAAAGCATTCGTTTTGCTACAACTGTTAGAAACATCGGAGGGCCCTGTGTTGAGTATTAATAGTTTTAAAACTGAACAAAGCTGTGCACAACCAATGATGAGGTAAAACGCAATGCATGTTGCCTTTCTATTGTAAATACCCTTGGTATCATTTGATAGTTTGAAAAATATTGTGGTTTAGTAAAGTTGATACATGGTTATAAATATTACGCTTTTATTTTTGGCTAGAAGAAGAGTTATTTTTAGCCTAGATCTAATCATTTTCATACTCTTAACTGACTGAAACAGATCAAAAGGTATCTAGTGCTATGCATTAAACTTGTTTTAAATGTTAACGGACACTGTGTATATTAATGTAAAACAATGTTAATTTGCTCAAGTTTTCTGTTTGTGCTGCCTGGTATGTCTGTGTAAGAAGCCAATTTTTGTGTATCGTTAACAGTTTCAGGTTATTTATATTTGATGTTTTGTAAAACTCAAATAACAAATATACTGTACTTATGGACCAAATAAATGGCACCCGCATACTTGTTACCCTGGGCCCGGCTCTCATTTCTGCCCGCTTGGGTGGATATGCCATGCGGAAAGCTCTCTGTTGAAAAAGTGAACTCCAGGGCTTGCCGAGCATGGGTAGGACCCTGGGCGTGCAGCACACGCGCACAACCATGTCAGGAGTGAGGGTTGCAAAGCCTCTAGTGGCAGTGTTGTGTTTTTAATTTACTTGTCACCGTTTGGCCTTTGCTGAGAACATGTAAGTAAGCTTGCTTACATGGATTTAAGATGCTGGGGGAGGGGCGTCCTTCCTGCAGATTTTGTCTGGACGTCTGTGTTGTCCTGGTAGAGCCTCTTCCTAAGTGTACCAGTCAGAGCCCCGCGGGAGGACTCAGGTCTTCCTTGATCTGGACCTCAGAGGCCTGCACCCTTAGGGTGCTGCCGCCACACAGGTGTGCTTCAGGTTCTCAGAGAAGGACTGCGCTATGCTGTCCCCCTCATTGTCTGCCTGTGCCGTTGGTGCTGTGGCCAACAGTCCTTTTGTGTGTCAACTACTGTTTACATTGATAGCTCACTGTATTGTCCCACTTTTTCTTTGTATAAGTTTTATTCTGCCTTCCAACTTATTAACTCTTACTCCCTTTTTTTTTGCAATTGGGTCTCACTGTGTAATCCAGGCTGGCCTCAAACTTGCGATTATCCTGACTAAGTCCCTTGAGTGCCGGGATTACAGGTATGTACCAGCATGTGGGTAGAATAGAGGAACAAGTTAACATTAAGAAGAGACAAATACAGGGCTGGAGACGGGACTCAAGCAGTAGACTGCCAGTACCACCAAAAAATAAAAATCTGAAAAAAAGGAAACATGAAATGTGTGACATTCCCTAACTAAATTGTCTGGACTCTTCAGTAAACTTGTCACTTCCAAAAAGTGGGCCAGGCATGGTAGCTCATGCCTATAATCCTGGCTAATCAGAGGCAGAGATAGGATCAAGGTTCCAGGCTAACCCAGGCAAAAAAGTTCATGAGACCCCCATCTAGACAAGGCCCTGAGTTTAATCCCCAGCACTGAAACAAAACCTAACAAAACAAAAAATCATAACCCAATACAAATACTATATCCCGGTTCCACAAAAGAAATGATCCTAACAGTTCTTGAGACAATTAAGAGCTTGACGATCATATACACATACGTATTTTCTTTTGGCTGAGCTGGGGTTTGAACTCAACCTCATGCTTGTTAGGCGGTCTTCTACCAGCTCAACAATTAGAAATTTAAGAATGAAATAGGTATAATAATATCACTGTAGTTGAAAGTCTAGTCGTCTTAGGATATTAGGGATGAAATTTCATGATAACTATTTTACTAGGTCTTAACCAGAAGGCTGAGGAGATAACAGTACAATCAGGAGGATGGTGGTTTGAAGCCAGCCCAGGCAAGTAGTTCTTGAGGCCCTATCTGGAAAAAACCTATCACAAAAAAGGGCTCACAGAGTAGCTCAAGGTGAAGGCCCGGAGTTCAAACCCTAGCACTGCAAAAACAATTTTGTGTGTGTGTGTGCAGGGTGCTGGGGATTGAACCCAGGGTCCTGGCTACATCATCTCCAGCCCTATTTAACTTTTAGGTTTTTTTCTTTTTTGTTGGTACTGGGGTTTGAACTTGGCTTCACACTTGGCTAGGCAGGCGCTCTACTGCTTGAGCCACTCCACCAGCCTTTTTTTTGTGTTGGTTTTCTTTTGAGATAGGGTCTCCAGAACTATTTTGCCTGGGCTAGCTTTGAACCTTGATCCTCCTGATACCTGCCTCTCGAGTAGCTAGGATTACAGGTGTGAGTCACCAGTGTCTGGCCATACTTAACTTAAATGGCTCAGCAAAATATATAATGTGAAGAAATAAAACATAATTAACATTGAATCTAGGTAGAATGATGTACATTGCTTACTACAGTATGCAGATTTGAAAACTTCATAGTAAAAGTGAAAATTCACACATATTTTCGTCCACACATACAAATGGTGTATTTTGTTTTTGTGCCTGTCTGACCTGTATGTTTTACATTGAGTACACTTTAGGATAAGTCAGAAAGTCACTCCAGATATAAATTGGAAAAAGTCAGTGTTAAAGTGATTCTGGGTTCAACATTGATGACATAATTTTCCTGTCCTTGCTGCTAGGCTGTGACTTAGGAGGAAGGAAGGCCTCTCTTCTGAACCTGCAGAGAGCTGAGGGAGCCCACTTGTTCCCACTAGGTTGACAGTCCACGCGGAAGCTGCCCAGAGGCATTTGGCTCATTGTCGCTCATGTCCTGACGACGGTCATCAGTAACACCTGGCTTTGAAGTGGCCTTGCCCCATGAGAGACATTTAGCAAATTTAAGACACTAATCAGCTTTTTTGTAACATCCAGAAAAATACTAAAAGTAAACTAAAAAAACCCCAAAGAAACCTGGGAAGAAAATGTCTGCAGATGTTGTCAGTCATCGTAACTTGCAGAGGTGAGGAGAGCCTCCTGTTTGTTGATTGACCGAGAGGGCTGGCCTCACTCACAAGCCTCCTGCCTCGGCCTCCTGAGTGCTGGGATTATACGCTTAAGCCACCATGCCTGACTCTGCATTCTAAAGCAGTATTCCTGAGATCCAAAATCTCTATGTGACTGTTCTGAGAGAGGATATATTTAGAGAGGTATTTTTATAGATATTTTCATACTGGGAATATGTTATTTGCATTCTGCACACAGAGTCTAATTCAAAACATCTAGCTCAAGCTGCAGCCGAAAGGCTTACTTGAGACATTTTAACTGCTCACTAAGAAATAAATCAACTGACTCAAACTGAAGGGCTACAGTGCTTCAGTGCTATTTGGTTGTTTTTTTGAAGACAACATCCTGGTAAAGTAACATTTTAGGAGGTTTTTCTAAATGCCTGACTTGTGTTGGCTTTAAGATTTTAAATTTAGCAAAAAGTCGTGACTTCCTAGCTTAGGAAGGGTTATGAGTGAAAATTTCACCAGACTGATTGATTCTCAGGCTTTGTACTTTTTTTAACAGTTTTCTTTAACTCTCAGAAGATCAATCCCAGGAATGTGAAGTATTGTGATATACTACGTCACTTATTCATTCTACAAATGTGAGTTTGCAGCCCCTGGGTAGACACCTTTGGGAGCAGCACGACACTGAGGGCTGGTGTGCATGGAAACCCAACTTCACATCTTAACATGGCAGCAATCGGTGAGCTGAGGATCCGAGGACCCCCAGATTAAAAATCATGACTCAAAAATGTAAAAATACCCACAGCTTCTCTAATCTGAGCATCCTCAAGTAGGTCCTCCCTATTGACCTATACAGGCTCAGGTTTTTGCTGTGGCAGAGTTGCTGCAGAAATTCCTGATGCATGGTAAGGTTTCAAGGCAAGCAAAGATGGCCTATTTTTTTTTTTTTTTTTGGCAGCACTAGGGTTTGAACTCAGGGCCTCACCTGTCCTAGGCAGGCAGGTGCTCTACTGCTTGAGCCACTCCACCAGCACTTTTTGTGTTGGGTATTTTCAAGATAGGGTCTCTTGAACTGTTTGCTCAGATCTTCCTGATCTCTGCCTGCTGAGTAACTGGGATTTTAGAGGCATGAGTCACTGGTGCCCAGCAAATAAACAATTGAATTTTCTTCTTTTGGGGGGGTACTGGGGTTTAAACTCAGGGCCTGTGGTTGCAAAACAGGTATTCTACCACTTGAGCCATGCTTCCCATCCTTAATTCTATTTTTTTTGGCGTGTGGTACTGGGACTTGAACAAATCAGGGTCTTCACTTTGAGCCACTCCACCAGACCAGTTCTGTGATAGGGTTTTTTGAGGTAGGGTCTTGAGAACTGTTTGCCTGGGCTGGCTTCCAACTGCGATCCTCCTGATCTCTGCCTCCTGACTAGCTAGGATTACAGGCGTGAGCCACTGGTGCCCAACCATCCTTAATTCTTGAAGAAGTCCTAGAAATTTCCTTGAGAAGGCAATTCTTTCTCCACTACTGGGACCCAGGCAGCCATGTGTCAAAGCCAGCTTATCCTGGCCAGCAAAGACTGGTGATCATCTTTTCCCACATCTATCCGGTGACCCCATAATGGCCACTGAAAATGGCCATGGTAGGAGCATTTACCACGGTGGTGGGCAAAAGCTCCAGGTTCCTCTCTAGAGAGGTGGTTGTTATATGTGTACTGCACACCACTGGACCCAGGAGGAAAATGGCCAGAAGACAAGGTGTGCACAAAGGATACTGCACACCAGTGGAGGGCAGAGAGGGCAGCTGGGCAGTGCGCCTAAGGACTGCCTGACGAGTTAGCCCCGTCCGCTCTCATTGTGCTGGTCTGCTGAAGCCTCCGGTGAGGAGACCAAGACGATGGGCTGAGGGACATCAGGTAGCAGATTGATGGGGCCACACAGTTTTGGATACAGTATTCCGACAGTACGATGCTCACACTGAATATCTTGAACGTATTTCCTACCTCACGGAAGTGCTTTACAGTAACGTTGAATACTGAACACTTCGTGGTGTTTTTAGTCTTGGCGTTACTTAGTTATTACTAGAGTAAGTAAGGTTTTAGCCTCGTGTGGACACTAATACGCTGCTTAAAGTAGCTCGAGTGCAAGAGCGCCTACCTACTAAGCATGAGGCCCTGAGTTCAAACCCCAGCACCACCCAAAAAAAAAAAAAAAAAAAAAGTTGAGGTTGTAATCTTGAATCTGAATTATCACAAACTAGAGCAACTGAGGTAGCAGGTGTTAACTGAGACAGGGTTTAAAAAAAAACCTTGCAAGCTCCAAGTGGGCAGGTGGAGCTAGAATAGCTGTATACACATACACACATGCCTATGGGTGGGCCAGCGTCTCACTTTGTAGCCCAGGCCGGCTTAGCAATCCTCCTGCCTCAGCCTCCTGTGTGCTGGAATTAAAGGCGTGCACTACTAATTGCCTTTAAAGACACAGTCCTCTGAGTTCCTTTCAGAAGGCTGGAGATGACAGGACAGTATAGACTACTTAAATAATATTACGTAAATACTTTTTGTGCTTTAGATTACTGTATTTGGATAATTTCCCCAGAACAGATTAGGTTTTGTTTACTTAATTATTTGGTGACCAGGTCTCACTCTGTAGCCCAGGCTGGCCTCAAACCTAAGATTCTGCCTTAGCTTTCTGGAGTGCTGGGATCGTGGGCATCCACCACCCTCAGCTTCTTAGCCTACATTCTTACAGGAAACGTTGCTGCTTATAAATAAGTGTGACTTTTGTTTTCTTCTTTTGAGACAGAGTCCCACTATGTACCCCAATCTGCCTCAGTCTCCCCATTGCTGGGATTACAGATATGCACCACCACACTCAGCTAAGTGTTTTTTTTTTTTTTTCTTGTTTGTGAGGGTATTGGGTATTGACACACCAAATTGCTCTTGTAGGTTATACTTCTATCAGTAGACTGTGTAACTGTCTCACCACAATCCTGCCAATATTCTAATTTTCAAATGTAATCAGTAAACTATTGTAATTGGTTTGAATAGTTTTTCCTTCCTTTCTCATCAGAGCGGGAGACCATGAGGTGGTTTCCCTGGATATTTGCTGCCCCCAAATTCTTGCTTTCAGACCCAAAGGAAGAGGTTGGAATTCTGCAAGCCCTGGGTCAGACACTGTGCTCCTCTCCCAGATGGGAAATGGGTGCCACAGCCGGCTCCTCAGCAATGTCGTCCGGGCCAGGAGTGTCCCCCATGCCTGCTCTCTGCCCCTGAGCACTGGGGGTGCCTTCCTGGAATCCTCTGAGAAGGGGTGCCTGGAGAAGACTTCCTGGATCCATCAGGTTTTGACAGACAATGGTTTGGTTTTCCTCCCTGCTGATGTTTGAAATATAAGACAGGGGATTTGTAACTTGTGTTTTGCGGAGACAACAGCCCTAGTCACCCCACCCCACCTAGCCTCCAGCCACATTGCCTCCCCTAGTTTCAGAGACATCCCCTTGACACCACACCCCACATCCCGGGAGGTGAACAGGTGGGCGCCCTCACACCTCCGGGTCACTGCCTCTGGGCCTGAAGCCTGCTTCTGGCTTGGCCTGGCCTTGGGGGGCCCTGAGTACAGCCGCCCACCGAAGGAGAGGACCAGTCCCAACCAACCGGGGCGGGGAGGGGGTCTCCAAGCCCTGGGCTTCTTCCCTGCAGCCAGATGGGGTCCCCAGGCCAGTGCGCCGCCACATGGCCTTGAGGGGGTGGCGAGGTCGTGCAGGGTCCTAAGGGCGCATCCGATGGGACTCAGCGATGGCGAGGGTGAGTGCGGACGCGGCGCGGTCTGCGCAAGGCCAGCCCTGCAACATGGGCGGCGCTGGGAAGCAAGATGGGGGAGGATGTGGGCAACGTCCGTCTGTCTGCCGCTGCTCAGAGCCCTGCGGCCGGGCCTGGGGGCAGGAGGAGACTCGGAGTCTCTCCAGGCTGGGGTTCTGGGCACTGGATCACCGAGGGCGGGCGGTACAAGCTGCCCGAGCGCCCTCCAGGCTCCAGGCTCCCGACTCCGCCACTCCCCCGACATTCCACAGGCCGCAGCGCCGTCTCCTTCCTCGCATTCCTGCCCCGCAAAGGAGTCCCTCCGCCCCCCGCGCGGCCCCGCGCCTCGGCGCGCGCATTCCTCCGCCGCGCGCGCCCTCGAGCGCCGCGCCGCGTGCCCGTCCCCCCCTCCGGCCCGCGCGCGCGCGCGCGCGTGCCCGGCGCAGCGACCCCCGGCCCGGCGCGGCGCCGGCCCCGCCCCACCCCCGCGCCCAGGGTCCCGGGCGGGCTCCGGGCTCCGGGCGGACGATGCGGCGGCGCGGCCGGAGCGGCGGCGGGAAGCGGAGGCGGAGGTGACGCGCCAGGCAGGGCCGGCGGGGCCGGGCCATGCAGCGCTCCCGGGCGGCCGCGGACGAGGCGGCCCTGCTCCTGGCCGGGCTGGCCCTGCGGGAGCTGGAACCGGCGGCGACTCTCCGGGCCGGGGACGGCGGGGGCCGCGGGCCGGCCGGGGGACGAGGCGGCGCCGGCGCTGGGCCGCAGAGGCAAGGGCGGCGGCGGCGGCGGCCCCGAGGCCGGGGCGGACGGACCGAGCCGCGGGGACCGAGGCCCGCGACGCGCGGTGGCGCCCGAGCTCAGCGCGCAGCCCTCGGGCAGCCCTCGGGCCAGCCTGGCGGGCTCGGACGGCGGCGGCAGCGCGCGCTCCAGCGGCATCAGCCTGGGCTACGACCAGCGCCACGGCAGCCCGCGCTCCGGCCGCTCGGACCCGCGGCCCGGCCCCGGCCCCGGGCCGCCGTCGGTGGGCAGCGCCCGCTCCAGCGTGTCCAGCCTGGGCTCCCGGGGCTCGGCGGGCGCCTACGCCGACCTGCTCCTGCCGGGCGCCGGCCCCGCGCCCGCCCGCTCCCCGGAGCCTGCGGGGCCGCCCGCACCCTTCCCGCTGCCCCCGCTGCAGCTGCCCCCCGGCCGGGAGGGCGGCCCGAGCGCGGCCGAGCGGCGGCTGGAGGCGCTCACCCGGGAGCTCGAGCGGGCGCTGGAGGCGCGCACGGCGCGGGACTACTTCGGTGAGCGCGCGGGCCGGGGCGGCCGCAGTCCCCGCGGGGAAGGGGCGTCGCGAGGGCGCAGCGGGGACCCGGGGGCGCCGGGGAGCCGGCCACGTTTCGTGAGCTGCCAGACCTCGGGTTTCTTCCCGTCTGTGGCTTCATCTCCATCTTCCCCGCGCACAGGGGTTCTGGCCAAGGGATGCGCCGTACCTACCGCCTTGCCTACAAAGTCAGCTTGATAGGCAGAGCGGTCACCTTCTGGACGTTTCTTCCTAGCTCTTGCCACTTGCCTCCTCTGCGCATCCCACCTGATGCTTCGCCATCGTCAGGGTGCTCCCTCCGTCCGCGCCCCGGCAGTATGGGGTGTGGACAGGAACCCAGAGCGCAGGGCCCCAGGTATCCCCAATTCAGGGTGACTGTAGGCTTCAATCCAGTCGTGGCTGGGCTGGAGGGTGTGGGAGGAAAAGGGACGACGACTTGGCCAGGCACCCTGGGCTGCTCTGAGCTGTGCTGTGTACACGGAGTATTTCCCAGAGGAATCCTGTTCACGCATATTTGCAAACCCACCGGTCTCCGATAGCCTCGTTTCCCAGTCCCGCCACGGTCCCATCTTAGGGCTAGGTGTGGGGGGAGGTTGCGGGGGGGGGCAGCATATAGTAGGGTCGGGATTGAGCCTTCCTCCCTCCTGCTCTGATAAGCAGGAGGGCGCTGCCCCCCCCCTCCCCCCCGCTTTGGAGGGTGGGTGGTTTTCACACGGGGGCTGAAGCTGCGCGGGGATTTCTCTCTCTCTCACATACAATGGAACCGCTGCTCTGCACTGCCCCGAACTAGATCTGGGGAGCTTAGGAGGCTCTGTGTTAGCAGGCCAGGTGGAGGGAAGAAAGTGAGGCTGGGAGATGCTGCTTCCCAAGGGTTGTAGCCCAGACGGGGTCAGGGGGTCAAGGGCACGGGTGGCCTGAGGTTTTGTCTGCCTTTGGGATGGACAGCAAGTCTCAAGTGGGAAGTCAAAGTCGGTGAGAATTTAACCTTTGGCAGATCTGGTGGCTGCTGTCAGCTGGCCGGGGAGAAGAGTGAGGAGTCCTCATGTGCCAGGCAGATGGCGGGAGCAGAGCTGGGACATCTCAGGAGAACCCTCTCCAGTGCTCTCTTCTGGGGAGTCTGGCCATTTTCTGGCCCCTGCAAATGGCAGAGCCTGTATGGGCCTCTGCATGTGCTCCTGAATCCTTATGTGACACTAGGGTGGCCCCTGTCCTGGTAGGAAATGCTGGAAGGGAAGGGGGTCTGATGGTCAAAGATCAGAGTGGGTGGGGAGGTCATCCTTTGTAAAGAGGAGGTGGGACTCAGTTTTGGTCCTTTGTAGCCACATGGGAGTCTGAGGGGGCTGGTGATAGGTTTTATTTTTCCTTCAGTACTGGGGGTTGAACTCAGGGCCTCCCACTTTCTTGGCAGGAGCTTTACCACTTGAGTCACTCCACCAGCCCCAGATTTTTTGTTGTTGTTGAGATAGGGTCTCACTATGTAGGCCTGACAGGGTTTGAACTCATGATTCTCCTGCCTCAGTGCTGGGATTATAGGTGTGGACCACCATACCCAGCTCTGATGATAGACCTTTTTCCTGTCAAGAGCAGCCAGAAATAGAGGTTTAGGTAACACTTTCCTGATTCTAAGGAATGTAAACAGCTCTTTGATTGAGCTGTATAGTCCAGATGACATTTAACTTTTTTATTCTGGAGCCACAAAACCCGAATAAAGCTGGGCACCCATGGCTGATGTGTAATTCTAGCTTCTCGGAGGCTGAGATCGGGAGGATTATGGTTTGAGGCCAGACCAGGCAAGTACTTCTTGAGACCCCCATCTCCAAAATAACCAGAGCAAAATGAACTGGAGGTGTGGCTCAAGCGGTAGAATGCCTGCTTTGCTAATGGGAAACTCTGAGTTTAAACCCCAGTCCCACAAACAAAACCCCGAATAATAGAACACTTCACAAAAGGAAGCTGGCTGGAACCTTTCTGTGTGTTTCCCCTCTGTGCCATCCCTAGCTCCTTCCTGTCCTTGGCCCTGGTACCAACTGACCTCTTGGTCCCCACTGCCATTCACTGATGTCTTTGGAACTTTCCCTGCCCTGCCCCCTGAGTTCCGAGTTCCGAGTTCCGCTGCCAGCCTCAGGCCCCGGAACTTTCTCACTTGGATGACCTTCTGCCTTCTCTCCAGCCACTGGCTTCCAGGGCTACACCCTGTGTTTGCTTCTGGCCAGCAGCCTTTACAACTCTGAGGCTTGTCTCCGGGACCTCTGATTATCGGCAGGCTGTCTGCCCAGCACCCCTTTTTCTGCTGCTCTGTCAGGCGCTGAGGGACTCAGAGAAGTCTGAAGAGAAGTCTGGGGATGAATTTTTGGGGGCCAGGCTGGGAGGCGTGCATATCACATCCCGAATCAGGCCAGTGGAAGTGAGGGGAAGGAGGGAAATCAAGATTCGGGAGCAGGGCAGGTGCTGTGGCACCCAGCTATAGTCCCAGGTACTTGTGAGGATGCTTAAGTCCAGGAGTTCAAGACCAGCCTGGGCAATATAAAGGGACCATGTCCCCTCCCCCCCAAAAAAAATTAGGGAACAGGGTTCTGAGTTGGAGGCGAGGGAAAGAGGCTGACCTGATCCCTACAACCTGGACACACAAAAGTGCCCTCTCTTGAGGGGGGCACCAGAGTCTAGAGCCCTGGGGGAGTTTGGAAGCTGTCTGGAGTTGGAGTGTCTGGGTCTCCTGGGAGCAGCTCAGCACTAGAGATTCTGGGCTGGAGCACAGAGCTTCGGGCAGGGCGAGCCGTGGGGAGAGAATGGCACTGCCCAGGGAGACCAGATGGAGACGGGCATGTGGGGTTTGCTTGGCCTCTGTGGTTGGGTTTGGTTTTGATTTTGGTTTTGGTTTGTGGTGCTAGGGATTGAACCTAGGGCCTCGTGCATGGTAGACAAATGCTGTACTGTAGAGTTCTACTCTCCAGCCTGGCATTTCTAAAGTCAGTAGTTAATTCCAGAATGAGGACTTTCACATATGATGGAGATTTCTAGAACAGGCACGACCTCTGGCAGTGCTCCTGGCCTGCTTTCCCACCTGAGTGCTCTCCACAGGGCCAAGGCGTGAGATTGCATCCTCTAGCAGCCATGTCTGTCTCTCTGCTTACCTGGTCTCCACCAGCCCACCTTTACGTCCTGCCCTCCCAACCTCCCAGGAGCCAGGACAGAGCAGAGGAGTGCCCAGGGGACTCAGAGAGGAGAAAATCCAGGACCCATGTGGAAAGCAGAGAGCAAGGATAGCGTCAGATGGGAAAGTGCATGGGGTGGCTGGCGAGGAGGTGACTGACTGAGAGGAGGTAGTGGTGATGATGGAGGAGGGAGGGGCTTATGAGGCAGGAGAGGCTTGGGCTTGGCTTGACTCCCTGGGCTGAAAACCTGAAGTCCTGAAGTCCAGAAGGCTCTGGACTTCTTTCTAGGTGCCAATGTGATACTGAAAAAGTGATTCAGATTTTGGATTTCAGAGTTTTGGATTTGAAATACTTAGTCTGTACAGATAACCTCAAATCCGAAAACCTCTGGAATCTGAAACACTTCTGGTTCCAGGCATTTCAGAGAAGGGATCCCTGGCCTGTGGCTGAAAGCAGGGGGAAGGGGAGAGGCAGCATGTCCTGGAGCAGTCAGAGGATCTACGGTTCAAGGGCAGGTGGAGCCATCATCATGCCCCGTGGGACATACGAGACCCCAGGCAGCTCTGTGAAGGGGACTTGGCAGTGTTCAGGCTGGCTGCCTTCTGCTGGGTCTCAAGGAGGGCTGCCCAGAGATGCCTTAAGTGGGGCCAGGCGTCATCCTGGCATTGCTGTCATTCTTCCCCTTTTTACCCCTGCTCTGCCTGCTGCCCCTCCCCCGCCACCAGCAGTGGTCCCCAGGTCCATCCAGGAATCCCAGTTTCCTGCACAGCCCGTGCAGCAGGGTCTTCCCTAACCACTCCGTTTAAAAGTCACACCCCCAGAGCTGGGGAGGCTGAGGCAGGAGGATCAAGAGTTTAAGGCCAGCCTGCATCACAGTGAGATCCTGTTTCAAAACACAAGCAGATCACATGCAGACATACATATGTGTACATACATGCATACATATGTACACTTTCTTGGTGGAGGGAGGGGCTGGGGGTTGAACACAGGGCACACTGAACACTCACTGTACCACCGACTACACCACAGACTCCAGATTTATTTTATTTATTTACAGTACTGGGGTTGGAATTCAGGACTTCGTGCTTGTTGGGCAGGCACTCTGTCAAATTTGAGCCTTTCCAACAGCCCTAGATTTATTCTTTTTTTTTCTTGTGTGGCACTAGGGTTTGGAACTCAGGGTCTACATCTTGAACCACTCCGCCAGGCCTTTTTATGTACTGAGTATTTTCAAGCTAGGGTCTCAGGAACTATTTGCCAGGCCTGGCTTTGAGCTGCGATCCTCCTGATCTCTGCCTCCTGAGTAGCTGGGATTATAGGAGTGAGCCACTGGCACCTGGCTCACATTTATTCTTAATCAGCTGAATTTTTCTCCATAGGACTTGTTTCTGCCTGACACCATCATCATCGTTATTATTATTTTCTTTTGGTAGTACTGGGGTTTGAGCTCAGGGCCTCACGCTTGCTAGGCCGGCACTCTACCACTTGAGCCACTCAGCCTTAGCTGCCGCCGTGGGTGTCTGTCCTCTGAAATGCAGGTGCTTGTGGTTGGGGACTTCAGTGCATTGTGGAATTTCCTCAGCACCCACACTGTGGGGCTCGTGGCCTGTCCACAGTTCACTGTCTACTGAACAAGAGAGTAGAGGAACCCCGTGGTGCAGAGGAGGAAAGGGTATCTGGGGAGGGCAGTGACAGCCCGTGTCACTTCATTCACGCACCTTCACTTCAGAGCACACCCCAGTGTGTTCTTCATTCTTTGTGTCCGGACCAGAAAGTGCTTTTTTTTAATTTTGAAGCATAGGATTTGGTTCATAAACAACTCAGTTTAAGAGCAGGTGTTGGGTAGATGTTTTTAGGAAGAAATTTATCATCACTGTGCCAGTTGACTTGCCAGGTCCTCTGCTGAGCGCTTGGAATCCTCAGACAGCTGTACCAAACCCTAAGCAGGGGTACTCTTACAGACCTCGTGTCTGGGGAGGTCAGCTTGCCAAGGTCAGGCAGGTGGGCACCATGAGGACCGGGACCTGGGTGCCTGTCCACCTCACTTCACTCCACAGCCCAGGGTGCCAACCACTGCTCTCTCCCGCCACCTCCTCCCATAGGCGTCTGCATCAAGTGTGGGCTCGGCGTTTATGGAGCGAGGCAGGCGTGCCAGGCAATGGGGAGCCTGTACCACACCGACTGCTTCACCTGTGACTCCTGTGGTAGGTAACCTCTCCCCTGCACCCCCATCCCATCCTCCCTCCCCCAGACACCTTTTCCTCAGGCTAGTCTGGAGGAGCCTGGTTACTGTCTGCCGTGCCTGTGGCTTGTGGCCCCTTCCTCTCTGGGACTGGCCTGTGTAAGGGCCAGGCCCTTGGGGAGGGAACCATGGGGCCACCCAGGAGCCTCTTGCTGGCTGTAGGGAGGGGTTGCTTTTTGGTTTTTGGCAGTACTAAGGTTTGAACTCAGGACTTCACACTTGCAAGGCAGATGCGCTACCACTTGAGCCACTCCTCCAGCCCTTAAATCTTTGGGAAAAGCTACCTCTCTGGTCCTTGGCTTTAGAGCCTCCATCTCTCCAGGAGTGAGGCAAGGGAGCCAGTGAGGGGACTTCTGCTGGTGCAGACATAAGGCTAATCTTTTTCCTGAAATTTATTTTCTGTCCCTATTTTGCACATAACATAAACTATAAATGCTGTAACTTATCTTAGTTATAAAAAGAAAAAAAGTGACATATGCAGTGACCCTAATAAATCTGCACTCTTGATTTTCTCCTTGTTTTTCCAGACCTTGTCTCAAGCAGACAGATGTATTTTATTTATGCACACTAAATATTTTTAGTATTTTTATTTCAGTATGATATATGCGCAGTGTTGAATCAGAAAGTTCTGAGAAACTGTTTATTGCAAGGGCAAAGAACCACTCATCTTTCTTGGTTCCATTCTCCACAAGGAACTGCTTAGTATTATTAGAAGTTTCTTTTATCAGATAGTTCCATATCTCTAAGAAGGATATATCAGTACTGGGCGTGGTGGTTCACACCTGTAATCCAAGCTACTCAGGAGGTGGAGATTGGGAGGATTGTGGTTCAGGACCAGTTCAGACAAAAAGTTCATGGAATTCCATCTCATCCAGTGACTGGTCGCAGTGTCACGCACCTGCCGTCCCAGCTGTGCAGGGAAGCCAAGACAGGAGGACCACAACTGTGGTCTGTGCAGGCCTGGGCACAATGTGAGACCCTATCTCAAAAATGACCAGTGCAGGAAGGGCTGGTGGGGTGGCACAAGTGGTAGAGTGTCTGCTTAGCAAGCGCGAGGCCCTGGCATTGCTACTTCGTTCTTTTCTTTTTCCTTTTCCTCTTTTTCTTTTCAGTACTAGAGTTTGAACTCAGGGCCTACACCTCGAGCCACTCCACCAGCCCTTTTTTTGTGATGGGTTTTTTCATCACAAGGTAGGGTCTTGTGAACTATTTGCTCAGGCTGGCTTTGAACCATGATCCTCCTGATCTCTGCCTCCTGAGTAGCTAGGATTACAGGCTTGAGCCACTGGTGCCCGGCCTTTTCCATTTATTTTTGAAACAGGGTCTCATTGTATACACTAGGCTGGCCTTGAACTTATGATCCTCCTACCTCAGCCTCCCTAGTGCTGGGATTACAGGAGTGTGCCACCAGGCTCTGTACTACTAGTCCTTACCGTATCATTTGCATTCATGCTCTCTTGCTTTTGCTGTGACAATGAGGGGCCACCCCTCTTCTGGTTCCTCTCCCCACCACTCCATGCTGCTAGGCCGGCAGCAATACTTCATGCCCACATTCTCCCCTCCTTCCGTCTTAGCCATGTGCTCATACCACGAGCTTTAGTTAAGTCAATAATCTAAGTTTATTTTTCTGTGACTGTATAAATATTGTTCACTATAGAGCCAAGCATGGTATGATTCATCTTTCTTTCTGTAGACTTACTTTTTCGGGAGATTTTCTTGAAAAAATACTGTTTTCTTTATGTTGCCTGGCTTTTTCCTGTCTTCTGATTTTTTTCCCTCTCAAATGTTCCATTATGTCAGGCTTTCTGCCGAGTTCCCACTGGGAGCCCTGGTCAGTCTGAGCCCTGGTTCCCACTAGGTCTGTGTGAAGCCCTCATTCTGTGCCTTCTGGTGCGTGCTCTCTGGATCGAATCCACTGTTCACTGGACGTTCTTAGCTGCAGATAAAAGAGAAGACGAGGAGGCTTCATGTCTCGGACCATTTCTTGGCTGTGTCGACCTGGAGCCCAGAGACGGCCTGGCTGCAGGCGGGGCTTGCTCTAACAGCTCTGGCCCCATGACTGGCTGGACTGTGTCGCCCTCGGATTTTGGGTCTGTCCTTAGTGTGATTTCTCTCACAGAGGTGTGGCTTCAGTTCCATTCAGTAGTCCGGAGGGGCGTCTCTTCTGGTCACTGTCTTGGAGTATCACATTTGTGTCCCAAGTGACCCTCTTGGGAAAGGAGTTGCTTGGGAATTTTAATTGCTGCAGCCCCCTGAGTAGCTGGGACTGCACGTGACTTCCACCACAGTAGTTCTTTTTTGTGGTACTGGCATTTGAATTCAGGACCTTGCACTTGCTAGCCTCATGCTCTATGGTCTGAGCCACACCTTCAGCCCCCTCCTCCCCCCACTTTCTTTTGAGACAGGGTCTCACCGTGTGGCCTAGACTGTCCTAGAAGTCTCACTCACTCCTGCCTTGGCCTCCTTCATGCAGGGATTACGGGCATGTGCACAGACATGCCACCACACTGGCTGTGATTTATTGTCCTAATTATACATTGTTGAATTTAGTTCCAGAGAGAAAAGGAAAAGAATAAATAAAGAAAAACTTCCAGAGAGGCAGCCGTGCAGTCTGAAGGGCTCTGCACCTAGACAGACTGTGCAGACCAGGCTGCTGCATCGCACAATTTCACGGGTACCAGCCTGGCCTCTATAGCAAGACCGTGTCATAAGAAAACAAAGCGGAAAGTTCCCTTTTATTCCTGGTTTGCTGAATTTTGATACCCACTGACATACTGTGTTTTCCTTTCCTTAAATCTGTCACCAAGGTGAATTCCATGAACACATTGGAAAACTAGCTTATTTAGGATTATCCAGACACAGTGGGTTGTAACACACTGTCTTGTTTTGCTGTTTTGAGGCAGCTTCTCACTATGTAGCCCAGTCTGGCCTCAAACTTTCCATCTTCCTGCTTCAGCCTCCGATTGTTGGGATTATAGTGTGTCCAAGAAAGTTTCGGATTTTCTCCCAGTTACACTGAACTAAAAGCAGAAATTGAAGCCGGGCACCAGTGGCTCACACCTGTAATCCCAGCTACTGAGGAAGCAGAGATCAGGAGGATCGAGGTTTGAAGCCAGCCTGGGCAAATGGTTCGAGAGACCTTATCTTGAAAAAAGCCCTTTACAAAATGGGTTGGTGGAGTGGCTCAAGGTATAGGCGCTGAGTTCAAACTCCAGTACTTCAAAAAAAAGAAAAAAAAGATTGACAAGTTTGGCTACATTAGAATTAAAAAACTGTATTAATTAAATTATATCATGGACAGCAGAGCACCTGCTTTGCAAGCACAAAGCCCTGAGTTCAAACCTTAGTCCCAGAGACAAAACAAAACAAAACAAAAAGCTTCATAGAAATGATACCGTGGGATTTTGTCCAGGCAGGCCTTGGACTCTGAGCCTCCTACCTGTATGTCCCTCGTAGCTAGGTCATAGGTGTGTGCCACCATGCCCAGATGGTTTATTGAGGCAGGCTGACCTCAAGCCTTGGTTTCATACTTGAATTCTCCCCCTCATTCTCTTTTATGCCCCTCCACCCTCCGTTCCTGGAATAGTTTCAACAGGTCTCATTTTTCCATTTTCATACGTGAGTGCATAATATTCCACCATATTCACCTTCCTTCATCATTTCCCTACCTCCTTCCCCTCCCACTGGTGCCAACTCCCTCAAGACAGGACCTTTTCCACCCTCCTGTTCTCCGATTTTGTAAAAGAAAAAACCCCGACATTTTTGTTTATTTAAGATAGCTACTCAGGGATTTTCATTGTGGCATTTCCATGTATATATGTATTATAACCTGAATTGGTCCATCCCCTCTATTTTTCTCCTTTCTCCCTTAGTCCCCTTCTTATGGTGATTTCAACAGGTTTAAACATTCTATATTCATTCTTGTATAGAAAGTCCATCAACCACATTCACCTTCTTAACTTCCTGCTTTTACCTTCCCTCTCTCGTATGGGATCTCCCCTTAGTGTGACCTGTTTTCAAAATATTGCTGTGTTTGCATTGGAGAAAACATGCAACCTTTGTCTTTCTGAGCCTGGCTAACTTCACTTAAGATAATGTTCTCCAGTTCCATCCATTTACCTGCAAACTACAATATTTCATTCTTCTTCATGGCTGAATAAAATTCCATTGTGTATAAGTACGGCATTTTCTTAATCCATTCATCAGCAGTGTCGTTTGCCTGTTTTTAAATTGTGTGGTTTGAATTTTTTTCTTACTGAGTTGTAGAGTTCTGTGTGTGTCTTGCTCGGATGAGCGTCCATTGTTGTATGTCACTGTCAGTAACTCTTCCTAACCTGTTCCTGCCTCTTCTCTTTCTAACGGTGTGTTAGTCGTACTTGGTCATCGCCATGACAAACATCAGAGTGAAACAACTTAGAGAAGGAGACATTTATTTCGGCTCATGGTTTCAGAGGTCTCAGTCCGTGGTCGTCTGGCTCCCTTGCTTTCAGGCCCATGGAAAGACAAACATCTTGCCGGAAAGGCATGGCAGAGGAGAGCTGCTCACCTGGCAGCCAGGAAGCAAAGAGGAGCAAGAGGAAGCGGCCAGGACGAGATTCGCCTTCATAAACACACGGCAGTGACCTCCCTCCTCTAACCAGGCCCCCCCACGGTTCCCCCACCTCCCTCAGAACGCTCAGGAGCTAATGGTCTCTAAAAGCACCTCTCGGGCTGGAAGTGAGGCGTGAGCAGCACAGGGTCTGCTTTGCAAGCATGAAGCCCTGAGTTTAAAACCCAGTCCCACCAACAAAATTAAAAACAGAACAAGAACTCAGGTCGCAGACAAGCCCAGAAGTGTGCTGCACTAACCTGCTGGGCTCCCCCTAAGCCAATCAGGCAGGCCATCAAGATTAGCCAGCACAGATGTTTGTGGGTTTTTTTGGCAGTACAAGGTTTGAACTCAGGGCCTCACTCTTGCTAGGCAGGCAAGGTAGACTCTACCACTTGAGCCACTCTGCCAGTCCTCTTTGGTTGGTAGGTTTTTTCGAGATAGGGTCTCACGAGCCATTTGTTTGGGCTGAGTGAAGTGCGATCCTGGTGTTCTCTGCATTGCAGGTGGGAGCCACCAGTGCCCGGCTGGACACGTTTTAATTTTGTAAGCGTGTTAAATACACCTGTGGGATAGTCTCTGTCTAAATAGCCCAGTATCGCTGCCTTTTGAAGCCACATTTCTGTCGCTTACCGTTTCTGCTTGCTCTGTTCGTGATTCCACGGGCCTCATGTGGTTTGTTCTTTCAGCTTGTGGATGTGTCGAGAGGCCTGTTCATGCGAGGTGGGCGCTCTCACTGCCACACCCACGGACCCAGTTTGTTTTGTTTGGGTTTTTGTGCACTGGGGTTTGAACTCAGGGCTCTGTGCTTGCAAAGCAGGGGCTCTACCACTTGAGCCTCACTTGCAGTCCCTCCCTCCTTCCTCTCTCCCTCTTTCTATTCCTCCCTTCTCCCTCCCTCCCTTCCTTTTTGGTGGTGCTGGGGTTTGAACTCAGGTTTCGTATTCAGTAGGCACACACCATACTGCTTCAGCAACACCTGCAGCCCTTTTTTGATGATAGGGTCTGGGTTTTTCCCCACTCTGGCCTGGACGGCAATCCTCCTATTTTATCCTTCCCGCTGCCGCTGGGATAACTAACAGGCGCACGCCACTGCCCAGCTATTGGTTGAGATGAAATCTCACTAACTCCCTAGCAGGACTGACCTGGAATTGGGATCCTCCTGATCTCAGCCTCCCAAGTAGCTAGGATTATAGGCGTGAGCCACCGGCCCCCACTGTGGCTGAGTTCTTTTGCTGAGCGAGACCTTCCTCCCCCTTCCTCCCTCCCTCCCTCCCTGCCTCCCTCGCTTCCTCTCTCCTGCCCCCCTCCTCCCTTTCTTTCAGGTCAGCTCTTCCTGCTGAGGTGTGAAGGCACCACAGTCTGTCCACTTCACTGTTGATAGAGTTTAGTCCGTGCTGTGGACATTCTTGTAGAGTCACTTTGTGGACATTTGTTTTCCTTCTCTTGAGTAAATTCCAAGCAGTGGAATTTCTGGGTCATAGGGTAAGTGTATGTTTAATTTTGTAAGAAACTGCCAGGCTGTTTTGGAAAGGGGCAGTGCTCGTTCACAGTCCTGCTAGAAGCTTAAGAAAGTTGAGTTACTCTGCATGCTCGCCACCGGTTGGCACTTGGGTCCTGAAGCCATTCTAAATGGGTGGTGTCCGTCTCCTTGTGGTTTTAATTTGTTTTCCCCTGGTGAGAATCTCAGTGTCTGAGTCCTGGCTGCTAATGTATCTTCTTTTGTGATGTCTTTTGAGGCTTTTGCACTTTGTTTTTATAAATTTGGGAATGGAGTTTGCATATGTATATTGTGAATACAAATTATTTGTCAGAGGTATGTTTTATGAATATTTTCTTGTATGATTTTTTTGTTTTAGGCAGGGTCTCCTTGTGTAGCCCAGGCTGGCCTTGAGCGCTTTTTTTTTTTTTTTGTGGCAATACTGGGGTTTGAACTCAGGGCCTCACTCTTGCTAGGCAGGGGCTCTACCACTTGAGCAACTCTACCGGCCCTGACCTTGAACTCCTCCTGCTCCTCCTGCCTCAGCCTCCTAAGTGTGAACCACCACTCCTGGCTTCCTAGTTTTAAAAAATATTCTTAATGATGTCTTTTGATGAGAAATTTAAAGTTTTGCTGAAGCTCAATTTGTCCATTTCTGTTTTGTTTTCATGTTTTATGGTCATTGCTTTCTGTGGTTTTTAAATTTTTTGGGGGGTTACACCCAGGGCCTCATGCATGCATGCTAGGCAAGTGCTGGACCACTGAGCTACATCTCAGCCTTTTTTCATTTTGTTTTTTGGCACCACTGGGGTTTGAACTCAGGGTTTTGTGCTTGCCAGGGAGGCCCTCTACCACTTGAGCCACTCCTTCAGCCTCCAGCCTGCTTTCTATGACTTAAAAAGTCTTCGTTTTCCTTTAATTGTAGAGATGGTATTCTGTATTAACTTCTTGAAGCTTTAAGTTGCTAGCTGTTATTTTTAGCTTGATAACCTATTTCATATTAATTTTTGTGTATTTGTGTGAGGCAAAGAGTTGAGGTATTTATTTATTTATTTGTTTTTGGCGGTACTGGGGTTTGAACTCAAGTCTTGCACCTGCTAGGCAGGCGCTGTACCACTAGAAGCACACTCCCGGCCTTTTTTGTTTTTTGGTGTCATGTGCCCTAGTGGACCTGAGCCACAATCCTGCTATTCATGCTTCTTGCATAGCTGGGATGACAGGCGTGCACCACGACGTTCAGCTTTTATTGGTGGAGATGGGACCTCCCAAACTTTTTGCAGGCTGGCCTTGAGCCACATCTAGCTGAGGGTTTTTTTTTTTTTCTTTTTCATAAGGATATCCAGTTATGGGTCCAGCTTTGAACTTTATCCTGCCCCATTGATGTTTTTGCTTCTCCTTATTTCAGTATTACCCTGCTAAGTGGGTAGAGTAAGTCTTCTAACTTTGTTGATCTTTTTCAGGATTATTTTGCGTGTTGAAAGTCCTTTGCATTTTTATTTATTTATTTATTTATTTAGTTATTTATTTTGGTGGCGCTGGGGTTTGAACTCAGCACCTCATGCTTTCTAGGCAGGCGTTCTACCACGTGAACCACCCCAGCAGCTCTTTTCTGCGTTGGATTTTTTCAAGATAGGGTCTTTCAAACTATTTGGCTTTCAACTCAATCCTCCTGATCTCTGCCTCCTGAGTAGCTAGGATTGTAGGCGTGAGTCACCAGCTTCTTCTTTATTTTTTTAAATATGCTTAAAAAATGTAAACTACATTTTTTATAAATGTAGTTTAAAAAATTGTTGAGGGCTGGTGGAGTGGCTTAAGCAGTAGGAGCCTGCCTAGCAAGCATGAGGCCCTGAGTTCAAACCCCAGTGCTGCCAAAAAAACAAGTTGTAGAGTTTGGATTGGGGGCATGGTTCGAGTGGTAGAGAGCCTGCCTGGCAAACTCAAGGCCATGGATTCAAACCCCAGTAACACCAAAAATTAAAAAATAGAATGTGTTTAAAAAAATTGTTGAGTTCATTTTCCAGTCATTTATTGGTAGAAAATAAATAAACACTTTTGGGGACATTTGTTTTCTGTTTGCTGGCCTTCGATCCTACAATTGTGCTAAACTCAGTTATGCTAGCTGGTTTCTTTTGTAAATTACTTGTGATTTTCTAAACAACACAGTCATGTCATCAGTGATTTCAGATAGTCTGCTTTTCTTCCCAGCCTTGTTTCTTCTTCACTTGGCTTTTTGCACTGCTTAGCACCCCTAGTGCAGGGTTGAATCTTTGGGGAAAAACAGTTAATATTTCATCATTGTACTTGACGAAAGCTGTGCGTGCTCATGGCTCTCGGTCATCAGGCTGAGGAAGTCCCTTCTCATTGCTAGTTAGCCATGTCACCTTTCTCCTGACCCACGAGAAGGTCAGGTCTGCTGCGTCTTTTGTTTTGATAAGGACATCTCTTTCATAGTGAGTGACAGAGTTGTACTTCTAATGTTATGGATTAACAAAATTTGTTTTAAACCAGGCACCGGTGGCTCACACCTATAATCCTGGCTACTTGGGAGGCTGAGACTGGGAGGACCTCAGTTTGAGGCCAGCCTGGGCAAGTAGTTCAAGAGACCCCCCATCTTTAAAATAACCAGAGTAAAATGGACTAGAGGTGTGACTCAAGCAGTAGAGCACCTGCTTTGCAAGTGAGAAGCCCAGAGTTCAAACCTCAGTCCCACCAAAACCAAAAAAAGACAAAAAAAAAAGTAAGTAAGTAAGCAGAAAAGAATATTCATACTGAAAATATGCTCTGAATTCAAATTTAAACTATATGTGTTGGGCTAGGAATGTAGCCCAGTGGTAGAAGCCTTAGGTTCAATTCCCAGCACTGCAAAAAAAAAAAAAAAAAAAGAATCCTTCATGCATTTGCCTTGAGAGCATATTTTAATTTTTGTAATATTGTTATAACAAGACATAACATTAAAGGAAAAAATACATTATAGATGTATTTAATTAAGAATGCATCTATGCTGGGTGCTCGTGGTACACACCTGTAATCCCAGCTACTCAGGAGACAGAGATCAGGAGGATTGAGTTCAAAGCCAGCCCCAGCAAATAATTCATGAGACCCTATCTTGAAAAAAAACCCATCATAAAAAAGGTCTGGTGAAGTGGCTCAAGTGGTAGAGCGCCTGCCTAGCAAGTGTGAGACCGTGAGTTCAAACTCCAGTGCCACCAAAAAAAAAAAAAAAAAAAGAGAAAGAAATTCATCTAGAGGGGTGCAGCCTGGGTTTCCTCCCTGATCCCAGCTTTCTGGGGCCCCCTCTTCACCCCGAATCCTTACAGGGAGACGACTCCGTGGGAAGGCGTTCTACAATGTGGGCGAGAAGGTGTACTGCCAGGAAGACTTCCTGGTGAGTCCAGGCTGTGCCCCTGTCCATGTCTTGGGTGGGAGCAGGGGAGAGCTCCCCTGAATCTCATGGAGACCTGAGGCTGGGCGGGATGCGTCCCTTTGTCACACGACTCCCCAGATCCCGTGTCCCCTTGCAGTACTCCGGGTTCCAGCAGACGGCTGACAAGTGTAGTGTGTGTGGACACCTCATCATGGAGATGGTGAGCCCCTCCCCCAGCTTGACATGAGCAGAGCCTGAGGACCCCGCCCTCTGACCTGTTCCAGACCTGCGGGGGGCTCAGCCAGAGCCTCTGGGGCGGTGCTGAGTCTTCCGCCCACACTGACCCTTGAGTGCCTCCCACCCCACCCCCAGATCCTGCAGGCCCTGGGCAAGTCCTACCACCCGGGCTGCTTCCGGTGCTCGGTGTGTAACGAGTGTCTGGACGGGGTGCCCTTCACTGTGGACGTGGAGAACAACATCTACTGTGTCAGAGACTATCACACGTGAGTTGCTGGCACAGCGGCGTCATGTGAGCCACCCGGGAGCATTTTTCTGCCTTCCTTGGTCTTTTCCCTTCCAGCCTCCGCTCCTCTTTCTGGTGGTGGGGATTCCCTGCGTTGCCCTACCCACCATCAAGCCCTCTGCTCCTGGGGCCAGGCCTTTTCAGCCTGGGTGGGAGCTTGGGGTCCCTGCAGATTTTTCTCTTTCCTGTCTGGGCCACATGGATGGCTGATCTACTCCCCTTGCTGGGCTACAGGCTTACGCCTGGGACCCATGGCCCCAAGAGAGCCATGCTGCTGGCTGTCTTGGGATTGGTGGTGGGCATTCATTCCTGGACTCGGTGGAGCCAGGCCTTGCAGAGGTCTCAGCTAGAGGTGGCCTAAACCTAGATATTACGGGGCAAGGAACTCAGAGGACACATAGGAGATGGCAAGACAGAACCTGGAGCCTCCTGGAGGCAGTTTTGGGGGGAGGTGAATTGGGAGCCAGGTGAAAGTCCAGTACCAAGAAGGCAGATGCTGCTTCCTTCCCAAGATGTCCACACCAGCACGGAGGGCCTCAAGTTTGGGCCATGCCATGGGGTCACTGTGGGCTGACCTGTCCTTGTGCCCACTGCCCGTGATTACTCAACTGGTCATTTCTGGTTTCCTTTATTCTTCCAGGGTGTTTGCACCAAAATGTGCCTCTTGTGCTCGTCCTATCCTCCCTGCACAGGTAGGAACTCACCCGGAGGCCATCCTCTGCCAGGTCCTGCTGGTCTGCCTGAGATCCTGGGCCAGAGTGGGAGGGGTGAGCAGGTGGCTCTGTTGTACATCCTTCGGGGCCGAGGGGCTGTGTGTTGTGCCCAGGCACACAGGGTCAGTGTCCCCTGGCATGAGGTCTAGGGACATGGTGACCTCTCCTGCTCGGCTGTCCCACTGCTGCATTCAGCTCCATTCTCCACTGATGAAGGGCCGCTCTCGGCCCGTTCAGCTCTGCAGTGGAGATTGGGTGGACTGCGGGGCTGGGGGAGCAGACGAGGAGGGCTGGGAGCTGAGGTCCGGCAGTCTGTCAGCCCTGGGTCTCTCACAAAGCCGTGGCTGTCCAAGGCCTCTGCTTGGCAAGCAGTACTGGCAGTAGTCTTTCTTGACTCCAGAGAAGTGGAAATAACTTTGACACACATTATCCACGTGGTGCTCGTGGGGTCGGATGTGCCTGCTGTTGGCTGCAGCGTGTTGGATGCTGAGGTTGCTGAGGTGCACACGTGTGTGTGTGTGCGTGTGCGTGTGCGTGCGCGCACACCTGATGGTGCCTGAGGTGGCCCAGGGAGAGAGCACCCATCACCATGCTAAGAACCCGTGGTGGAGATGTGTCCCAGGGTGCTGGCATCACTGAATCCCTCTCTCCCTCCAGGGCTGTGAGACCACCATCCGTGTGGTGTCCATGGACAGAGACTACCACGTGGAGTGTTATCACTGTGAGGTGAGCCCAGGCCCTCCCAGCAGGCCGTGGGGCAGCCCCTTCCCACACTGGCTCCTCCTCCCCTGGGTTCTGTGGCCCCACCTCCTCTTTCCTGGCTTCTCCATCATCCCTGTCCTCTCCCAGGGAGCCCTTCCCTTCTCACACATGCTCTCCCCAGCCCCTAGTCCCCAGCCCGTTTCTCCTTCAGTATTTGCTGTTTGCAGTCCGTGGGTGCTGGGGTTGAAGAGTAGACGGTCAGAGGTGTGCACTCAGCAACATCCACACAAGGTGACGTGTGACACTGAGGGGAGCTGGCAGAGCACACAGGAGGCCTTGGGAGTCAGGAGTGGCTTCCTGAAGGGGGTGACACCCAAGCTACGATTGAAGGATGAATGACGGTTCGGGAGTGGCGAGAAGAGCATTTCTAGGCACTGGGAACAGAATGTACTTAGGAATAAAGAGGTCTGTGTGGTTTTGTGTTGCTGGAAAAGTTGGCAGCCTCTGGGGACAAAAGGCCAAGCTGAGGAGTGTGGTCTCACCCTGAGGGCAATGGAGAGAAAAAAGGATGACAAGATTGCATTTGGATTTTAGAAGACTCACTGTGCTGGTGCACGCCTGCCTGTCACCCTAGCTGAGGGTGGAAGGATCTGAGTCACATAGCGAGACCTTTCTAAACGCAAACAAACAGCCTCATTGCCATGCAGAAGATAAATCGGGGGACGAGGGAGTGGAAGTGGTGGTCCCTGAGGAGGCTGGTGGAGCAGGTTGTAGGCAGAAGGCCCTGGGTTTGGTAGGGGCCTGGATGCAGGAGTTTAGGAGGTGGGAAGTGTCCATTAGGACCCCAGCAGGGAGTGTGGAGTCAGCTTGCTGTCACTATAACACATACCCGAGGCAAGCAGCTTATAACAAGAAAAGGTCTATTTTGGCTCACAGTTTCCCCACATGACTTTGGGCCTTTGGCTGCCCGTCGTGACACAAGCTGCTCACCTCATGGCCGGGACACAAAAGCGAAGAAGGAAGAGGCTAGGATCCCCAGATCCCCTTTGAGGGCATGAGCTCAGTGACCTAAAACCTCTTGAAGGTTCCACTACCTCTCAATAGTGCCATCTGCTGGGGACCAAGCCTTTGACATGAGCCTCTGGAGAGCATTTCATCTCCAGACTCCAGTGACGGTGAGAGGAGGAGGAGATAAAGATGGTGCAGACATCCGTGTGTCCGGCAGACCCTCGGCTGTGCTGGAGTTCTGACTCTCCACAGACAGAGGGACTCAGAAGCCCTCTCCTGTGACACTTTGCCCTGCCAGTTTTGTCTCCTTGGCCTCCCCAGATGTTCATCTCCAGGAGACCACTGGGCCCCTTGGGCAGCCTAGAGTTGGGGCAGTTGTGGGGCTCATCTCCCTGGTCTCCTTCTCTCAGGGACCCGGGACCTGCTTGGCCTCCAGAGTCTGTTGCACAAATTAGCCTGCTTTGTTTATGATTAAAGGTGGGAGGGAAGAATGTAGTTCCTGTAACCCTCTCAGAGGGAAGAGTTGAAGCCAGGGGAGCAAGTGAGACCTTCCAGGGAGGGGTGAGAGGAAGTGGGGAGTGGTCAGGAAAGTCCACTGAGTCCAGACATGTAAGGAACCACAAAGGGAGGCAGAGAAGCGTAGACTGGAGCCCAACTGGATTAGAGTCCAGGGAGAGGAAATGAGGAAGCAAGAATGGGCCTTGGGGGCTGGTATCCCAGTGGGAGCAGAAGTCCTGCTAGGGGACCCAAGAGGGAGGAAGAGGAGCAGGTGTGGTCTGCAGAGGGGACACACCACCTTCTCCAGTACTAACAGGGCCTCAGTCGTCCTAGGGGCTGGGGTGTGCCTTTGGTTGTGAAGTCAGGAGCAAGCCAGACTGCTGGGCTGTGGGGCTACGAGGGCCTCGCCCCTGGGGCTTCGGATGGCACTAGGCTCTCCAGCCCCTGTCTCCCCTCTCTGTGGCTATGGGTAAGTAACAGGACCTTGGTCCAGGTGAGGGAAGAGCAGGGAGGAGACCTGAGGCTGTGACTCCATGACAGTAGCCCAGCTCCATTACCTGTGTGAGGTGGGTCCAGTGTTGCTCCCAGAGGCTTTGGGTCACAGGGTCGAGGCTGCGAGGCATTTCAGCCCTGCAGGTAAAAGGGAGGATTAGGAACATGGAGCCAGGGCACATAGAAGCACACTCGTTCTTCACTTGCTGGCTCCATTTTTCCTCATGTGCTGGGGATTGAACCCAGAGCCTCATGCTGCTACATGCCCAGCCCAGCCCTTCAGTGGTTTTTTTGTTTGTTTTTGTTTTTGGCGGTACTGGGGTTTGAACTCAGGGCCTTCCCCTTGCTGGGCAGGCTCTTTACCACTTGAGCCCCTCCGCCAGCCCTTTTTTGTGCCAGGGCTGGTTTCCAACCATGATCCTCCTGATCGCTGCCTCCTGAATAGCTGGGATTTATAGGCATGAGCCACCAGGGCGCCTGGCAGCCCTGAGTCTCTGTTAAGACCATTTGTGTCCCACTACCGCCAAACGACAGCCTCCAAGGCCCAGCTCCAGACTTGGGTGTCTTAAGATGCATCTTCAGTTGAGTGTGCTCACCTGTGGTCCCCTGTGGGTTCCTGGAGCAGAGTGCCAGCCACAGAACCGGGCTGTCCTGAGCCCACAGATCTGCCAGCCTCCGACCTCGGATGTCCTGGGTGACTGTGCCCTGCCTGCTCTGGGGCTGAGGCTCTGTTTTTCCCTAGGACTGCGGGCTGCAGCTGAGCGGCGAGGATGGACGTCGCTGCTACCCGCTGGATGGCCACCTGCTCTGCCGCCGCTGCCACCTGCGGCGCCTGGGGCCTGGCCCACTTCCCACGCCTGCTGTGCACGTCACTGAGCTCTGAGCAGGGGCCGGGCGGGCGTGGGTGTGGGAGGGAGGTCAGCCGGCTGTGCTTCCCCCCGTCCCCTCCCACCAAGCTGCTGTCCTGTCCGCAGGGGCCGGACCCCCGCGTTAAAGCTACTCCTATTTATTCACCGTCTGTGCCTCCTCAAGCCGCTTCCCTCCCTCTGCGGGGGGCATCACCAGCCTTAGGCCCCAGGACCCCTGCACCCTGCAGCCTCAGGGCAGGCCTGGGGGTCACCGGGCTGGAGAGGAAGGGCCGCCTGCCGTGGCCCGGCCCTGGTGGGAGCCACTTTCCTTGGTTCGGAAGAGGCCTGGGGTCGGGTCCAAGCGCGCTCCTTGGAGCTGGGGTTGGTGGAGAGCGCACGGGTTTGCGTGTTTCCTAAACGCCTTGCCCGCTGGTGGGTGGGAAGGGTGCCTTATTTGCGTGGGGTCCCCGAGCAGGGGAGGAATGTCACCCCGGGGAATCTTTGGGAGGTTTGGCCATGGGGGTCTTCTGGGTGTTTTCAGCCACGTCCCCCTTCCCTGAGTCCTGGACTGGGGAAAAGACCTGCGCAGAAATCCGGCCGCTGGTGTCGCGAAGGGGGCGCCTGGCCCGGGAGGCACCTGTGCGCTGTGCATCAGGCTCCACGACGAACGGATACGATTTGACTTAAATTAAGTTTTTCCTTCGAGGATATTTTCGTTTTCTTTAAAAGAATATAGTTTTCTTGTAAGAATCTGGACCGATGTGGTTATTTCTGAAGAAAACTGCAGACTCACAGATGTCCAAAATTAGCTCAATTTAAGGTGGTAAGAACCTTTTTGTGTGTGTGTGATGGGATTTTTTTTCAAGACAGGTCTCCCGAAATATTTACCCTGGCTGGCTTCGAACCACCATCTTCCTGATCTCTGCCTCCTGAGTAGCTTGGATGCTTTTTTTTAAAAGTATTTTTGCATAAATTTCTCTGAAGTCTTACACTATGTGTCTGCCTTTCAGACGTTAGTGGGGCTTTGTGGGTGTCTTTTTGGGGTGTAGATGAGATTTTTCTTTGAAATGCACGTGTCGGGGATGGGCTTTTCACTGGCCTCTGGTGCTGGACTTCAGCTTGTACATGGCCCCTGCTCAGGATAAATGTCACCCACTTTTTTTTGTGTCACCCACGGGTTTTTTTGGTGGCACTGGAGTTTGAACTCAGGGCTTCACAGTTGCTAGGCAGGTGCTCTACTGCTTCAGCAGCACCTCCAGTTCATTTTGCTCTGGTTTTGGAGATGGGGGGGGGGCGGTGTATCACTAGCTACCTGCCCAGGCTGGCCTGGAACCGCTGTCCTCAGGATCTCAGCCTCCCCAGTAGCTAGGATTGCAGGCATGAGCTTTTTGACTGAAGTCCATTGGTTCCTCTCAGACATGGCCCACGTCCCCTTGGTGCTGTTCTTGCCCTTCCTCCTCTTATAAGACGGAGGTCTCTGCTTATAGCATTGCCCAGCGAGGCACTAGGAACGAACAGGGCAGCGGGGAAAGTGGCAGGCAGTCGGGTCCAGTCGGGTCCAGCTGGGTCCAGCTGAGCTGAGGCCTGCAGCTGGGCGCCCCCTGGCGGTCCGAGGGAGAAAGTACACGGGCGCTGCCGTTAGTGGCTTCCTGGACTAAGCCATCCCAGTGGGGCCAGAGGAACACATTGCAGGAATGGCTCCTTTTGAGCGGGGATGATTTGCCTTTTTATTTGGCTGCGTTTTGGGGAAGGTGCTAGGGGATGGAGCCCAGAGCCTTGCAGACACTGCATAAGTGCAGTAGGGCTGAGCTGCATCCCAGCCCCTGCTTTGCCTTCTCCAGTTAATTTTGAAGCTTGCTTCTGATTGTCCTCTTTTTTGTGTCCTGTGTCAGACCTGCTCTGAGCATGGTTTCTCCAGGTTGCAAACTCAGGCCCACTCTTTACCTGGGTCTGCTGTGGAGGTGACCCTTGTTCTTCCAGCCACGGGGTCACCACTGCTCTCCCCATCCATCACGAATGAGCCATCATGGCTTGGAGCCCCTGTGCTTTGCCAAAAGTCAGGGCCAAGGTCATGACCCTGAGGGACAGTGGCCTTTTCAGGCCACACTGCCCTTTCTCTGTGGACTCCTATTGTCTTAAGTCTCATGTTGGGACTGAAAACTGTCGCAGTGTTTCCTCCCACGGAGCTCTGTGTGTGCCCTCTACCTGGAGTCACCCCAGCTTGGTGCTTTCATTTCTCATCAGATCCTCCAGGCCTCTGAGAGGAAGTCAGATTCTCAGCTACTGCCCTTGATGGAAAGTCTGAAATTTCTGGCCCTTGCTCTCCAAGCTCGTTTTCCCAAAGCAGCGTCTCCAGGTCATTTTGGGGACTTGTGCTGACGTGGTGGTTGTTGGGATCAAGGAAGCAGCGAGAGAGCCAGACTTCCAGCCAGAAAGGTGGCCCAGGGCCCTCCAACCCTGCCACCCACCTACCTGCCCCAGGATAGCTCCTGGGAACCCAACATCTTCAACCGTGCTTTTGGTCCCTGTTGCATTTTCATGTATTAGTAATCATTTTCTCTTTGTTGTTTGTTTGTGACGGGGTCTCCCTACGTAGCCCAGACTGGCCTGGAACTCACCATCCTCCTGCCTCAGCCTCCCAAGTGCTGGGATTACAGGGGTGCAGCACTACAACTGACCTGCAGTTGTTCTCTTGGCCTCCTTCTCCCCAAGAGATTGGGAGCTGTCTGGTCTGGGTTAAGTCTCAGTTGTTCGGTCTTGTCTCTGAAGTACCTGATGTATGGTTGGTGTTACAGCCAGAATCAGACCCTACCCTGACCACTCTCCATATCCCCCCGATTAGCATTTCCACGTTCAGTCTGAGCTGTCCAATGAAGGAGCCAAGAACACAAGGACGGGTTTACACAAACACTCCACGCACATGCACATCAAGTGTGCGATGTGTCACATGCAGTACACACAAGTGTGACTTGGGACTTGGTTCAGCACTCATGCCTGGGGCACAGACCAATGACGGCTGGGTGTTTTGCTGCTGCTCCTGCTGCTGCTGCTGCTCTGTGTATATGTATGAGAGAGAGAGAGAGCGAGAGAAAGAGAGAGAGAGAATGGAGGGTCGAAAGTGCATGATGAGCAAGATTGGATATTTGAGAATGGGAGATTGGGAGGAATAGGCAATGGACAAGAGGTTGAGAGGGAGACGGTGTCTGGGGAAGAGATGTGGAAAAAGGTTGAGAAAGGCACAGAGAATGAGCAAGAAGGAGAAAATGGGAAGGCACTGAATCTGTGGAGCAAGGCAAAGATTGGGGTCTTTTGCCCACTCGTCCTAAAAGGTGGGTGCCTTGGATCCAGGCCCTGTGGAAGAATTGGAATAGGTTCTTCGTCTCAGCCACCCCACAGCCCTGGCTCACAGAAAAGGCCGCCTCCTGTAAGTGACCGAAGGCCATGGCTGCTGTGTGTGTGTGACAGAGAGAGAGAGTGCAAGAGAGAGGGAGGAGGAGGAGGAGAAGAAAGGGAAGGTGAAGGTGGCTCTTGGGATGTCCTAGGTTTTAGGTGTCTGGTGCCCTCAATGTCCCAGGGTGGGAGTGGGTAGTATTGACTGTACCCCCCATTCTTCGCTGGTTAGTGCTTCCTGCCCTCTGGCAAGAAACACAGACAAGCCTGCTGAATTGCAGGTGAACCCTTGCCTCAGGTGGGTTGCTTTGGAGGGGTGAAGAAGGGATGGGCCCAGGACCGTGATTTATGGGACCTCGAAGGGAGAAGGCCTGAAAATTCATAGCAACAGAGGCCCCAGGAGCAGTGTGCACCCAGGAAGGAGGGAGTGGGTCTGTGGGCCATCCCGCTGGCTGTCAGGGAGGGAGTTGATGTGTGGGGCCAGGTGAACACAGCTGGGCTGGGCTCCAGCTCTGTGGGCTCCTAGTGGGCAGACACCCAGAGGTTCCTTTTGCTAAAAACCCAGCCATGGCTCTAGTGGCAGCCCCCAACCAGCCAGGTGACAACAGGGGCTTCTGGTTCTGCATGGGTGGGGTGAGGGCCCTAGGGGGGTTCCTGGAGAGACCAGTGGGGACCTGAGGACTCATCTGGGAGTGCGTGTGTGGGGACCTGGGTCACAGGTGACCTTCTACATAGTGCAGCTCTGAGGACCTGCCCCCATACTGGGTGGGCATGCGGTGTGTGTGCACCCTGACAGGTTGGGGTGGGGGCCTGAGGTAGGGTGGGAAAACTCACCAGTCTCAGGCACCAGGGACTCACTCATTCTTGGAGAGAGACACGAGGGAGTGCCTGGGTCCTGTGCATCTGGGAAGGCAGCAGGAGCAAGAAGGCAGCTCCCCACCTTCCGCCCTTTTCCCTGGCCTGAGGGCACTGCTGGGCTGCCCTCCCCGAGCCTGGGGGTGTGGATCACAGGTGGGCCCCTTCCCTGTCTGCAGGGAAGAGTCCAGAGGCTCCCCAAGGACAGTACAGCAGGCCCCTCTGGGCCTCCCAGGCGGAAGTGCTTTGGCTCTGACTCACCTGGCTGTCCAGGGTGCAGTGCTCAGCCGCAGTGTTCCTGTGCCTGTCACTCACTTGCTTGCCTCTCTTGTTCCCATCCCCTGCACCCAGTGCACACTGTCCTCCATGTCATAGCCTGTCCCTTATGCGCCACCATTCCCATTGCCCCGCCCAGCTCAGCTCAGCTCCCTCCTTCCACCCTCAGCTGGGTCTACTCTGACCCTGGGAGCTGGGGGTATCGCCTCTCTCTGATGTGGGGGATGCCCTTGTGGGGGGCATGAGGGGACCCCATAGTGGAAAGCCAGGTATAGAGCTGGATATAGAGTGCTCTGTCTGCAGTGGAGGACATGGAGTGACCTGTGCCATGTGGGCTGGGAGGCAGGGAGGTGCTGCTGACCTGGGCGATCAGAGGTCAGGAGCCACTCCTGTGGGTGAGAAGTCACAGGGTCCAGAGGGAAAACCACAGGAACCTGGGTTGGGGATGGTGTCATGGTTTGGATATGAAATGTCCCCCGAAAAACTCAAGTGTGGAAGCCTCTTGGTCCCCAGCCGGTGGGTCCAGTGATTGAGAGGTGATTGGCTCATAAGGGCTCTGACTTCTTGGATGACTGAATCCACTGATGGACTCGTGATTTGAGGGAGTGATTAGCAGGTGGTGGAAACTAGTGACGGGGCCCAGGGGGAGGAAGTAGGTCACTGAGGCCTTTGTAGCATTATCTTGTGCCCCACCCCTGACTGCTTCCTGTCCACCATGAGGTGAGCAGCTCTGCTCCAGTACACCCTCTCTGCTGTGATGTCCATCTTCACTGCAGCGCACAGCGATGCACCTTTCTTCTTTCTAACTTGCTTTTCTCAGCGACAGAGAAGTTAGCACATGCCGTATTACCTCAAGTGAACACAGACCCAAGCCCAGCACAGATGGGGAGGGTCTCACTGTCAGGGGTCAGTGAGGAATGATGCCATTGTTCTGGGATTTGGACACTTTCCTCCCTCTTCTCTCCACCTCTCTTCCCTTCCTCCTTCCTTCTTTTTTTTGGTGGGACTGAGATTTGAACTTGGGGCTTCATGCTTGCAAAGCAGGTGCTCTACCGCTTGCACCACATGCCAGTCCATTTTTACTCTGGTTATTTTTTGGAGAGGGGATCTTGAGAACTATTTTTCAGGCTGGTCTCAAACTGCAATTCTCCTGATCTCAGTCTCTCCAAGTAGCTAGGATTACAAGTGTAAGCCACAGTGCCTGGCTTGTCTTTTCTCTTTTACAGAAATATTTAAGGGCCTTATTATGGAAAGAAAAGAATAACTCTTGGTTTCAGGACTAGCACCTGGGTGAGTGCACCCCGTTACCCTAGAGAGGAAAGTCCAGTGGAGCAGGCTTGTGTGGGAGTG